TCTGCGCCAAATTTAGTCCCACCCAACTCAAGTCGAACAGAAGACAATGGCCGAAGAAGTAGTTTCAGTGTCTCTCAATAGAAAAGACTATCATTCTTTCTCTGCCAGTACAAAGTAATAACACCACAGAAACTACAGATAGTAGTTAGAAGAAAATTATGAAATTAGTAGACAGGGTCTTTAAAACAGTAAAAAGGAAAGGGAAAAAAATTAAATCTGTTTTTCAGATGAGTCTGTCTGTGTCGCGAGATGGCTTTTTGCGCTTTGGAGACACCATAATGCTGGTAAACTCTGGAGGAACAAGTCTTGGCCCACATGACCCCTGCAGCCTCAGCATTATCGCTGACCTCAGCAATATGAGCTCACATCCACAAACAAACTCTGACCCATATCTTCAGGGACCCTGCCAAGTGGGCGGGGCCAACAACTTAAAGCCGTGTGTGCGGAACGCCTTCGTCATTACCAGGTAAACAGTTTCTCACACATCCAAATTGTGGGCTGCCATGTACATTCACACATACAAGAATACACATACACATTCACACTGATGAGCATTTCCTCTTACTGTGGTTTGTGGTCTAGTGTGGATGGGACACCAGATGGAGACATACTGAGATATGATCAAAGCTTTGGCCTGAGAACTTCTGCAGGTTTCGGTGGAGAGGTAAACCTGCAAAGGACTGCTGATGATGTGCTTTAAGTTTATGTGTATGCCGTTGTCTTAAAAGGGGAATTCCATCGTTTACGCTTCTGGTCCCTTTTCTTGCTGATTCACTGAATTATTAGAAAGTTTGGTGGGTGCATTGCTTGAAAACACAATATTTGCATCTGTGAAAAAAAAAAAATTTAAGGGATTTTTTCTTGACCATTTGACATTTGAAAAACTTGTAAACGTTCACAGCTTGTGGTGACGCTGTAGATCTGTGTAGTTTGATTGCGTATCAGAAAGTTTTGGAGAGTGGTTTTCATAAAAAACAAGTACTATAATAACTTGAAATAAAAATGAGTCTAATAAAAGTTTCAGAAATGGAAATAAGTCCCCTAACTATATGTTCTTTCTGACTTTATTTAGCTTTATTTGGCCAGCGACCACAGAACATTCCAGAAGTGTGCTAAAAAGTCCCGACTACAAGAAGTGAGCTTAGTGGAGCAGTGTGACTTCCAGTGTTGGTGGAGAGTGGTATATTTTGACCCACAGGAACGCCTGGAACATGAAGGCTTCCCTGTACAGGTAATTACACTACCATATACGACAGGTGTACTGACTAATGTAGGGCTGAGTATGTCTTATAAAGAAATGTTGGGATAACAAACATTTACTTGAACCTAGGCACACATGCCGAGTGTTGTTTTTCTCAGCATTAAACTTTACCAAAAGATAGGGTATGACAGCATTCATTCATAAACCTAGGGTCATTTTTGAGGGGCCAGGAGTGACGTTCTCCTTGGAGGCTCCCCCACCCACTCCAGTGGTATTATTTTTTGTATATATGGATGAAAAAGAATTCATATTAATTACCCTTATTAATTCCTTTAATACTTAAATGAATTATCTTTATTCATTTATTAATTTTGATTAATTTAAATACTCAGAGTGCTAAACAGTAAAGCAATAATTAACACTATAAAGAAGGAATAGCATAAACAACTAACTTGTACATATAAATAAAATAAATTATATGTAAAATTAAATAAATTAATATGTATAAATAAAATACATTACAATGTGTGTTAAAGTGGCATTAGCATTAATTCTGTTTTCTTTATTTTTTTAGAATAAAAGTCATTAATGGTGTTTTTAAAAGATATTTTTCTACCAATATCAGGAGTGGCATAAACAATTAAAAAAAAGCTTAGTCAGTCAGTCAGTCAGTCAAAGTTCATTTATATAGCGCTTTTTTTAATAACAGCCATTGTCAAAAAGCAGCTTTACAGAAAAATCCGGGTCCAAGCCCCCATGAGCGAGCCACTGGCAACAGTGGCAAGGAAAAACTCCCTAATGAGAGGAAGAAACCTTGAGAGAAACCAAGACTCAAAAGGGGAACTCATCCTCCTCTGGTCGACACCGGATGGCAAAACAAAAACACAAGAGCAATATGAACAGAGAATAATGTTTTCCCATTAGTCTAAAATTTTAGAAATACAGAAAAGAGGAAAAGCAGGTGAAGCACAGGCTATGATTAGCTTAACAAAAAAAAATACACTGTATGGCCAAAAGTATGTGACCACCTGACCATTACACATATGTGAGCTTTTCACAAGATTTCCACAAGATTTTAGAGTGTGTCTGGAAATTTGTGTCCATTAATTCAAAAGAGCATTTGTGAGGTCAGACACTGATGCTGGGGTTTTGTGCATGCTGCTGAAAAAAACAGCATGGACCAGCATGAATTCCATGCAGGTCTAAGCTGGTTTGTGCTGGTCTGGTGCTTGTTTAGCTAGTCACAGCATGGTTGACCAGCATACCAGCAGCCAAAACACAGCACAGCATGTGAGCTTCCGTTGCTGCTGACTAGCATACCAGCATCCAATACACAACATATGATGGTTTTGCTGGTGACCAGCTATGCTGGTCTTTGCTGTTTTTTTTTTAGCACAGCTTAGGGGTACAATCATGCTGGAACAAGAAAGGGCCTTCCTCAAACTGTTGCTACAAAGTTGGACGTATATAATTGTCTAAAATGTCTTTGAATGCTGTAGCATTAATGTTACCCTTCATCAAAACTAACCCAACCCTGAATAACAGCCCCAGACCATTATCCCTCCTCCACCAAACTTTACTGTTGGCACTATGCATACTGGTAAGAAGTGTTCCCCTGTCATCTGCCAAACCCAGATTTGTCTAATGGACTGCCAGATAGCGAAGCATGATTCATCACTCTCGTAGTGGCGTGCTTTCTACCACTCTATCTGACGCTTATTGTAGTGATTTCAGGCTGGTGTACAGCCGCTTGGCTATGGAAAGCGCACAGTTCTTGTGCTGATGTTGCTTCCAGATGAAGTTTGGGACTGTGTAATGAGTGGTGCAACAGAGGATAGGCCACTTTTATGGACACTAACACTAAGTGGTCTACTGCTTCATGGCTGAGCTGTTGTTGCTCCTAGATGCTTCCATTTCACAATAGTAGCACTCACAGTTGACTGGGGCAGATCTAGCAAGACAGAAGTTTTATGAACTAACTTGTGGCATCCTATGACAGTGCCATGTTTAAAGTCACTGAGCTCTTCTTATGGCCCATTCTACTGCCAGTGTTTATCTACGGAGATTGCATAGACATGTGCTTGATTTTATACACTTGTTAGCAATGGGTGTGGCTGAAACACCTGAACTCAATGATTATGATTATGATTGTCTCACCATACTTTTCGCTGCATTGTGTAATCGTCTTGTGGCTGGGGAGGCATGAGGGACTGCTTATATCGCTAATAGCAAGAAAAGCCCTTGTTTTTACCCAGTAGAAATACAGGCTTTTTACCAATAGAAAAATTGGACACTGCATAAAAACAGATGTTCCTGCAATGTTGAAAGTGTATATCTTAGAAAAACCCACTCAGACACCTTCAGTAGTTTTATTGCCTTTGCACTGGCGGCTGTGTGTCTACAGGTGAGCTGCAAGGTGCTGATCTCCCACTGTAAAACCAATCAATGTCTGGCTGCACTGGCGAATCATGTGCTGTGGTAAGTGCATTTTATACATTTTACATATTTTGTGTGGAATGTTTGTGGAAGAAGGGAGGCCATTTGTTCAGTGGATCCTGATTACAACAGGAGAAAATAAATTATGTGCATCTGTGATGAAACACAGATATAATTAAGTATGGGTCAGATCTACTCTGCATCTTTGATGGGTTTAAATTGATTTGTGTGTTTGTCCTTCATTATGTGTAGGACTCCATTTGGTGAAGAGTACGAGCTCACCGCTCACACCTTCCTGGACTCCCACAAGGCAGAACAGGACAGTAACCACTGGTTATTTGTCACTGCTGACCCAGCCCACGAGGGACAGAGCCTACTGCAGCGGCAACAAGGGTCAGCCATCACTAATGAGAATGGGTCACATCCAAAAGCCATCACAGACACACCAGGAGAATCAGAAAAATAATACAGACACAGAGAATGGAGTGGAAAGGGTAAAGGAGAATTCCAGTCTTTGAATAAAATATTTAGAAGATTTATTTACCTTTATTTTTTTTAATTCTTAAAGTTCATAAACTGTGTAAACATCCGTAGATCATCCTGTTACACCACAAATAATCCAATGCAAATATAAAGGGGAAACCCACACTTTACTAGCCTGCTGAGAATATATTTGGCATTAATCATTAGGTGAAGACTTAAATCGGCCACATTTGGTCCAAAAGACCACACTATACAATGAAAAGTGTCAGATTCCTCTCTCTGGATATGCCTACGACAGTTGCTACAGCCCCCTGCTGATCAATGTAGGTAGATACATGCAAAGCTCAAGATCATATAGTGACTGCTTTTACTTAATACACAGACTGTAAAGTACAGCTGTTTCTCAGGAGGCCCACCTAAAACAGTCTATAATTCCTTAATGGGCTCATGGAGAATCATATTTACCTTTTTTAAAATAAATGAGTTTGATATAGTAAGTAAACATTGACAGAATTTAAAATTACCCAGTTTTGTACTTACTGTTATTGTGATGTCACAGAATCCAACATGTTTACATATATCCCTCTATTCAGCCAACGGCAATTTAGCCCCACCAATTCACACTAAAGTTATAAGGGGTGTTTTAGCCTGAACTGCTTTTTAAATGTGGCACAATACAGGACAGCCAATCAGAATAGAGGCCATTTACATATGTCAGTCTTAAAAACATAGTAACTAGAACAGCAAGTTTTATTCTAAGGGATTAATAAAGGACCGAAAAGTGGACCACACAGTAACAAAACAAAACAAGAAAAATGTAGGATATAGGCCCTTTCAAGTGAAATAAATGTTTTGCACCACTTATAAATGTGGAAAGTTCTGGAAGAGTTAGAGGACATTAAAGTAAATTTTTTTCACTGTTGGAAAACGTCACTCTTGTTTTGTCCCATTCTTTGCCTTTGCTTCTTTTTTCTTCTCTTACGCACCTAAGGATAAAAAGAGAAATTATGTGCATTGCTGTGTGTCTGCACACACACACACACACACGCACAGACAAACATGTTTACTCTGATGGTTCACTTTGATGAAGCTGAAGATATCCGTTGACGTAATGACATAGTTTCACTGTTATCATTTTGTGACGGGCTTTTCATCTAAATCATCTGAACTCTCATTAAAAACTTCAGACTTCAGATACATGCAAATAAATAATACATAGTACCACCGTTACATTGTAAAAGTGCTAGACTAATAAAATGATTTTATAAATGAATTTCTGAACTTTGAATTTGCTTGTTCAGAGTTTAAATGTTTTACTTTTTAAAATGACTGATAAATCCTTTTTGTAGTGTTCATGTATACATATAGTTAAAAATCTATTCAAAGAAATTTAAAGGATTTGAAGTCAATCAGCAAAAAAGATATGTTTGGTGTCTAAATTTTGCCTCTACGGAGTTATGCGGCTAATGTTGCTAGGAAACACTAGAAGTTCATAGTCACTCAAAATCTTGTAAATACATGCCCAAAACTTCTCTCAACCTGCTAGCTCTTCATCAAGGTCATGCAGACTTGTCAGTGTGGTTTAAGACACTTTTATATTGAGGATTATGAAAATTAAGACATCACTATAGCTGAATGCTGGCGGCAGCTGTTTTATGCATCTGCTGATGTATTTTTGGAAAACATTTTGTGTGATTACTGATTTCTAGTGTTTGTTAGTTATGTTAGCCTTGTAAACTAAATTAAAGATGCAAAAATTGGACACTAAACATCATTATCTTCATCTTTAACCACTTAATCCAGATAGGGTCATGGTGGATACCAAACGTGTTGGCTGTCAACTACATCTGAGGTAAGAGGAGGCCTGAACATGTTAGATTTTTTGCTGAAGTAGTTATTGTTCCTGATCATATACTTCAAAAGAAAACAAAAATGAGGATCATAGAAATACAGAACTAATGCTTTCACATCTATAAGAATTCAAAGACAGAGTAGAAGAAGAGAAGCTTTTTAATGGGACAAAACAGTGAACATAAATATATGTGCTTACGCACACTCACATACAAACACATAGAAGGAACATGAAAATGAAGTAAACAGGCAAATGTTCCAGACAGACAGTTGAGACAGGAATAATGACCTGTTTGTGTTTGTGAGGGAGGAGTCAGAGACAGGGTAGGGAGGACAGGTTGAGAGAGAGAGAGAGGTGTGTTGAATGTGTGGGTTTGGGTTTCAGTGGGATACATTTTGCCATGGTGTCCAGTCACTCCACTGAGAGAGAAGCAGTGAGTCTCTGCTGCGAACCCTCAGGTCACTCATGCCATCTGGGACCTTCATGTTATCGTCAAACTTGAAAGACATCACCTGAAAGAGGAGAAAGAGATTCAGCTTGCAGAAAATCTTTTTTTTTTTTTTTAATGAATTGGGTGTGTAAATTTCTGACCTTACTGTTATGATTCTTTAGATTAAATGCATCATAAAATCTCAAATTGTACCACAATTTATTTTGGCTTGATGATTTGTGTGATATTCAGAATTATTCCTTTGAAAATATGTAACTTGAGGAACTGTTTGCACAGTGGTGGGAAATAGTCAGCTAATGGTATAGTGTAGTGGATTACACTTCTGGCCTCCGTGCTGTAGATTGGGGTTCATTGCCTGTCTTGGCAAGCACCCTATGCTATACCAATAAGAGTCTTAATGCTACCTTCATCTACCTGCGCAAAAATAGAATTATAAGTCGCTCTAGACAAGCCAACTGCTGAGTGTAAGAAAACACTAAGCTTTTCTTTTAATTGGGGGAGGGCGGCAGAGTTTTTTTGGCCAAAAAATTAGCACACACTTTACATCATTGCTGTCTCATTTTTTTCTGTTTATATTTTTTTTACATCATGTGAGCACAGCAGCTGTCCTTTACATTGTATGAACATTTCATGATAACCAGACTTATAGAAATGTTCCAAAGTTCCTGGAATGACATTCCTTTACATTGTCTGACATTAAAAGTCTCCTGTAAAGTTTTAAGATACGTGTGTTTGTTGTTGTTATTTTGTTTCATTTTGTTTTTTGACAGCGATGATATTATAATTATTTCAACACTGTCAAAAAAAGCATATTCTATTACAAAGTTTTAAGCTAGTTTATAAATATTTGAACCAAATGATATTTTACCTAACTCATGTATGTTTACAGAAATGTAACTAAATAGCAAATTTCTTTCTTCATTTTTGATCCTCAATTTATTTGCTACTTTACTTAAGAATTAACAGTTTACTTAAGTTACGATTAGTTTGTAGACTTAATTTTAAATCAATTAGTTGATCTTTTCATAACCTAAAGTTTTAAAGTAGACTGTACTAAAGGTACTGAAGGCCTAGCACTCCTGTGGCAATTCAGTATGTGAGAGTGTAGGGATGCACTGATCATAAATTTTTACGCTCAAATCCTTTACAGTCAAATTAGCCATCAATGTTTGTCAAATCTTCATGATGAATAGACCAATAGAAATGCTCCAAAATTACTGGGAAAAGATATGGGTGTGCTTATGAAACCAACATTACCATTCCATCGTCTCGCTTCCTATACTGAATTTCATGTTCCAGAGGGTAGTAGCTCTCGGGCTTGGCCCAAGAGGCTGGAGGTCTCACAGTAACCTTGTTCTTGCTCATATGCTTGATTTGAGGAATGGCAGGCTTGACTACACAGATAGAACAGACAGTTGTCAGATTTACCCAAACACAGCTAATCACAACCTCAATGTACGCACACCACCCATACACACTTACTGATGTCTCTGAGATAGAAGTTGTGGCTGATATTAAAGTAGCGGTCTGAGGACGACACAGCCTCCCCTATCACCGCCAGCCGCTCGGCCTCCTCTGCGTACGGGTTGGTGGAGTGTGTGAGGTAAAAGAAACCGTCTTCAGAACGCTGCACCCAGCTGCTGTCATCCCTACAACACCATGTGGTAGAGCAGTTTTAGCAGGTTGTGTACAAGGAGTTAAATTGTGTATTTGTAAGAGAGGAAGAAAGAGAGATACATACCGTTGATTGCGAAGTCTGAAAACACTGAAGCCAGCTTGGTCCATTCTGCAGCAAATTTTGAATGTGCAGTTGAAAGTTTCAGCTGTGCAAGATATAATTGAATCTGAAAAGAGAGAGACTCAGTTATTTGCAAATAATTACTAAAATGATAGTGTAGTGAGTTACATTGTAAACGTTGGGGATTTGGAGACCTCTCTGGTGGAACTGTGTTACTGCATGCAATATGCAGAAGAACATTTTGTAACATCGCTCCCGCTCCCCTTCCCCTTAAGCAGATGAACCTGATGGTTGCGAGCATGATGAAAGAGTATTCAAAGAGAACTCATTTAAAACCTGGTGAACGAATTGTCTTTCGAGAATGTAAGTGAATGATCTACTATTGTCATCATATCTTCATTAGTATGTTTATTTTGCAATTGCAATCTAAACATCAAACCGGACCTTCTTTTTGAGCAAAGTTAATATGTAAAAAACGTACAATGTGGTCTGAAAAACCCACAGGAAATCAGACCCACTTCTGACTTTTAAATGATTATTTCAGGCTTTACAGGGTGACTTGCAGCAGCACAAGCACACTGTATTTTACCATATTTTGTTTTTTTTTTTAATGCTATTTCCTCCAATTTTAACCTCAATTTTAACTAAAAAATCTAACATAGTGCAGCTTTGATTTACAAAGAGCTAAAATGTTACACGAAATCAATTCTTCAACACTTTAGGCGTCTTGTTTTTTTCTTGTTTTTAGTTATTCTGACAACAGAATCTTCTCAAAAGTTTTCACTGGTCCCTCGCAATAAATGAAAATCTTGCACAAACTTGTGTTTGCATGTTAGTTATCGTCATACCCAGAATGAGGCCAAAAACATTCTGATAGATCATTTAAGTATTGTTATTTGAATAAAGGTTTGAATGAGAATGATCAGTTATATCAGGAACACTTAGCTAAAGTAGAATATAGTAGTAGAGCACTTGAGTGGAGTTTTTCAGCCTCTGTTTTACTGGCTTACTGCAACACCGCTGTTACGGGTAGATCTGACACCCCAGACTGTGGTCATTATTAATAATATCTCATGTATGTCATCAGGTTTTTCATGATGTAAACTGTGTGTTGGTCAAGGGTGACAAGCCACTCTTTCTCACCGGTAAATTTCCAAGACTCATCAAGCAGGATGTAGGTGTAGTCTACGAGTTCACCCTCACTCCAGCAGGTGTAGTTCCCCATTTGGTCCTCTTGGAAGTCATGAAGGATCAGTTGTTTGTCTTTAAGCTCAGCTAGTTCTGATGGCTCTATATCTTCAGAGTCATGCTTCCATGTTACATGCTGTTTAGCAGTGTCACATCTCAGAGTAACATTTCCAGCAATTCGACCTAATGCAACTGCACACAGGAACACAAATGCAGACATAAAGACAATATGAGCGTACTGCTACAGGAAGCTGATTTTTACTGTGCTGATATGAGTGTGTGGCACATATTCTTACTTTTTTCAGGGAATGTGTCCACAGCTGACACTCTTGTGATGCAGAAGAGGAGAAAACAGACTATCCTCATTACAGTGCCCATCTAGAGAATAAAGATAGGGATTAGAAATTGTGGGGCAGAGGAGAGCAGAGAGAGAAAGGGTAAAAGCAGTATAATAATTACGTCTAATAGTAATGTGATATGCAGTATAATAATATTATAGAATATAGAATATAACATATAAAGTGCATAAGACACCTTAGACACCTAAACAACCATTTATCTCAACAGCAAGTGTGTTTTTGCTGCTCGTAAAAATCTAACATTAGAACGAATGCAAACTAATATTGATGAGGTAAAAAGTAACATCAATTTCTTCTTTTCGAAAATGTAATTGATATTTTTCACAATGTCAGAAGTAGACAAGTTTGGTCTCCTCAGTGCCCCCAGCCATCACATAGATTTGTTCAATTCTCTCAGCAGCACGAGCAGCTGCAAATTTAACATAATTATTTAACATAAACATTAATTACTAAGGCAACTATTGAATGATACAAATAATACTAGGTTTCCTCGAGGAGAGGTTTGGAAATGGTTAGGCGAAAACACTGTCATACATAGAATTACTGGTAAACGTTGCTTACTGTGGAGATAAATAGCTTACACATATATATATATATATATGTATATATATATATATATATATATGTATATATACACACACATATTTACAGTATATTTACAGTAGTCCTATGTAATTACTACTGTAATTATAACGTAATGTAAGATATAAAACACAGGGTTATGAGATTTGTAATACAATCTTTTATAGAGAGCGTACAGTGAAATCTGTGTAATCTCTTCACTCTTACCTTGTTCTCCGTTGCAGTAGATAAACTGTTGTGTGCGCGTCTGTATCTATGTGTGTGCGCGTGCTGGTCTGCTGTCCAGCGAACCGAGTGGAGCCTTTTATGCCCCAAAAGCTCCTCACTTCCACACCTCCACACCTCCCCCAGCGCGGGGGCTGCGCTGATTTCCCCGTGTGCGATGACATAAGCGCTAACACTCAGCGCCCTAATAACCCTTAATAAAAACTATACGCAGAAACTCGATGACTTTTCAGCACGTGGAACGAAAGCCGCGAGAGTCTGTTTCGCTCGATGTGTTTCTGAAAGTTACAAGAAAATGTCCTCAGCGTGTCCACGTGCACTGGACGCAGCATGTCGCTCTCATGAGCTGCACTGTTGGCTATTTTGTGTTAAAAAAAAGTCTTTATTGTTTTAATTCTTTCAATTCTACAGCATTTCTCCATTTTCATTATTAATCATTCCTTTTTTCTTGGTCTTTTGTGTCTTTGTTTTGATGCTTTCCTTATTTCTTCATCTTATTCCCCAGTAAAATGGTGAATGGCTCTTTTCATGTGGTTTCAGAGGAACAAGTAGCTTCCCTCTAAGTTCTGTGAAAAAAATAATGAAGATCTCAATATCAAATACAAGACACAGCAGAGCACTTACACACACTCCATTAGTGCTCAGCAAATGTGAAGAATGAAGAAATGAGAACATGACCAAAAAAAAAGAAAAAACAGAGATGAGGAGACAGAGAATGCACAAAATAGCATTTCAAGTGCTTATTGAGGTTTGGAGACTTATTTTTTTGGGTTGTTAATCATTTACTTAGCCTACACAATAGCCTGTGGCCATTCAGTCTTTCATGAAACAACTTGAACCACTGAAATCTTCTCTTTTTTTTTCTCTAAAAAGTGTTAGCAAGAAGGTTAGTCTTTCCCCTGCTAAAGAGGAATTCCAATTAAGCGTACGTTGAATGTGTGTGGGACAGTTCCTCTGTTCGTTTATCTCACGTCTGCGCTTTTCCCCTCTATGTTCTTTAAATATATGTATGAAAGAAACCTAACAGAAGATGGTGAGAGGTGATAAGGACAGTGATAAACTGTGGTAGATACAGTGTATGTATTTCCGCCACACTGACTTTGCTTTGCAAATGAGCCGAGGCCCTAATTTAAGCATAAAGACGGGGGGGGGACCCAGCCCCAATGGACTTTCCAGCTGTACCATTGGCTGAAAGGTGTGTTAACGGGCCCATTGTCCATGAGAATCGACATATTGATTCGTGTGACTGGATGTGAGAGCGAGTGTACCTGAAGAATACAGAAGACCCTTTATTAACCCTCACTTACATCATTTTGGCAGATCCCTATCGAGGTCAAACGCACAAACATACAGCAAAATCATTAGTGTTACGTTGAAGGGATCTTCCATCATTTTTGGGACAATAACATATTTCATTAGAAAAGGCACCTCTCCCTGCCTGGTCTAAATCTAAAACTTTACCGAACAGCACATAGACCCTCTGTGAATACTAACGAAAGATATACTCAGTCCTATTATTGTTTAAAAAACTAAGATCGTAAATACGTGATTTTCCGGATCAGAAATGAATAAGCACAATTGAAACATGTCATCTCTGTCAAAAAAGGTTTTATTCCAAGCCATTTTTGAGCATTCTCATTGGTCCATTCATTCTGAAATGTTCACACAATGTAAAGGGCAGCTACTGTGTTCAAATGATAAAAAAGAAAAATAATATGTAACAATATATTAGCTTTTTGGCATTAATTTTATTAATAAACACATATGCTTTGAGTCAACCATTTCTCTCAGTTTCTTCTTGTGGAGCTTCTTTAACCCCTTAAAATCTCTGGCTTATTACATACTAAGGCTTTTTATTCAGTAATCAGAGACACTTTAGTGCAAACTGGCTGGGCTATTCTTACATTGTAGAGGTATGTAATAAAACATTGGGCCTGCTGGTGCGCTGTGGCCAAGGGGTTAAACATGTTTAAGTAGAACGTGCTTTAGGTCACCCTTTTGTATTCCCATAAGATCATCATCTATGAATTTTCACAGCAGTTGGACAGCTATGTCTCAAGATTCATTATAAATAATGATTTTGTACCATGAACGTAACTTTTTTCATCCTAAGTGTTTTTGTTTACTGAGTTGTGTGTGTAAGTCACAAAATTCACAGTACACCAATTTTTTTCTATTGTGACAGTGAACTTTTTTACAATATGTAAATTATTATTTTGTTGATTTCAGGAGCCAAGATATCCATGATGTGAATCACGTGAAAAAGTTACTGCCTCCTTAAAATTAATAACTTGTTTCATGACCTTTAGCAGCAATAAATCCAATCAGCATTTCCTATAATTTCCTATAATCAGACTTTCACTTTGCTGTGGTGGAATATAAGGCCAGAACTGCCTTATTGGTAGGTTTTCAACTAAGGATTTGAACATTGCTCAGTTAAAATAAAACATTTTGTTTCATTTTTCATTCAGATGTGGATTTTGTGTTTTGCTCTATGGCAGATATAAAGGCACGTATGTTGTCCAAAAATCAGTGAAACATACCCTGAATAGCTTAGAGATTCTCCGGCTGTCTTTTTTGTGCAAATGTGAGAATTGAGGTTTCTTTGTTGACAATGTTCTCTGCCTTGCTGCTCTTCCACGAATGCCTTTTTTGTCCAGTCCCTTTCTTACTCTGGAATCGTGAACCTTAGTTGAGTGCCAGAGAGACCTGCAGTTCCTTGAATGCTCTCTTGGAACTTTGATGACTTCCTAGATGATTTCCACTTTGCCCTATGGGGACTTTTGGTAGGCCAGACACTACTAAGAAGAATCAGCAGTGTTCCTAGGGTTCTCAGTTTGTAGTAATCGCTCTCACTGAGGTTTGGTGATGTCCTAGAACCTTAAATATGTTTTTGGAATCCTTTCCAGACTGAGATATTTCAACCGCTTCCTTCTCCTCATTTCATTTGGATATTCTTTTGACCATGGCCTAATGTGCTTGTAAAAACTTTATAGCAGCAATATCACTTTGATGGTAAACTTCAATATGAGTGAGGTTTACACTGGTCTATGCTGGCCAGTTTTAAGCCTGGCTGTGTTCAATCAGCTGAATTTCATTATCAACTGAATTTGGTTCATTTATTGCTCAGGTTTTTCACATTGGTGTTGGATAACTATACTTCTTAAACATTCAAGAGATGTGCTTTGTTTGGTAGGGTTATCTTTGTCCAATATTGGATTATTTGTTTCAAGTCTAAAAGCAGATACTGTGAAAAATTATTAGAGGAAATCAGGAAGAGGGAAAAACTTTTTTCATGACACATCATTACTTTAATCACTCTCTCTTTTCATTTCACAGTGAGAGCTGGCCTTGATAAAGCCTCCAAACAGCAGGATTAGGTTTGAACTAAACCATGCAATGAAACAAAGAGACAATCACTACAAAAAAAAAGTAAAACTACTGATTTTTATTTAGTTTGTGCTGATTACTGATCTACTTCATCTGGTTCTAACAACATAAAACATCATTGAATTAACTGTGTTTGTGTCAACTTATGGGACTCCTTTAGCAAGTTTACCCAACTTCTGAGTACACTCTCAGAAAAAAGGTACATCACTGCGACAGAACCCCTCTTGTCACTGGGGTGGTTCTCTCAAGGGGACATCTAAGTACCTTTGGTCAGGGGACATAATTGTGCCAAAATCCATTGAAGTGATATTTTCTAAGTTGTACTGACTCCACAAACCCCGTCTTGTCTCCACACTTTTTATTTTATTGTTCTGTTTTAAAACATTACGTTATGAAAAGATACAAATATGTTTTCACCTGGGGTACAAAATTGGACCTTAAAACCACTGTTGTACCTTTCAGGGTACATTTACAGTGTTTGTACCTTGATGAACAAAGAATGTTTCTGCAAAGAACCTTTATTTCTAACAGTGTAGGGTAAGCTGTAACAATTGCACTTGCCAAGTTCTGTTGAATTGTCCACAAACAATGGGTGCTCAAAACAAAGTAGCAGAGAATTGTAGGGTGCTTGTATGAAAATGAAATTAATTTAGTGTGCACAAATATTTTTTAAATGATTTATTATAAATCAAAATGTGCACCTCTCTGGCCTACTTCTGTGATTTCTCTGCTCAAACCTGATTAAACTCATCAGTTAATTACCACATTGTAAACCTAAATAGGTTGACTTAAAAAACATGCAAACTTACTACTTATTTACTTACTTTCAAAATAAAGTTACTTAATAAGTTCAACATTTACTAACTTTATATTTGAGTTAGGCGTATTTTCTATTTTTCAGTGATCCACACATCTACAGTGAGTGAGGTTAACCTAAACAGCCCAATCATTTTAAATAGTTTCAGTTAAGCTGGCAGTACTCTACTTTTTAAAGTTTTCTCTCAATATAGTTCACTTGAATCAGCCTAGTTAGGTTAGCCTCTCATTTAATCGCACTTTGCTGCAAATAGGGTGTGGAATGCACTGGTATCAGCTATGTATTATTTTAAATGGATTGTTTCATACAGTAATGAACAAACAGCTACATATCCACTTGCTGCTTACAGTCTTATCCATCTCTTCAGACTGTAATGAAGAAATAAATAATACAAGAGGCTCCAATTTCTGAAATCTCAACTGGCTTTATGCATCTTTCTTTGCCATTCTGTTTAGAAACTGCTTGGGGCTGGTATTCACCAACTGAGTGTTCCTGGCTATAGTGTGAACTGATAAACCTGAGCACAAAACACCATTATGGTGAGAATAACAAAAACATGTAACATGAATCTATTGTAATATTTTAGCATGAGAATGTGTTATGACACACTGTTAGTTAACAGAAACCAACAAAACTGCTACGAATGCTAAGAAGCTGTTTGGGCTAAAGACTCTTTAGTCTGTAAGACTTACCCAAATGAACTGATCTGATAGATTTACTTAAGTATCTAAGGATTAGACAAGAAACGTTACTAGATTTGTAAGTTTACCAGATGAGAAAAGTAAACCAAAAAAAGTGCAGTTGTTACATTTTACAGTGCAGGTTTTATTAGATTTGTTAGTGCAGGAAAACGTCCCAAACTGTGTTGGGTGGATCCAAATCAAGTACCACTGATCTAGGACACTGCAGAATCCATACCTCACTCAATCATCACAGGGTCTCTTTGTTCTGAAGCAGCAAACTAGACAAAGTTCTTTGTCTTTGCTTTCTACCATATACAGGCAGGGTTGGGCAAAATACTTTAAGAAGTAGTGATGGCTGAATACTGAATACACTGTTCTAAATATATTCAGTAATGTATTCCAATACATTTGGAATGTATTCCAAATCTTGAAATGGCACATTGGAAATCTTTTTTTTTAATTCACACAGTTTCTCACTGTTACTGGTTGTCAGTTTTATTAATGTAATTATTCTGTTTCTCAAAATACATTTCATGAAAAATCACTTATCATTGAAGGAGTTTTTCCCCATAATTGCTTGCTTCAGTCCACTGCTGCTCCCACAATTCCACAAGTGGGAGTCCAGTAGAACACAGATGCTAAACTTATCACCCACAAACATGTTCACTACTGACCGTTTGACCATCCCTCAAAAGAGCTCAGTAATGCTGAGGTTAACCACTTAACATTCCAGGCCTATTACATACGAAGACTGATTATTCATTAATTAGAGGGACTTCAGTGCAAACTAATGGAGCTTTTCAAAGGTTATAAAAGTGAGTAATAAAACTTTGGGCCTGTCAGCAGGCCCATGGCTTGGTGAGGGGTTAATAACTGATCATCACATTGATTTATTAGTCTACTCAGGCTTTAATAGGAACTTTAGTTTGTAAAGAAGCTGTTAATTGATGTCCTCTTTAGTGTTTGTCTAATGAGCATGTTTGCTACATGCCTTAAGAATAGTCAGTAAACAAGCATTGATGCTGTTTCTTCTAAAGATGGTATGTATTTTTTAGATTCTTTTAGAAGTAACTCGGACTGAATACGACACTTAGTTTCTGTATTCTGGATACATATTCTCAGTACTTGTACTCTGTTACATCTTAATCTGTACACAGGCATCATTTACACTGGGGATGATGGGGACACCTGCCCACCACTCAGTGCCTCATTTCATTCATCAGTAACTGCTACAAAACAGAACCTAGCGGATCAGTGAAATTAGCCTTGCGTCAATATATTGTTACAATGTCAAGCTTGTAGTAATAGAAGAACCCTTTTGGGTGCTATATAGAACATTTTCAAAAAGATTCTATATAGTGCCATTTACAGCACATTCTCTATCAATCTGAAGAACGCCTTCATGATGCAAAGTACCCTTTAATCATGCAAAGGGTTCTTTAAGTGTTCAAGGTTCTATATTCAACCATTTTCTTTGGTAAAAACCCTTGAAGATCTTTTTTAAGACTGCAATGTTGAAAGCATAAGTAAATTAGGTTCACTCTGTAGCTAGCTAGCCTAGCTTGTTAATTTTTTTTTGTTTTATTTATTTATTTTTTTAACTTTGGAGTATTTAGAGCGTCCTTGCCTCCGGCTACCTCCTCAACTGGTTGTGACAGCTGTGCCCGGCTCTACCAGAAGAAAATACAATAATAAAAATCAAATGTCTAATTCTTTTTTGTCATGTTGAGAAACGTAAGGCTGTGATTCATTTATTATATAAATCCATCATTATGGTTTAACAAGAAGCACTAGTAAAGAAAGACAGGCTTTGTGTTTTTCTTTAATCTTACAGAAAACACACTGAATGGCTTTGTGTGTGGTTAGTAATCCGCTATTTTTAAGGAATGGTTAGGCAAAAAAATCTAATTTACACAATTTTCCAGTTTTCCCCATATCAGCCAAGACATATTTGGTGTCCGAAATCTGCAGGTTATTTTAGTGTGGAAGCTACAAGGGTAATGTTGCTAACAAACACTAGAAGTCAATAGTCACCCAAATCTTCTCCGTTAATACAGCCCCAAAATGTCTCACTCAAACTGCATCCAGCTTTTTATCAGGGTTGTGCAGATGTATTGATGTGATTTAAGACACAGTATCACTTACTGTAAAGTATAAAAATGAGCAAAACTTCACTGTGCATGCACATCCTGCAAGAACTGGATATTAAACATTACTTTCACAATTTCTGTTTTTTCTTATACATAACTTTTTCATCTTGAGTTTTCCAACTGAAGATATAAGTTCATGAATAGAAACAAATCCCAAGTGTAATCTACAGTCATTATGTCAGTGTGACACTTGACTGAAGAGAGCTGGAGAGTCAAAATTTTTGTTCATGTTTATATTTCACAAGTTAAACTTTGACCTAAACCGCATCAACAAGTCTGCACATTCTAATAAAGCTGGATGTGGTTTGAGCAGGTTGAGAGAGGTTTTGGTAATGCATTTACAGAGATTTGAGTTTATATTTATCAAGAAGAAGCAAAGAAGTGAAATTTGGAAACTAAACATGATGTGTGTAGTGGAGGGAGTGGTGTATCAGGTGTGTATGTGTAGGTGTGTGCGTGGGGAAGTTAGTGGTGTGTCAGGTTTGTGTGTGTGTATGTGAAGGTGTGTGTCCACCCCTTCGCTGATCAACTACATCTGGAGTAAGTGGAAAATTGTGTAAAAAATCCTTTAATAGTGGACTGAGGAGCCTCTTGTATGTGTGGTCAGCCCAGCCCCTAAAAAAAGAAAGACGAAATTAAGATTATGATTGTACTGTATGTTTAACTCTGTGTTAACCTGTTTCTCACCACGGTTTATACTTTATTTTTAACCCTGCTAACACACAGTAACTTTAAGACAGGCAAATCAATGACTTTTTAAGTTAAAAAAAATAAATCAGGTACACAATCTTCTCTGTTTAAAGCTTTGTTGTGGTCAGTGAAGTAAACTGCCATCGAGTCTATTTGCATGCATGTTTCGTTTTCTAGGACATCCAGGGCCAGATCCCTAGTGAGTAAGCTGAAGATGACAGTGATGAGGAAAATCTCCTTGAATTGGAAAGAGGAAGAAACCTTGAGATAAGCCCAGACCCAAAAGATGATCTATCTTCATCTAAATGGCACCAGAGAGCAAGGTCAGGTTGGTTTCATTTTGAGCTACATTATGAGCATTTGGAGCTGTATGAATTCACAAAGAATCAGAATATGTGGTGGGCTTGCAAATCCAGGCCTAGTTTCTCAAACACATTTGGGCATTATAATAATGTCAACGAGAGTATTCAACATACTCAAGTACTAGTGGGAAAGCCCCCTTGTATGGTTCCAGGGTTTTGAGCAGTCTTCAAACAATTAGTGATATGCGAAAAAAAACAGGAACTTCAGATTAGATTACTAAAGGGCACCTTCAATTTCTAAGGAATGATGGTTCTACTGTGTACTTAAAAATCTGTGGTTTCTGTGTCATGTGTGTAAAAAGGAGAATTTGAGTCAAAGTTTTGGAGAAACGAAATAAGCGGTATGGTTTAATGATGACCTAAATTTGGCCAAGGCACGCTCTTTCTGCGAGGACACGTAGAAGCGAGAAAAACACCCTGTGTAATTTTTGTGTGATAAAAAACTTAAGACGTTTTCTTAGAAGTTGTTTGTGCTTTCGAGTAAAGAACGCTGTCTAGAGTCAGGGCCATTCGCTGATCTTCAAATAATTCGTATCAGTGCACAGTGATGGTGTATGAGCTGAAGATCAGCGCATTTCCACTCCGTATGATTTTAGTAGCCGTCTACGGACTCGAGCTGTTCAATAAAGTTTCTACAAAACGGAAGTAGCCTATACAATATGGCGGCACCCGTGTGGCCGTAGAAACAACGTGATTTCTTTGCACAGTTAGCAGCTAAAATAAAAAAAACATCCAAAAGTTCAATTCAACCTAGTTTGCATCAGGAGACAACACTTCGGCAGGACTACTCTGGTACATTTTCCTTTCATGTATTCCTCCTCGACATGTTTTTAAAAGATGGATCAGTAAAAGTCAGTCAGTCGCTCGCGGAACCATAATAATCAGAAATGTGGCGATTATTTGAACAGACGACAGCGCTGTTTATAACAGGGAAACATGTACCGATTCTCGGCCGACAAGGCGTTCATATTCTACTCGTTTTGGCTGAAACTGAACTTCTCATTGTGTTATTTGGGCCGGTGTTCTGACGAATTCTGCTGCCTTGTTAAAATGTCCTGACGTTAAAGGTACCGCTCCACATAAACTGGACATACTCTGTTTTTTAAGGTTCTTTAGTTAGTAGAGGGAATGGTTCTGTTTAGAACAATGAGTTCTATATAGGGCTATGTTCTATGTTGTATATGGTTCTATATAAGCACATTTTTGGAAATGGCTCTATACAGCACCAAAAAGAGTTCTTCTATTGTTGCAAGCTTGCCATCGTAACTACCCATAGCAGAACCATTTTGGCTGCTATATAGAACCATACTTAAAAATGTTTTATGTAGAACTTACTCAACACATTCTCTATCAATCTGAAGAACCATTTCACTATTCAGAGATCCATGTAAGCTTGAAATGGTTCCATATAGAACTCATAGTTCTGAATAGAACCATTCCCTTTACTTTATATATTTTAATAGCAAAATCACAGTATCGAAAAATGCTACCAGCATTGTAATGTACAGGTGGGATATTTAACAGTCTAAATCACCCTGTTAGGAAACGTTACCAGCATTAAAAGACTAATTATGATATTTTGATAGCCTAAGACATCTCATCAGAGGCAAGTAGTAATATTAAGCTGACTCTATATTCAAATAACATTTAAAACACAGTAAAAGCTTTAAAGCATTAAGTTATTCTGATGTACTAATGATATGTGCATGCTCACTAGGACCACTTGATGGGTGGGACAAATTGTCAGAACACTGGTGATGTTCTTAGTCTCACTGTGGCCACACATTGGTTCATCTGTACATGTTCATAGTTGTGTTTGTTTTACTGTTATATACTGTTTTACAGCTGTTTCAGTGCCATCTTGTCAAATAGTTCTAGCGTAGTACTTTATATATTAAATGTAGCTCCCTACATATATTTTGTTTTGATTTGATTTGTTTTTGATCGCCCAAAACACCATATCAGATATACACTTATAGTACACCCAAAGTAAGGCTGAAATAACATTAAAAACACAATTATATGCTAAAAAAACAAGGTTACTATAATAATCTAGTAGTAGTAATGACCACAAGAAATTGGTAGGACAAATTGTTAGAACATCTGGCAGCCTCCAGTTCATCTATTAGTCCATTATTAAAGTTCTGTTTTGCAGTATGGCTTTTTAGTCATCTGTCTGTGGTGGATTGTGATTAATTACATGTCCTGTGCTCTTTCATAGATTCATTTAGGTCTCTAAAAGACAGAAGTCAGCAGAGATGGCTTCGTTTAAACCTGTTAAAGTCCAGACGTATCCAAAACTAGGAGAAAGGGTGACTGAGGACACGCTGTACTGGAAAAACTACAAGGTATTCATGAGAAATGTTTTTAATTTCTGTAATAACAGAGTAATTTCTGTAATAAGATGTTTAATACGTTTTCTCCTTCTCAGGCTCCTGTGCAGATAAAAGAGTTCGCCGCTGTAACAAAAATTGAGTTTTCTCCGCTGCCACCTCACAATTACGTAGTCACAGCCTCCACCAGAGTAAGTCAGTCAGTCTGTCCTTCTCCTATACTTTAAACAGGAATGATTAAAAAGAACGGTTTCCGTTATGAAGATAACCTAAACCTTGATTAAAAATAAGATCATACTAACATATCAGGGGTTCCCAATCCTGGTGACCCCATGATCTGCACTTTTTGTGTTTTCCCCTACTCTACACACCTGACCCAGTCCATGAGGAGCTTGTTAATTTGTTAAAGAATTAAGTCAAAGTGTGCATAGTGTGGGTTCACCAGGACTGGGATTTGGAAACCATGGTCTACAGCATTCACCTGGTCACATTGACAGTTTAGCTGTCAGTCAGACATGACTGTTACAGAGGGCTGCTAGTTGTGTCAGGCAGTGAATACGACTTCATACTAATTTTACTCATCTAATAAAGGGGAAGAGCATTTAAGTGCATTCACATGCACCCCTAACTAACTCTCTTACATTTGTGCTGGCTTGACCTCATCCAATACATAAACAACTGATCTTTGCAGTATTGAATATGTGTTGGATGACGGTCAAGCCTGCCACTTGCATGTGCCCTGAACATAGATTAGAAACGGAGAGACGTGCAAAACCACTGTTGAAGCACTTAACAAAAACTTACTTAATACTTGATTATGGCCTTTAATTGGAAGCAATTAAAGGAAAGAAGATGGAAAATCTTAACAGCCCTTTTGCTCTCAAATGTATTTTCTGTCAGATCCAGGTGTACGGACCTCACTCACTGGAACCCGTGCGGACTTTCACTCGTTTCCATGACACAGCATATGGAGGAAGTTTCCGTGGTGATGGAAAGCTGCTAGTAGCAGGGAGTGAAGAGGGGCTCATCCGACTCTTTGACACTGGCGGCCGTGTAGCTCTCCGACAGTTTACAGGGCACTCTAAGTATGTTTGAGTGAGAGTGTGTGTGCGTGTGTGAGAGAGAGAGAGAGAGAGAGAACATGAGAAGATGAGAGGTGTTTGTTTTACTGTAGAGAAAAATTCAGATGTGAGATGGCAGTTATTACACCTGACTGTTGACAATGTTGTGGGTGTCTCTTCTGCTCAGGGCGGTGCATGTGACGTCATTCCTCTCTGATGGCTATCGGGTGTTGTCTGGCTCTGATGATTTGTCGTGTCGTGTGTGGGACGTGGCCAGTGGCACCGAGATGAACTCTTACACTGAACACACTGACTACATCAGAGCTGCTGCTGCCAGCAAACTCAACCCAGATCTCTATGTCACAGGTATTTCTGCTACACCTCACTACACCTCACCTACACTATCATTCTCACTTATTTATATGTCATGTTGATGTTACTGGTAATTGTTTTGAAAATGTTTTATTTAGGGTGCATTTACATTTGTAGTTTGGTTCCCTCAGTCTGGACCAAAGCATACAATGGTACATTGTTGCATTTCAGTTCTGGTTTGCTTAGCATTGGCACTCACTTATTTGACGTCATACTAAAGATGGAAACAAGAATCACAAGTGATCGGACAGATTTTGTGAAGCACATTTAAGCATTTGAACAAAAGGGCAGTGTGTTATTACATCTAACATCATGGATATAATTTGGTCGTAGGTGCATGATATTATTTATAAATTCTAAATATATAAATTAACTTGAGGGTTCTGTTGCTTTTAAACAGCAGTTCTGTTCTTTAATAGCTTGTATTAAAGCCTTTGCTTTAATATCAGCAATTTCTTCAGGGAAAAAAAGCTGCATCTGTTTGGGTTACGGGTAGCGCAGTAAAGTTTTATACTGTGCATTACCTGAATATACCTTCTTTCTTGATTTCTCAGAAATAAATGTCCAAAAATGATCAAACTACATTTTCTCACTCCTAAAACACAGAATACATTACACCCAAAAATATTTTTAAAAATGTCTTTCGTTAAATTTCACTGAACAAAATTGCGGATCACCAACGCTTTAGTCAAAAGAAAATCAAAATCGTAAGTTTGATTCCCAGTGATGTCACTGCCATCCGTGGCCGGGAGTCCAAAAGAGTAGAATTGGTCTTGCTCTCTATGGTTGGGTACGATGGCCCTCCCTCTCTGCCATCCCTCAGCACAGTGCTAGCCAAAAATGCATTGGCTTGACACGACTGGGAGGAATCTCATGCTAGTCTTCATGCTCCCAGCATTGGTAGGATGTACGTTACAGCAGAGAAAGTTGAATATCCAATAAATCTCCAATATAAAACCAATTTTACCACACTGTCACATATAAAAAGGTTTAACTTTTAGGTTAAGATCAGCTTTTTCAATGCTTCAGTACTTCCAAGATTAACCTGATCTTTTCGTTCCAGTCAGTCTGTAAAGCATTTCACAGCCCATCTTGTTTGCTGAATTGCATTCTGTTTGTTTCTGGCTAATTTGAATAATTGTTCTGCCCTCACAGTAGAAACATCGTTACTTAGAAACCGGTGCACAACGGAAGGAGACAGTTGTTATGAAAAACAACTCTATCATTGGCTAGAATCTGATAGTGCTCTTGTGTAATTTCTGACAATAACTGCAGTGATATTCAATAAGGTGTTATCTGGCTTAACTGAGCTTATAGGTCTTATCTATATCCTCTTTTATCTGTGGCTTGTGATAACCTAATGCAATATGTCATGAGAAGTTCTGCGTTAACATGGTTTCCCACAAAGCCAAGTCGGGGAAATCACTGTGAAAAACCACTGCTACAAGCGTCTTAGGATGTGCGCAAATAATGTATAATGTAATTGATCTGTGTATGTCAAGTATTTTACAATGATTTCAAAGGTGCCTCTACCTCGTTTTAAAACCAAAACTTTCCATTCTATAATTAGCAATTCAGGGTTCATGAAAAGATGATAAAGGCATCCATGTATCAAAACAGCATCAGAAATTCATCTGTTGTAGAAACAAAGGCGGGTGTGTGGAGAAGAGATGGCAGTTCATTCTGGTCCATTTAAATGTAGAGACCGACCTTCTATGCTTATTTTGTGCACACCAGGGTTCTAATGGCAATGTTCACTTGTTCCAACAAACCACACTATTAGAGCATTCACACCAGGGTTCATTTCAGTCAAACCAAACCTACCAAATGAGAACATGCTCTTGAAGTTCTCTACATTTTAAGACTGTTGCAAACTTGCGAAGATGTTGAAACATAAGTATTAAGTATTTTGCATATATTTGTCTTTAAATGTTTGATCTATGTTGCTTTTTGTTGTTCTCCATAACAGGTTCTTATGACCACACGGTGAAATTGTTTGATGTGCGAGTAGGAGGCAGTGTAATGACCATGCAACATGGTCATCCTGTGGAGAGTGTTCTGCTTTACCCTTCAGAAGCCCTGTTGGTGTCCACAGGTAATCACTCACACATATACATACACACACACACACACACACACACACACTATCTAAGCCACTTATCCCCCTGGGTCGTGGGGGGTACTGGAGCCTATCCCAGTGGTCATTGGCTTGGAAGGCAGGAAACACCCTGGACAGGTCTCCAGTCCATTACAGGGCAGACACACAGACACATACATTCAACATGCTTAATTTCATATTTACTTATGGCTTCCTGTAGCGCTTTAAATCATAACTGACCACTGTACTCTGCAACAGCACAGCAGATGATATGACAATAAAACAATTCATTGGTGTTTTCTGGCTGCGCCCTGGAGACTGTGCTCTGTGCCTGTAGTCATAGTAGTGCATGTGGCTCATGTCTTGAACAGGAGGACGGTATGTGAAAGTTTGGGACTTGTTGAAAGGAGGACAGCAGCTTGTTTCTCTGAAGAATCATCATAAAACAGTCACATGTGCGTGTCTAAGCACCACAGACAACAAACTACTCACAGGCTCACTTGACAGGTGCGTTTTGCTCACATCTTGCTCTGTAGAGCAGCTTGTTTGTTTGTTTAATTCATCATAATTGTCTTTGATTGATAAATAGTGGTAATTATAGTACTAATATAAACATAGCGTTACTAACAAAGCAGACCACTGAAACTTTTGCCTCATTTTTTCTTTTGTACAGGCATGTGAAGGTCTATAATTCCTCTTACAAAGTTGTTCATAACTTTGACTATGCAACTTCCATCCTTAGCCTGGCTGTTGCGGTAAGTAATGCGCTGTGAATACTCAAACAACTCCACAAGCTAAGCTTACAATAATTGGTGCAGCTTAAAGACTGTCTTTATAGTCACTAATGAAGTTTTCGTGTGTGTGCTTCTAGCCTGATGATAAGGTGATTGCTGTTGGGATGACAAATGGTGTGTTAAGTGTCAGACACAGGAAACACACCGAAGACAAACAGGAAGTACTTGGTAAAAGGAGGCGTAGTCCAGCATATCGGGTGTTCATCAAGGGGAAAAACTACATCCCTAAACAGGTACTGTGATTGGATTCGTGCTCAGTGTCCAGACTGTCATACTGTTTTTGTGATTTAAAAATGCACTACTTTTGAGTGACTTTTCTTTTCTCTCCCACTCATCACCTCTCAGGACGATTTCTTGGTCAGTAAAACAGTCAAACAGCATCTACAGAAACATGATAGACAGCTGAAGAGCTTCCAGGTGTCTAAAGCACTAGATACAGCACTAGAGGCAAGTACATGCACATGAAAAACACATACACACTGTGCTCTCAATCCTAGTTATTTGTCTAGTGTAGGGCTGCCCAAAATGTGGCCCACAAGAAGACATTTGATTTTGCCCCTCACAAAATTAAGTTATCCTAACCCTCAAAGGTTACCTCACCAAATGTGACAACAAATATATTTTGGTACTCTATATAACTTAAATTCATATTTTCCTTTTCAATTGTATTCATGAAGTGCACTATATGGACAAAAGTATTTGGACACCCCTCCTATTTATGGAGTTCAAGTGTTTCAGCCACACCTATTGCTCACAGATGTGTAAATCAAATCAAATCAAATCAAAATCAAGCATATGGCCATACATTCTCCGTAGACAAACACTGGCAGTAGAATGTGTAATACTGCAGAGCTTAGTGGCTTTAAATATGGCACTGTCACAGGATGCCACCTTTGCTACAAGTCAGTTAGAGAAGTTTCTGCCCTGTTTATATGTGCTATAAATGTGAACTGAAAGTATCTAGGAGCAACAACAGCTCAGCCACAAAGCGGTAGACCACGCAAACTCACAGAGTGGGGCCCATGAGTGCTGAAGCACATAGCATGAAAAAAGGCCTCTCCTCTTTTGCTTTAATCACTGCAGAGTTCCAAATTGTAGTAACAAAATATAGTGTAATGTGAAATTTTTTAAAAATGTTATTTGAAACCTACCCGTATTTGTATATTGTTTTGTTGGCCCTCGGCCCACAACAAACATTGCACTTTGGCCCCAGTAACAAAGTTTTCAGATGCTTCTTAATGCCTTTGATGGAAATGCTATCTGGCCAAATTGTGTTTGGGCTTTTTTGTGAACTTTAAAATGTCTGTAATTACAGTTTTTACGTTTGGATGAATATGGCATATGACTCACTTTGAATCTTATGAGCAGTGAGATTAATATTTTAAAAAACCCAGTGATTAATTGTGAGGTTTGATGAAGTAAGGGAATCAAAGATGATAAGAATGTTGTGTTTCCAGACATGGAGACGGTTCAGTAAACCCGAAGTGACGGTAGCAGTGATGATGGAGCTGAACCGCAGAGGAACACTGAAGAACGCTCTTGCGGGACGAGATGAGCAGAGTTTAACCATACTGCTCAATTTCCTCATCAAGTACGTGTATGCACACACAACCACATCCATGCAAGGGAAATGACACATGAGTATATTCATATCAATACTGTATTCATCCTCTGTGTTTCTCTAAATGTGGTGCAATACTTGGTCACAGTAATAAACTAATGACCTGCTCCTTCAGGCACATGACAGATACACGGTTCTCCCGCGTGTTGCTGATGGTAGCGGACATGGTCATTGGTGAGTGTCCTGTTTTCTGTGTCTGAGTGCCGTGTCTATGTATAAAACTTCCTGTGCCCACCATAACTACTCTTGCTATTTCATTCAATTGCACACTTACTGGTCATTTGACACACCTACACCATTGGTACACCATGTAGGTGTACTTTGATATTTTTTCAAGCAGTTTCTTAGTCATTCTCCAGCCCTTTGATAGGTGGTCAGTTTATGAAAGTGGCTAGGAAATTGTGCAGCAACTGATGGGCTATAGCAACTGTATACCTATGGAGTGCATCTATATAGTAGGTGTACCTGATTAAAGGGATTGTTCAGTAAAAAGTCAAATTATACAATGTTCCAGGTTCCTCAGATGTAGTCAATCAGCCAAGACATGCTTGGTATTCAAATTTTGCTTCTAGTTCAGCACTGGTGCTACAAGGCTAATGTCGCTTTCAAACAGTAAGCTAGTGGTCAGCCAAATCTTTTTCATAAATACATCCCAAAAACCCTCAAACCGCATCCAGGGTTTCATCAAGGTCTCACACAATATGACTCACTGTGAAGTATGAAAATGAAGAAAACTTCTCTTGGTAGCTAAACACTGCAGGCAGCCACTTTAGATAACAGGTGTTTGGCTGAATTCAATTTTATCCACAGAATCTGACTCCTTATTTGTGTGCACATGTCATACAAGCAGATGGACACTACAGATTATGTTTGTGATTTCCTTTGTGTTTGTTTTTATACGGATCATTCTACCAAATTGGTTCAAAGCCAGAGTTCACTATGCATTTGACTTTTAACTGACTTTCCTTTTGCTTTGAGTGATCTTGTATCCTAATTGTATAAAAAACCAATGACTGAATATTCTATTTTGTCAAGACTTTACCAAGTGTTTCATCAGTTACAATTTTGGCTAAGTTTGAGCATAACTCAAAATCGGTACCCAGTGCAGGTCTTGCAAACACAGCGTTGAACAGTTGTGTATATATAAAATCATAATTAAAAAAACAAATTTAAACACATTAAAAAACAAATGGATTAAACTGCTCACCATGTGATCATGGGGGACAGGGATGCAGTCTCACTTCCTCCTCTAAAATTCAGGGGTGTTGCTTAAATAGGGTTCCGCCTATGATTTTCAAACTCTGTGTATTTCAGTGGTGACATGAAAACACAGGACAGCATTTTTTTTTTTTAAAGTTGAAGGTGAAATTTGGGGGTTTGGGTTTGGGACAGCCACCTCCTGGAAGAAGGTGTACACTCTAAAGGATTTGTATACGATTTGGTATATATTTAGCTTAGTAATATCTCAATGAATACCTTGGGTTTAAATAGATCATAACATAAGCCTTGTAAATATCTAAGGCCTAAATACTTAATTTTATTTTTATTCTTCTGTGGGACTGCAGTTTGAACTAATTTGGTCCATAAATAACAGTTAATCTTAATTTTTAAAGCGAAGATATGTTTATAAATAGAAACAGAAATTGTGAGCATAATCTAGGATCCATATGCCTGTATTTTTTGTTGTTTGTTGTGTGTTGTGTTCTAACCCATGTTGCCAAGTCTGAGTGACCTTAATGAAGAGCTGGATGCAATCTGAGCAAATTGAGAGAAGTGTTTTATTTTGGTGACTATTGACTTGTATTTGTTAACAATGTAATTCTTGAAGCCTCTGTGCTAAACTAAAGAAGAAAAATTTGAATATCAAACATGGTTTGGCTGATGGATTACATCTGGGGTAAGTGGAAAATTTTGCTGATGTTTCACCAATCCATTCCTTTAAATGGCCAGTGAGTGTAGATACGAGGTAGGAGGCTTGATAGGACCCACTCTTTGTTGTTCTGGACCCCTGAATTTAACAAGGCTTTGTCTGTCTAGATCTGTATCATCAGGTGGTCCCACAGTCCCCTGTTGTCGAGCGACTACTGCAGCGTCTGATGGAGCTTCTGGGTCGTGAAGCAGAGCTTCAGCAGGAGCTTCTGCAGGTACTGGGAATTATGGACACCCTCTTTGCCTCATTGACCCCACGAAAAGAGGTGACTGGCCCTGCGGCCCCACCCATCATGCAGGGGTCACAACTACAGGCTGCCTGACATGGACTATGAGCATCTTGATGTGGTCATGGGACCCGAAAAACAAAACTGGACTTAAAGGAAGACAAGTTGGCTAACCCACAAACTAGGTCTTAAGGCCAGGCATTTTGTGACTTGTGTCTGAAAACAGCATCAGGGAACGATCACGGTGTCAGTTTACCTGTATTTTATATGTGCATATATAAAAATTTATTATGAAACATGTTGTTTGAGTTTTTTCTTCAATCTCTAATGACCTTATTCCATCTTAGTGAAAAAAGACTTCAAGCTGCCTCAGACTTTGTGTGCAGTAGTTGTATATTGAGGTTGTGCTTTAATGTTTTCTCTGGAAGCCCAAAGAAGCATAATGGGCCTGCCTGGGTGTGACTTCCTAAATGCCTTGTAGGTTACCAACATCTGTTTGTTTGTTTATTTATTTATTTATTTACTTATTTAGCTTCTGCTGATGTCTGTTTTATACTACAGAGATTTTCCCACAAACACACGAACAGTGAGTTCCTTTTTATTCAACTTTATCTTGTAAAACAAGTTTCCTTTAATGCACATTAAACATGCATGTGTTTTGTAACATGCCAGTGATTATAAATTCTCCAATAGAGTAAAAGGCCTTCTCTCATTCAAATGTCTTGGGAGACATTGAGACAAGACTAACTTGCTGAGGAAGAGTACTGTACTACTTTTAGCGTGTACAAGTAACTAAAGGAGTGCAGAATGCATTTGACAAAACAATATCTGGATATTCAGCACAACCCTTAGCACTGTTTGGTATCATGCTTGAATAATAGACAGTAGCTTGACGAGAGTAGCAAAAGAGAATAATCATAGAGATGTGTGTAGGCCCAAAGGAGGAAACACTGCACCCAAATAGAGGAAATGAAAGTCAAGTCATGAATTTCTGTCCTTGCCTAATCAAGTTTCGATGAAATTAATGTCTATGAATGAGGGCACCGTGGCAGAAATTGAAACTGAAGAGATCTGGTGATTACTGCTGAAACAAAAGATATATTGTTTTAAAAATGGTGAAGTCACACACGCACCAAGCAGTTCATTAGGAGCGCCTCCTTGCTTCTACACTCATTGTCAAATTTATCACCTCACCTCAACACCTCAGTGTCACTGCTGAACTAAGAATTGTCCACCAACCAAAAATATCCAGGCAACGGCGTCCCGTGTCCACTGATGAAGAACTAGAGGATGACTTACACAAATTGTGCAGCAACGTATGAGCTATCATTTACACCTACAAAGTGGACCAACAAGGTAGGAGTGTCTAAGAGTTTGGACAGTAAGTGGGCACAGTGTTTGAAAACTCCACCAGTGGTGGTGGTGTGTTAGTGTGTGTTGTGCTGGTACGAGTGGATCAGACACAGCAGTGCTGCAGGGTAAAAGGGCACCTATATAGTAAGTGGAGCTGATAAAATGGACAATGAGCATGGAAACAAGGAGGTGGTCATAATGTTATGCCTGATCGGTGTGTGTATATATATATATATATATATATATATATATATATATATATATATATAATGTATATATATACTTTGACTGCCCTATACTAGAAAAAAGATGAAATATTCAGAAAACATCTTAAACAGATGATGCAATCATGCTTGGATATAAAAATAGCATGCAGGAAAGGCCTCGTGCTTTACAAGCAAGAATGATTAAGGCTCATCACTTTGCCAAAAATGCTATAGCAAAAAATCCAGCAGTTTAAAAATAATGTTCCTCAGCCAGATATTGCAAGGCATTTCACCTTCTATAGTGCATTATGTCATCAAAAGATTCAGGAAATCTGGAGAAACTTCTGTGCATAAAGGACAACGGTGAAAATGAAAATGAGTGCCCATGACTTTCGACCCCTTAGACGACACTACATTAAAAACGTACATGCTCCTGTGATGGATATCATTGTATGGTCTCAGGACTACTTTGAAAAAATGTCATTGAATACCATCCGTCGCTTCAGGAACAAATGCAAGACTTGTTTAATAGAAGAATGGCAAAAACTTCTGCCTTCTATGTGTTTTCAGTCCCTGAACGATTATTAAGTGTGGTTAAAAACTTAAGTGATGTAACAAAGTGGTAAATATGCTTCTGTCTCTGTCCTTTACAATGAGCATGTATGTACAAAAAAAACAATGAAGTTCATGGGGAAAAAACATATCATAGTGTTTTTGTACCATTTTCAATTTAATACAGGTCAAACAGAATTTAAAAACAATTGCTTTCTGTATTTATTGGCATTTCACATACTGTCCCAACTTTTTTTTAATTGAGTGTGTATTTAAAATGTGTGCAAATACAGTGAGACTGGATATTTCTAAACTAAAATGAGCAAGTAGTAAGACATACATGGAAATTATGTACAGTAAAAATAATCTCACTTCACTTTTTTATTTGTAATTCTTAAATTTACTCATATTTTCAGCTAAAAGATAACTGCCATGCCAACAAGTGGTGTGATGGTAATGACAGCTGAATTTTGTTATTATAAATGTATAATTTGCATAACTGTGAACATGTAATTAATGTTATACTTTTCATTATTTTATTATGGTGGAGAAGTTAAAAACCGGTTGAAACACATTGCAAAAACCAAATCACATAAGTTTAGTGCGCTTGGCATAGGCTTGAGTACGTGGCGATTCTGAGCCAATCAGATCACTCAGTTTGCCTGAAGTGGACCAATAGAGACACGCTCCGTAGTACGTCACCGGAGGCGGTGCAGAAGAGAACTAGTGACTTGATTGGTCGGAGCTGATGTTCTCAGGAGGAAGCGCTTTCACAGTGTAGAGTTTATATCCGGAACGGGGTTCAGTTCGGAACCGGCTTGCAAAAACATTTAAAGTTAGGATTCTGGTGAGTTGGATCGTCTGCACTCACAGGACTCTTTTTGCTAATGTTCTGCTCATTTTTATGCCCCACTTTCTAGCTTGAGAAACAAGTCGTGACAGCGCTAGATCAGTGTAAAGGTGATGTGAGGCGCTGTCCGTTGTCCGTTACACCCTGAGGTAGCTAACCGTAGCTAGAAACGTTAGAAATGACTTTACTGTATAAATTAAATTCGTCTTGTAGAAAAGTATCCCAGTATTGGCCAGCATTGAGATGTAAGCAAAGCCATTCAGAGAGGGTTGATGTGAAATTGTGCCTTATAGAAAAAAAAACGTGCTGACTCGGATGTCTATAGCCATTTTATTTAAAGTTAACTTACTATCCGAAACGACCAGTGAACCTGGTTTCTGAGATTTTATATGGGATGTTGATAACACTAGCTAAAATAGTGGCAAATCGGAAAAATCTTTTTTTCGCTTACAACGCCCTACATATACCTCTCCACAACCATGAATGGATTTTAAAATGTTTTAGACCAAAACGTCCTCAAAACCTTTCGTAAACAATGTCTCAGACATCAGGCGTGTTCTTAACCATTTTGTGTAATAACTTTCTGTCAGTGAGCTTTTAAAGGCATAAAATGCTTCAGACGTTTGGTTTCTATCACCATCACTGTGAACATGGCTAAGATTCTGGAGAACAGAGCATTTCACATAAAACCACCCTGAATGGCTTTGGTTACGACTAGCCGTGTAATTATGCAGAAAATTAGAAAATTGAGTGGAATTTCCCTTCAATAAAATACCTTCATGTGCTAAGAATTCTGTTGCTGTTCTAGAAGTTGCTCAGCACTGAAGCATTTTTGTAATTTTTTTGTTTGTTTTTTTTAGTACTTCAACTGACTTTGTTTTTGAAAGGGATTTTACATTTTACTGCTTGATTCATTATTTCCTTGCAGTAACAATGTTTTTACTTGAGTCTGGGTTTAGGCTACTCTACCTATCTTTGCTTATACTCCTTTTCTAGACGCTGCAAGATCAGAGAGGAGAGGATGGAACTGTGGCCTTTGCTTTTGTGCGTCGGTCTTTGTGTAGTTCACATCTACAGTAAACCAATGGAGAAGAAGGACCGTGTCCATCACGATGCTCCACTCAGTGACAAGGAGCATGATGATGATGATAGTTTTGACTATGACCATGATGCCTTCCTTGGCCAGGAGGAGGCAAAGACTTTCGACCAGTTAACTCCAGAGGAGAGCAAGGAGAGACTAGGGTATAAACACATCAACGCTTATTCAAAAACAGTCCAGTTTTGTTTAGTATAGTGATATTTGCTGATAGTCTTACCGGTCTTTCTGTCTTTCTCTGTCTTTCTACAGTATAATTGTCGATAAGATAGATGAGGATGATAATGGCTATGTTACTGTCGATGAGTTGAAGAAATGGATCAAACATGCTCAGAAGCGCTGGATCTATGAAGATGTAGACCGGCAGTGGCAGTCTCATGACCTCAATGGAGATTCATTTGTTTCCTGGGAAGAGTACAAGAACGCTACATATGGCTACATTCTCGGTGTGTTTGTATGTGACAGTGTGTGGACATGTGTACAGATGACATAGTGTAGCGATACGCTCGGGTCACAGTTCGATCTGGTTCACAGCGCCTGGTTCACAATTCGGTACTCTCACAATATTTTGAACAAAACTCAAATGAAGAGAAATGCTGACTATAATCAGCTTACAGGTGACACTTGAGCTGGGGCTTGTCTTATGAAACACGTTCAACTGTGTGTTTCTGACTAAGTTTCAGCTTCACAAAATCAAACAATCAAACAAATGCAGCAGCGGTTAACTACATTTATGTATTTGAAAAACACTTACAATTTAATCGTGTTACAGATGTCGGTGAATGTAGCATTAGGAATCTTGCCCAAGGACTCTTGTTGTAGCATGGTGAGCATAATTCAGACTCCAGCCCGCTGCATGGAGGGCAACAGTAGTATGCTATGCTGCCACACTACACTAACCAGCAGTTGTTTTAGATACTCGGACTATGATTATTCCTTGTGCACATGCACATGAAAGTGTGACATTTACGTTGAATTGTATGGAGGAGTTAAGTGGCTTATTTTTCAAACAGACAAAATCATACTATGTCAATATTTAGAAAGTGAAATATTATATTTATATTATTTCGAAACTATGTATACTGATTTATTTTCCTGTGCTGTAAACATTTTTTACTTGATTGATGGCAGAAAGTTCAGAAAAGAAAAAACAACCCAATTCCGTAAGAAGACTGCCCTTGATTATTCACAAGCTCAACCCTGATTAGTCCAAGAACTGTTTATGATCTGTGCAGCATAACTTGGCTGTTGCATAAATTGCATAAGTTGGTGATATATCCCGGTAAAAAGTGAGACAGCAAATTCAGGGTTAGCTCGAACTAAGCTTAAAGTTAGCTGGCTAAAGTAAACAAGAAATCCTGCTTTGTGAGACAGAACACTGGGAGGCAGGAGGAGTGCTGGAGTGGGTTGACTGGTGCTGATTGTTTGCAAAAGACAAACATAACAACAGGCAGTGTAATTGCAGATAGGATAATCAATAGATTGTCCATTCTCCACGATGCACATTGTCACAGTTTTACATTCTGATAACATTATGTTGAGATGCATTGTTACACCCCTAGTCATCACTTATAAGAACTGTTTGTGTAGCTGGCTGATGATGTTGTCTGTGTCTGTGCAGATGAGTCAGACCCTGAGGATGGTTTTAACTACAGACAGATGATGTCGAGAGATGAGCGGCGCTTTAAAAGGGCTGATAAAAATGCTGACCTGCGGGCAGATAAAGAGGAGTTCACAGCCTTCCTACACCCTGAAGAGTATGACTACATGAAGGATATTGTAGTGTTGGTATGTCTGAGAGGCACACACAATGTCAGCAAGAGTGTAGTTTGTTAGAATTTGGATTAGATTAAACTTGACCTGTACTGCTCTTATCAGCTCGCCTAAAATAACACACAATCACGGCCATTGACTTATTCGTTGTGCTAGTTTCTGCTGGAACTCTAGGTAAATGTGTAAGCCTTTGGGCAAACTTTGCTGCTAATGTCAAATGTTTTTACTTTCTGATCCTCAGGAGACAATGGAGGACATTGATAAAAATGGAGATGGTTTCATTGATTTAGAAGAGTACATTGGTGAGTGGAACATATAGGAAACACAAACATTACATATACCTCAGTTATTTTTATTTTGCTCACATCTGTCCTCTTTTTTGTCCCTCACTAAGGTGATATGTACAGTCAGAATGGTGACCCAACAGAGCCAGAGTGGGTGCGGACAGAGAGAGAGCAGTTCACAGAGTTCAGAGACAAGAATAAGGATGGGCGTATGGATAAGGAGGAGACGAAGGACTGGATTCTTCCCTCAGATTACGACCATGCAGAAGCAGAGGCCAAACACTTGCTCTACGAATCTGATGCAGACAAGGTGAGAGTGAGCGTCATGCTCCGAATTCTCATTTGAAGAATACTGAACATAATAATTCTTGCATACGAAACTCTATTTGGTTTATTTCTCTGAGGAATGGTGTAGATTTTAAAGTGAATTTCTTTCGTTTCTGTCACTCAAGATCATATGCAGGTGAAGGCAGACGAGCAAATACTTTTGGCAATATAGTGTATATTGGCAAAAAATTAAACACAATGTGGCTCTTATGTTTTATTTTGTCCAGCAAATACAGTAAATTGTGCACTAAAACCTGCTGAAAAATCCCATATATAAGTTTGTTCCCTGTAGAGAATGAGTGACTTAATTTTTGCTTGGAAATTCGACCAAAATATGTAATTTGACTGCAGGTCTTCACACTTTTGCATACAAGTGTAACTCTGTATTGCGTACAATCACATATTTAACCAACCTTGCCTTGTCCCAGCAGTGCACATGACAAATATTTTAGGAACCTAGACTTTATGAATGCCTTGTGATAAATCTCTCAAGACTGGTTAAGCCTGGAATTCCTAGCTGCCTCGTGAAAGTTTGGCATACAGCACAGCACAAATATGCTGTTCATTGCCCTTGCTGTCACCAAGCACATTAAAACATGACCAATTGGCAGTATTTAAAAACAAAGATGAAACTAATGTGGCACTGACAATTTAGTCATCATTAGTTCATTTTATTCATTATGGTTTTGTTTTTGTTTTGTTTTTTTTATAGAAAAATTGTCATAAGCACAGTATATAGTATGCAGTCTGCTATGCATGCCATCAGTTCATCATTTGAATATCCCTTTGTTAGGCAGCCCCTCTTAGATACTGTGTAGATGGATCAAAGTGGCAGAAGTCATAATCTTTTGGTTGGAGAGTTATGAAGCAGGAATGGTTGTTTTGTTTGACAGTACCTAACACTTCTTGTGTGTGGTTGTGTGTTCTAATTGCAGGACGGACAGCTCACGAAACAGGAGATTGTGAATAAATATGACTTATTTGTTGGGAGCCAAGCAACAGATTTTGGAGAGGCTCTAGTAAGACATGATGAGTTTTAATCTCCAAATGATTGCGTGTGACAATGTGAAATGGACACTAATTTATTTCACAATTTTCCTTGTGTAAAATCCCAATTGTGTAAACTTCCACAACCAAGAATTGTCATTTTTCTACTTTTGTAAAAGAAAATGATCAAATATTGTTTAGTTAGCTTTTATGTCAGACATTTTTAGTGTATTCATAGAAGGTAGATTTTGAAGGTAGACAGCTGATTTTGTATCCAGATGCACTGAACATTAAGAATTCATATCTCGTTATGCACAATATAAAATCTATGGAGTGTTGAGGTTTGTACAATTTTAGGAAGGATTATAATAATGTTGTTTACCCTTGTAATCAAACTTTATGGCATGTTTAGTGTCTGATATAGGACTTGGATTGTCGCTGTAGGTTACTGAAAGTCAAAAGTCAAAGTTCATTTGAAACTACAGTAAGCTGTTGCAATGGTGCATATTATTATTTAAACAACACTCCTGAAATAGTTTTTGTTTGCAACATATGGACCATTTACAACCACTACATACATTTTAAGCTAATTAAAATTTAATGCATTAAGTTTTTGTTAAGAATGTCAACGTATTATAATGAGGCAGTGCTGCCTTCATCAATAATTCTGGTCTTCACACTTCACTTTATTTGAAAGTGTTAAGTCTCCTTCTGTCTCTTTTCTTAAGTGCCTTTTCTTCTCTCCTCACCATTTCAGTCGTTACTGTATGTGTTTATATCACTCTGATTCATTTTGCATACTATTACATAATGAAGTAAAGCTGGCTTCTCTCTACTTTTCAAAACACTGTACATATGTTTAAAGTCATAATGTAAATTGTATTCAGAACATTGAGTGTAAATACAGTACAGGCTGTGCAAATGAGAGTCTTTTCACAATAAAATCTGTCCAAAAGAAACCAAACATTTATTATAGTTGTTGTGTATTCAAGAAAATGAACCCATTCAACTCAAAGGAACTGCATCTCCAGACAGCCTTATAAATACATAATTACATAGTTACTGCATAATAAACCTAATCTTAAGATTTAAAGCCTGAGTAATAAGAATAAAGAGTTATTATAGTAAACTATAGTGTTGTCATGAGATTGCACAATACCACTTCTTCTTTCCTGATACCAATATTCAAACCTTTTTATTGCACAATACTGTAATGCTCATCTTTTTTTTCTTTAATAAGTGCTAAGCTGGGCTTGTGTGTGGTGCAGTCGTCATTGGGAGATCGCAAGTTTGATCCCCAGTATTATACATAACCCCCCCCCCTTCAGTCAGCATAATGATGGCCAATGCAAGTGTTTGTTAGCTCATGCAGCAGAGTTGGCAGTTGATGTTCTTTTTCCAAGCATGTTCATCTGTTCAATGATGTTGGGTTAGCAGCAGTTTCAAAAAAGGGGGCTGGCTTCATGTGTGTCAGAGGAAGCACGTGCTGGCTTCCAGTCTCCCAGCATGATGGCATTGTGTGATAGTTGGTGACCTAAGAGGCAAGAGGTACTGGTAATAACAAAACGAGGGTTAGAACCCCCCCCCCAAGCCAAAAAGCAGCCAAGCTTTCAAATGAGTTATTTTAAATGTAGTTATGCTATAAATGAAGTCTGGGGGGAGGAACATGCCCGAAACTCCTCCTTCTTCCAATCTAATGCCCTTTAAATTCATATCCTGACCTGTTCCCATGACGAAAGGTGTGCAATCCTAGCTACAGGCAGAAACTGCCCAGAACTCCAGCCCAGGTTCTCAGAGTTCTCCCGCTCCCTTTATGAGACTTCTCTCATACTACCACCATGTTGAAGGCATGGTCTGAACTCACAAAATTGAAAGTGAGCATCTAAAAGTAAGCTATCACACTCTTCTACCCCACAGGAAGAATTACGCAGCTAACATCATATCACACAATGCTAGTGTGAATTATTTCAGGCTATATTTGTTAGAGGATGCCATCTCCAGTTATAACTTGATATGCCTTACTGAAGCTAGTTGAATACTGTTCTATGTAGGAGTATGAGCTCCTAGCCAGTCGTTAAATGTTCAGGCAACATTGAAATTGTGCATCATTTTAAAGGCCTTCAACATGAAACCCACATAGCCTTCAGATAACACACTGAACACAACGAATATGAACCAAGTCTGTTTACCCTTGTTGAAGTTTATTAGTTCCTTACATAATGAACATGATCACAAAGCATCTTTACATTTGCAGGTTTTAATATAAAGGAGTCGTTTTATATCTAAAACTCACATCTCTCTCCAAACAGAGCCATGGAACAGGTCACTTTTTTGATGTATAAGCTGGTTTCAGTTGCAACGAAGTTATCCTGCTTGACTGTCTGAAATACATGGATGACACAACAGCAGTCTAAATTGCTCTTGTTTTGGCTAAGGACAGGTCATAGCAGTTAACCTTCCAAGTGTCTGTTTTTCTTCATAGGCTGTATGTTGACTGAATAGACCGAACTCCAAAAGATTATGGGTGAATGTATCAGTTTAACGCATTTTATGTACTGCAGTACAGAGCAATATAATTTAATGTTGTGTACTGCGCTGCACAGCTGAAATATGCATCAGGTGTTGATTCTCACAGCTATCCTTCTGTAGTTCCCAAATTATTCTGTTGACCCATTTGCTACCCAGCCTTGTCCTCACTTTGCTTTCCATCTTTTTTCTCATGGGTTCAAGTGCATTAGAGTGGCTCTTTATCCTGTGCTTGAAGAACAGAGGATTCTTCAGGTAACAAACAAATTTAGACTCAATTAAGACCACCTCTTTTTCCCCAGAGCTCTTCGGCATGGTCATCCTCATAATAATAATAATTTATCTATATTTTTATTGCTGTGATGTCTCCTAAGTGTGTTTTATGACGATGTCTCGTATCTTGATGGTAGACACCTCAGGGATAAGTGCATGGCTATTTGCTTGCTTGTTCATGTTTGGATGTTTGTTTCTGGATTGTTTGTTGATAGATGGCTGAGATCTGAATGGTTCATTACTTGCTTGTTTATTTCTGGGTTGAACAGAACTGGTGGATTGCTCTCGTCTTGGCTCATATTGTCTAGGTTTGTTGAAATGTCTTCGCTGTCATATTGCATATTTAAAATGCCTGAGTTAGCTTCTTCTGGGTCTTTGTTAGCATTCTTTGTCTCTCCTGCTGAGGCCATTTGTTTTGTCCCATGATGCTGTGGTGAGTCAGGTGTCACATCTCTTATTTTTAGCGTATCTCTTTCTGTCATGTCTTGGGCTTCAGCTTCTCCGCTTGCCGACTCAGTGTTTGTCTCATCCGTGTCTGTTATTGTAACTATTATTTTTATTCCTCCAGTCCCTGAAGGTATAAGACTTTCATGTGGTACCTCAAGCTCATTGGTGGCAGTATCTGGCCTTTTACTGGTGGAACATTGCACATCTGGTATTTCTGCCACTGTGTTTGAGACATCTGGCTTTATCATATTGGGCTTTATCGTATCTGACTCTGCTGTGCTGAGCGTGTCTGCTTTAGATGCATCTTTACTTGCTGTGTTGTCAGACGCTACACCCTCACCTACGTCTGTTTTTGTTTGGTTTGAGTTAGACTTGTCTTCTTGTGGAATGAACAGCTTTCTGTCTATTGGCTCTGGCAGGTCTAGATTTCTAAGAGTTTGTCCTGTTTCTTCTGGTGCTTCTTGTTCTACCTTTGGATCTGAAATTCCAAGTTGTCCAATTCCAGGCTTCTCAGAATTTGCATTTTCTATATCTAGATCTTTTCTGGCTCTGTTCAGGTCCATGTCTGGAGTCTCCAAAACTGATGCAGTGTTAATTTTCTCTGGTCCAATATTGATGCTCTCTGGGTTAGCACTAGATTCCTCTGTGTCTACAGTAACTCCATCTAGATCGATACTTATCCCTATTAGATCAATATTGATGTCCTCCAAACCTGCACTGTCACTTCTTTCTCTGTCCTCGTCCACTTGGGAATCACACTCCCTCACCACAACAAAATCCTGAAACGACACTGATTTGCTGATGGGTTTGTCCATCAGCTTTCCGTTGGTCTTTACAGCCGGAAAAGTATCTTCTGTTGTGGGCGTAGTTAAAGTTAAAACATCTGACGGTAAGCTGACTTTGGGTTGGGGGTCTTTACCAGAGTCCTGCTCAGCTTTGGTGTAAAAGCCCTGTGTGCCATGCAAAGTAGAGGTGGAGGCATCGTACCCACTGAATGCCTCATTGTGATAGTAGGCTTCCTCGACATGGGGCTGTGGTCTTCCGTGATTCACCTGAGACAAAAAAATCGGGTGAATTCACAAGCTCATTCCATGAAGGTCCATGTGTTTTATGTTGTTTTTTTTTTTACCTCACACTGGTACAAATCACCTCTCAGTTTGGAAACGTTTAGAAAACTTTAAAAAATTCCCTCAGTCACAGTGTCACGTAAGAGCATCAAAAATATGACCTGCTGTCTGTAGGTAGATAGTCATTTGTGGCAGTGAATCAGTACTATTGTCGGTATAAACTATTCTAACAATACATACTGTTCTATGCTATCTGTGTGGCACACGTCACACACGCAGACACATACATGTACACGTTCCAGAGCCAATGAAAAACAGTACTGGCATCAACTCTAATCTACAGTGTAAGAGCTAAAACAATAGCCATAACTTCATTGCATTTTCAGTGACAAGTTGAATGAAGTGGTTTTGGAGCTTTATGTCTTATCATCAAAGAAAATACAATGAAGATCTTTGTCATAATGGAAATTTAACAATATTTAACCCATCAACAACTTACCAGCTGAAACCATCTTAGACTCTTTGCAAAACATTAAGAGATACAAACAGAATTATTAACTTGACCTGTCCAGTATATTGGAATGTGAAACTTTTAGCTATGTTGACAAGGTACAAAATGTCAGCATTGTCAACAAACTGAACAAAAAGCACCTGACTGACAGGGTATGTGCGCTAGTGTCTTACCACATTTGGGTGCTTGCCCTCAGCTACGTTGGCACGGTTGGCAGGGTCCTGTCTCTGCCTCCTCTTTTTCAAAAAATATACCAGAACAAACAAGGCAATGGCTAGCAGGATCAGACAGACCCCCACCACGCCCCCTGTCCTGCCCACTGTCCCACTGCCATAGGGTTGCCCCTCTTCCAGTGGGCCCTGTGGAACTGGGTTATGGGGAATGGAGTAATTAACATTTCTTTTCTATAATTTTCTATTTGGTCATTCTGCAGTTCTTTTGATCATGAATGAATGCACAAGAACAAAGTGTACCTGGCACTCCTTTCTGTAGAACCTCTATGTCAATCACAGCTTTAACAACATCACCAGACTCCTGGTCTGCAGCCAGAACCTATGATAGAATGTCCATAATCAAATTCAGGAATTTACATATTAGTTCATAATAGTCTTAATGGCATAGTTCAGTCAAAAAACTATTGTTGATAACAATAACTAAAAATAGACAGCAAGCAATGAGCATTAAGCAAGGGACATCATGCTAATAGGTGTCTAAGAGGACTGAACAATATGGATATAAAATTCAATGTACAATAAAGTTCTTTTGCACATTGCATGCAATCACGCAATTCCTCCACATCGTACATAGTGCAGCTTTAACATGTCCAGAAGTGTGTTTTTTGTGGAGTATAGAGGATGTGCTAACTTATTAGAAATTCATGCAATTTGACCAGAGTGCCCAAACCTTTTCATACAACTGTGTGTGTGTGTATGTATATATATATATATATATATATATATATATATATATATATATATATATATATATATTATACATATATACTTATTATTATATTGTAGCTTTCACCGTTAAAAGCGGTGGACCTTTACACCTTTACAAGGACCTTTACAAACAGGGAAGCACTATTGTAACATTAGGTGCGGCTCCTAAAAGTACATTCTTACCAATCTAATTATGTCACTCTGGTGCTGCACATGTAATGTAGTTTGAACAGTTCCATTATCCCTTGCTCATATGTCAGTCATGGAAACTCATATCACAATGTCAATAATTGTGTGATTAATCGTGCAGCCCTAATCTCTAAGAGGTTCCATTAACTTTTGGCCAAATCAGCATGTTTGGCCAAGCTATTCCTTTAAGTTTAATAGCTGAATAATGAGCCTTCTTTGAGGGAGCTAATTTGGTATGGATGAGCCAACTATTAACATGCTGACCTCCAGAGAGTGTTTGTGGTTTGGCTGCAGCTGATTGGCTTTGGCGATCAGAAGTCCCTCCTGGGTAATGTAGTAGGATTGAGAGCTGTTAGAGTCCGAGGTCAGAGAATACTGCAGCTTTGGGTTGAAGCCCTGTCAGGCACAAGCACACAGACGGAGTCAAACGTTCATCTGTGTTAGACTGAAATTCTACATTATGTGCTGAGCTGTGGTGTAACGTACGTCTGTGAAGTCTCGGTCAGTGGCCTCCAGTATGAGCAGTTCATTTCCATAGGTGTTGACCAGAGTGGCAGGGCTGGTGCTCTCACTGACGAAGCCATGGTACGTGGAACGGCCAAACTGAGGAGGGAATCGATTTTCTGCCAGAACTCGCACCAGTGCTGTAGCAACTGAGTACTTCATAGGATCGTCTATCTGAGAAGCCTGCAGTGAGAAAAGAGAAAATCACCTTCTGATTGTTTTATATCTTTCTCTATTTCTTTCTCAGAGAGAGATATGGCAAAAATACAAAATCCAGCTTTTCCCCAATATGTTCAATTCAGCAAATAAATAAAACTATGCTCTAAAATTTGCACAAAAATGCTATATTAAAGTAAGTTCTCTGTGGAAGATGTGATAACTTCTTTTCACTTAGAAAAACAACAAAATGTAAGTTGATTGGGTGTTCAAACTTTTGCATATGTTTTTAAATAATACTATAGAAAGCTATGAGTACAAATGTTTCATTCAATGCTTGCAGTAAGACTCTAACTCTAATAACTGCCAAAAGTAAATAGATGAAATAACTGACACCCAAAATGACACCCAATCAGCTACTTATGACTGTGTAGTTTATGCGGTTACTGTGCACTGTTGTTTTGTTTACAGGCTCTCTGAAATTGGTCTATTTTTTTTATTATACATGCAGTTGTTCAGTGTTCTGGAAGTATCCATGTCACAGAGTGACATAATTTATCACGATACCGCTGATGTAGTCATATTGCCCACTCCTACCCACACAGATACCCTCAAACTCACCATAATGTGTAGTCTGAGTGTAGGTGTCAGCAGTCTGTTCTCAACCCGCTTAGTAAGCCTCACTTCCCCTGTCTCACTGTCAATCACAAACCGCCCATTATCAGCTCCTGCACACACACACATCACCACGCCATCAGAAAAGATTACTGTTCAACACTGTAACTTATGCACTCATACACTTCATAACTCTGATTGTTGTCGTATTCCACACCTGACAGGATTGTGTAAGTGAGGGGTGTTCTCAAGCCCTCATCTCCATCCACCGCTAGAATTGGGCCAGGTGAGAAATCCAAGACAACATCCTAAACAGCAGAGAGTTTCATTAGTAGCCATATAACTTACATTACTGTGCAAAAGTCAGAGACCCTCCTTCATTTATTTAATTTATGGTCAAAATGGTCTCTAAGTACAAGTTATTCATTTTTAAGGGAGTATTTCTGAAGAGATTGGATATAAGATCCACTTGCATAAGGAAGGGAAAAGTTAAAGGAAAAAATGAGAAAACAACTGTACAAGACCTGGCAGACCACCACAACTGAGCCCATCAGATAAACAGTGCTTGAAGCTTTTATCTTTGAGAGAGAAAATCAAGCTCCATTCTTGCTTTAGATCTGAAAAAATCTAAGGTGTGTCTGTCTATCCTTCCACTGTGAGAAGACAACTCAACTCTATGAGTCTGAAAGGATGTGTAGCTGTGAAGAAGCTGTTACTGAGAAAAAGAAATAGAAGAAAAAGACACCCCAGAGTCCAGACCTCAACAACACTGAACGTGTTTCGATTACTTGGATTATGAGAAGCATAAAGTGCAACCAACGTCTGGACTCTGGCTTTTGGGGGTGTGGAAAAATATTCCTGTAGTTTTTTGGTTTGTTTTTTGAAAAACTGAAAGCAGCTCCCCCGAAAAAGAATGGAAGGCAAAGAGTGGAAATAACAAAATGTTTGATATTATATTTACTTTTTGAGGCTTCTATGTAATGTTCTGTTAAATGTATGTTTCCAGCTTTTTCTGACACTGAAAAATGAACACTGAAATAACTTAATAGCTGTTTTGACTGTACAATAAATAAATGAAGAGAGGTCTCTGACTTTTGCACAGTACTCTACATGGTCATAACAGTTCCAGTAGTTTAGGTCAGTGTTTCTCTGTTGTGGTCATAGAATGCACCTGCCTCCACAGTTCAGTGTTTTCTCTACTTTAGCACACCTGATTCAGCTCATCAACTAATGAATAAGTCTTTCTTTAATTGAACATGGTGTCCAAATGTAGCAACATTGTGTTTTAGGCAGGACAGTGATACTCCAGGATTTGGATTTAGAAACATTACTTAAAAGAAAATGCAAATATATGAAGTGCAAATCACGGCTGTCATATAAAAAAAACATGTTCCTTTTTTTCTTTTTAATGATTTGAGCACAGCAGCTGCTTTTCACATTGAGTGAATATTTAATGATGAATACAAATGGTCCAAAACTGCTTTAAATAAAATCTTGTTACATTAATGTTCAGTAAAAGTAAAAAACATTTTACCTCGTCTTGTTCAGTAATGTTGACTGTGTACAGAGGGTTGACACAAATGCTTTGACTGAAGGAGAGGGGTTTGCACGGCTGGAATTGTGGGTACTGGTCGTCTCCATCAGTCACATTGATGGTTAGTGTGGCTGTTGTGTTGTAATGCTCTTTTGTGTTCATCTCCTGTAGCAGATTTCAAAAAGATAAATAATGTCTCAGTTACTCCAAAACTATATCCACTATTCCTCTGCCTGAGCTACCTGAACTCCACTATTTTGGAATTCCTCTTTACAAAACTCATACAATCCCACAGTGCTCTGGAATAGGTACAAACAATGTACTGTAGTAGAAATGGAATACTCATAATGCACTGTGTTGAATGCCATGGAACATGACTACAGTCGCAGAGTGATGAGCAAAGCTGTGCAACATTAGCATTAATTATTTACTTGAATTACAGATTCAGTTCCCTATAATTCTGCTGTATATAGTGCTCCTGGGTTTCCAACGTAGGGAAAAGTTGTTATGGGACGTTCTGAGCTCAGTGTATATAATCATTCAATTATTGTTATCCTCACTAAAGCCTAGAAATAAGCAATTAAAGAGTGACTGTGCATGTGTGAGGGGAATTACCGCAACATATAGATGCAGCTGAAGCTGAGTTTTAGTCTCATAGTCCAGAGATCTGTTCAGAACTATTCGACCACTGTTGGGCAGATCCACTCTGAAATAACTAGCATCAGGCTAGAGAAAACACACACAAACACATATTACCGCTCTCATAAGGACGCATGTGTATGCGCTGGTGTAAATTCATAACTCTTTGAGACTGCATGAGCTTTTTTGGGGGTTACAGGATGGTTGTTGAAAAAGGACATAGTTGATGCAGAAAAGCTGCTGGAAAATTAAATATATAATATTATTATACTGTCAGTTTAAAACTGTAATTAAAGCCAAATTTAATTTTGTTGTTTCATTTAATTATAGTCAGTAATGACAAAAATAAAGAAGCACTAAACTGCCCTGGAACACTTTTCAGTCCAGTGATCATTTGGTGACTTATACCGTAACAGTCATTAGTAGTCCTTCCTTTTTCTTCTGAATTATCATCATATTTAATATTATTGGGGTATTTCCATAAAATATTTATAATGCAGATCAGACTAACAATTAAGTGACACAATGGAAAGAAAAAAAGCCATTAAAATTGGCAACAACACTGATTTCTTTACTGAATATGTATGATGTTCCTAATATTTGTTTTTGTGTTTTATTAAGACATATAAAGCTTGAGATATCACTATGATGAGGTATACTTTGTTTATACGTTTCTACATTTGAATTGCTGTTTCACTTCCTACTCCCCCACCCCACCTTTAACGGAGTGAAATGTTCAGCTAGCTCAGAAACCCCGCTGGTTCCATGGTTCAGTTGGACATACGTCACCGTGAGGAAGGTAAATGCCTTATGATTTCATGATTCATGATGAGATGATGATACACACTGTTAGTTAGGTTTCCAACCAAGTGCTCATCAAAATATTCATGGAAACGTTTCTTTGGTGACCTGTTAGCTGTGCCTAGTGTTTGTATGTTGTAGTACATTTACACCAATTTTTATAGGTCAGTTTTTTCATAGTCAGACCCTCCCAAGACCTCTAAAACAATTCAGACCCTGCTAATGAACTCACTACAAAGCCCAGAAATAGACTGTAGCATCTGGAACAGTATTACTTTTAAAATGTACACATTAACACTAGCAGAACTACACCTTCTGACAGAAAAGTGCAATACAAATATTGTGACTACAGTAAATCTTGCTCCCTTACCGATGTCTCATCGATGCCATATATGAGTGTGTCTCCATCTGCATCTGTTGCCCGAACAGTGAATGCTACGGAGTTCACTGTAGTCAACTGAAGAAACAGAAACAACAGTCAATGTAGCCTACAGAAAACATTAAGAGATTCAAAATGAAAGGTGAATGTGGCTAGAGCACTGAGAGATTTTACCCAATTTAACTGGTAGCCTGTGTCTATGTGTGTTCTTTACCTCACTGATTTCTATAGGCTGGATGGTGTCTTGTAGAAACTCTGGTTTGTTGTCATTTATGTTGAGAATCTCCACTGCAATTCTGTGCTCACTCTAGAGACAATGTTGTTTAATTAGGCATCATATTATACATGTATACTCTACTATATCTACAATGCTATACAAAGTACAGTGTTGCCTTTGTTTTTAACTTTTCCACCGGTGTTTCAAAAATTCCTGCATAATTTAATGGTTAAAATGTAATTAAAGTCATTCAGAGTGGTTTGCGGTGCCATTTTAGAGAAACTTCCCAAGTCAGAACTGCCCACAGTGGTGGTTATAGGAACCAGATGTGCCTCTAAAAGCTACCCCACAAACTATTACATAAAATGATGTCCAAGACATTGTTTTATGACACCTTTGTTGTATGGTTTTGGCCTAAAATCTATTTTTAAAATCTGTCTGGAAGAGAGGTACACGTAGAGTGTTGTAAGGAAAAATATTACCCAAAAAAATGTATTTGTGTTTTGTTGTTATTTTTTCATCATCAACATTACAAATAACCTACATGTTTCAGAACACACATGTAGGTTTGCTGGTCGGTTTGGATATCAAATAAAATGGCTGTATTTGCTCTGTAGACACTTGGTTCCTATCACCACCATTGCAGGTTTCTTTACAATGCACCATATCCCGTCAAACCACTCTGATGGACTTTGTTTACAACAATCAAATTATGCTGATTGGTAGAATTCTCTTTTAACACACAGCAGAGTGCAATTCTGATTCAGATATGATGCTTTAATGATTACAATTCTGAAGGAATGGTATTATATTCGTACAGAGGGCTAAGTGTTCTTTACCTGGATGGCTCCGTCCTCATAACAGGACAGAGTTGCTATTAAAATAGGGCCATGCACCTGAAAACAACAGTGGAGATCACATGCAAGTGTACAGGTTTCATTTTTTGTATATTAATGATGCTGGTAATAATGATGTTCTGTTACCTCTCGATCCAAAACTCGTGTAATGGAGGAATTTAGTCTGATGGTCTTTCCTTCCAGCCAAAACCAGTCAGCATTTTCACCAGTGAGACTCAGGTTGAGATGACTGGCTGAAGGGTCTCCGGTGAAGGTGAGATTGGCAATGAATTCTCCCACAGGGCTGTTCTCTCTGACAGTGGCAAACACATCCTGCCCACCTTCACACTTACTGACTACCAAACACACACACACACATTCCTTTTTATATGACTCATATGCACTTTTGTTGAAAGCTTGTGTGGTGATTATATATCACTCTAACCAAGTCAAGACCACCTTTGAGCAGATCTTCATTTAGTTGAACAACTAGATGCACATAACTGATGTTATAATAAACTAGGAAGTGGCAATTCTGGCTATAATTTACCATTTTATTGATTAAACAGTGGATTTTTCTAATTACACAGTTGTTTTGTGTGCTGCGTGTTGTGAGCTGCAGGATTAGATCATTGTAGAACAGATCATCTGTTGGATGTTCTGTCTACCAACTAGATCATTTAATAACTATTACTAGGAATTTGCTTTTTAAACTAAAATAAATAATGAATTTGCTATTTTTACCTAAATAAACAATTTGACTGCATTTGACTATTAATAAATATAATTAGTATATAAATTAATAAATAATTATAAATATTATTTACTGTTTTGAAAAAGCACAAAGCTCTATACAGATTCACCTAAGTTGGTCTAATTTTGTGAGTCTGCTAAACATCTTTCTCAATGAGATGTGAAATGACTACCAGAATTCCTAGGCCATGAGCTGTATCCTGTTTACCAATGTATGGGTTGGTGAAACTATGGTATGTGTTTGTTTGTTTCTATACATATCTCTGTGTGTATGTGTGTGTACCATATGCAGCGAGATGACTGACAGGTGACAGAAGACAATACAGCAGAAGTGTTCCCCAGAAATCTCTTATGGTGACCAATCTGTTACTCTTCATCTCTAAAGGTGCCTGACCGAGAGAGGAGAGACATACACAGTTCAGTTTCAGCAGGACATTATTCTTTGTCATGCATTCCTGTTCCTTTGTAAATGCACTGAGACAGTATGGTTCTTGAAGCTTGAGTGTTGTATGTGTTTGTGTTAAATTGATAATGATGTAATTGAACTAGAAACGTGCATTTCCTCAAGAAAAGAGTAATTGCACAGCTTCAGCAAATCCCTGGTATTTCTAGGGTGTTGTTAGACTTTGCTATTTCAGGTGGTTGCTAGGGTGTAGCTATGCATTTTATATGCTATTCCAGATGGTTTTTTGTATTGCTATATGGTTTCTGTGATATCTCTGGTGGTTACCAGGGTGTTGCTAGGTGATTGCTATGGTATCCAAGGTGGTTGCTAGAGTATTGCTGGTGTACTTGTATCATTATGACCTAAGAAGGGGTGTGCAAACATTTGGCCACATGGTTCTGTCATTCATTCTTGTGGTAAAAAATGCAAAAACCGTGCTTCCTGCTCTGTATACCTTACTACCAGATAACAATAACATTACAGAACACTAATAATTGTGAAGACAATTGTGAAGTTACAAGTTATGGACTATTGTATCTCTGATAAAATCACTGATGATCGTGATTATTGTTCATCATGTTGCATTGCTGATACGGTGAGTGGCCTTAAGTCACATGACCTCTGACCGACACTCTGCTTTCGATTAAGACCCACTAATCCCTCTGAGATCCTGTTTCTCCCTTTCAGACAAGTAAACCTCCTCACATGCATGCACCCAAACACACAAAAGACTCTGACAGTGTCATACATTCATGTTGGTTTACAGGCACCTGCTTATGTGGTCTCCCTCTGGATTTCTGTCTTTCTCTCACACAAATCTATACAGTACATACCCTAAATAGGCCTCCACACACCTACATGCACTGACTGTCTTCCATATCCACACATTTGTTTTCACTCTTTCAGCACATACCATACAGTATTGAGCACATATTTAAATCGATCAAATCATAAAACAATAGTGTGCTTCAGCTCTTGGCTCTCAAGGTTGTTTCAGGGTGGCACTCGTGACTCGTTTTAAGTAACAAAAGAGGATTATGGGGGGAAATTCAGTCATGTGTTAAAAAAAAAAATCTCAACACATTTCAAAAACATGCAAATCACACTAGCCATACACATTGTGTTACCCCTAAATCTCTATATTATCATCAAACAGAAGGTTTTGCATAGCCATCATCACTAAATACACAACAGACAGGGAACAGATAAAAATATGATCCATCACTAATGTTGGAGGTCAGAATAAAAAACAACAACTACAAAAAACAATAGGATACACACTGAACACAATAAGCACTACACAAACTATGGCCCAAAAAATCTAATATATAAGAGAAAAAGAGGCCAGCCAGCTCTCACTTCTGTAGACATGAAAGAATGGAAAAGAACACATATCAAAAAAAATCAAGAGACGAAGATCGAGGACTGGAGAGCAGGACACAGGAACTGGCAATGCCAAAAGATAAAATGAAAAGGATAAGGTAAAGATATGACTCACCTGTATCTCCTGAACTTTACAAAGTATTTACATTCCTCTCAGGTTGTAGCTCTGCTCATTCTTATCTGAATCCATCACTGCTTTCAAAATGTTCAGTATGGTGAGCAGGACCCCAAATCAGAAGTAAAACTCGTACTTTGTTTGTGAACTTGACTGCTAGTGCGTATGTGTGTGTATTCAGGGGGAGTCAAAGAACAGTCTGAGGATTATGAATTAGTGTTAAGGCTCGGGGGCTCTGAGCCAAGAGGAGAAAACCAACGTCTGAGCCAGAGATCTAACCAATCAAATCAGATATCCCCACAGCCTAACCAATTACACGACTTACCACCAGTCAAATCACACAGCTTTCTCATTCAGACCAATCGTTAGGCTAGTTCTAAAGGCACGTACTAGGACCAAACAAGTGGGTCCTTGATACAGCCACACACTTACTCATGAGTAGTGCAAAACTATATAAGAATAAAAATGGTGGAGGGGAATGGAACTTTGGCATTAATGTATTTCACCATTCCCTTGTAATGCATGTTACAGGATGCATTCCTAACTTTCTCCCTGCAAACACACATAGAGAGTGAAACAAAGGAATGAACACAGAAACATACACACACACAGTGATTAAGGCTGACCAGACAATGAATGCACACAGTAATTAAAACAGACAGGAGATTAAGAGTCTGGAATAGCATCCTCTTTTCTAACAAATCAGATAAGAGCTCAGGTTCTCCACTGTGACCTTTTACAGCACTCGCTTCCACTAGTGTAACCTGCAGCAGTGCAGGGGAGCCAGTTGCACTGGGGCCTGTATTATGTGTGTGTTGGGTGGGACGTGACAACCAAGCCCCCTAACATGTCTATTGGAATATATCACTATATATTACACAAGTTTACACCAACAACTCTACAATAACTTAATAACTTAACAATAATAAACACAGTTTAGTCACTAGCTTACATTAGAGCACCTACATGACATCAACAGCAAGGAGAAAGTAAAAAGCAAACTTTTTCATTCATTAATTCAGGAATGTTTTGTATTAGGTTTTTTATTATTTATTTATTTATTTTTTATTTGGGGCCAATATGATCATACTTACACCGCTGGACACCCATAACTTTTGGCCCCTTAAACCACCGTTAACATTGCACTCCCCCACTCTCCAAGACAAAAGGTTTGGGCACTGCTGTTATTGTGTATTGTTCTGTATTTATTGTGTACTGACTTTACTTAATGTTTGAATAGCTTTTTTTAACTTTATTTTTCTCATTTTACAATTATCATTGGATGACTTCCAGGAGAAAAGACAGATTAATACAAGCATGAACAAACATAACTAAAGAACAAAGGCTGTCTAGGAGATAATCTAGTATCCAATTGCTAACAGGACCATTTTACAAATATCAAGGGTTACACAGTAATACATAATATATATACATGTATACAAGTTACCTTTTACATACTCATCTTTGAATAGCTTATTGCGGGGGTGTCCAACTTTATCTGTAAAGGGCCAATGTTGGTTGCAGGGTTTCATTCCAGCGAAGCAGGAGCACACATGATTAGTTCTTTAGAGGCTGAGAACAACTGACTGAATCAGGTGTGATCCAGCTTGTTTGGAATGTAAATCTGAAGACTCACCAGCCCTTTGTGGATAAAATTGTACCGCTTAAGCTCATTGGAATTAGTGTACTGAACAGTGTATTGGCTTGAACAGTGTATTTTTTTATTCATGATTTGTGCACTATTTTCTCATTTTCCGCTTGTCTCCTGTTTCGTGCTAACACTGTAGATAACACTGTAGTCCCATGGGAACCACATTTCAGTCCTCACTCAATTCAAGGCTCTGGTGAAAAGGAATGACAATAAAGTTTGATTTGATTGTAAGACCTGCATGAAACAGATCTATTCCCCTCACGTAAAGGAAAATCTAAGCTGTGCCAGAGTCTGGCTATGTTAGATGAAAATGGCTTGTTTTGTTCATTATCTGCTCCTTATCTTACACCAGAGGCCACTAGAGAGCTTTTTGTATGTGTAAAAGAAAATGCACTTTAGGCGCAAGTGTAAGGCCCAATGTCGGCATCTTGTAAAGTGTAGATCTGTGGTCTCCTTGGGACAAATGGAAAAAACATAAGCATTCCATAGTAATCAGATGCTGGCAGTGAGTACTTCTCCTATCTGATGTTTGATGTGTTTGAGTACGACTGATAAGCCCCTCTATCATTCAAGAAAACAAAGTAAGGTCAGATAAAGCGAATTACTCCAAACTGTGAAGCTGTGTTCTGCAGGAAATATACCATCTGCTTCAGTAAACGTAAACATGCACACATGCAGGGTTGGCTTCCACCCAGAACTGCACATTAACTATTGTTATGAGGAATTAAATGTTTAAATGATTCTTCACATGGTTAAACAGTTCTTCTCTACGATGAAAAAGACTGTTTTAAATGGTTAATTAAAAAAGCTTTTAAAATGGTTCTCTAAAGCACCAAAAAAGGGTTCTACAAGAACTTTTTTGGTAATATATGGAAACCTGTTTGCTAAGACTGAATATTTACCAAACTGCATTTTATAAGCTTCAATGAATAATATAACTCCAAGTAATTTTGGGACATTTCTGTTCATCCATTCATCAAGAAGTTTTGATTTCCCAAAAGCCTCCTCGCAAGGCTGCTCTGCATGGCCATGTCTTCTGCGCTCCCACGGCAGAGCAAGCCTGGCGGGACAGTACAATATACTATGACACCGTTCACAAGAAGACTGAACCGAAGCCATGATTCTCACCCAAAAGCAACTCTCTATTGAGCAACCACACAGACAGGCATATACATAAAACAGACCTCACAGGGGAGGTCACCACCAGCCACAGGCTTCATCCTGATGGTGACCCCCCCCAACACACACGAAACCCACACAACTAAAGTCACAACTCAATACAGAACAACACAGTTAACACATACACATAACATACATTCCTCTCTCTGTGTTTATAAATATATATAAAATTAAGCCCTGACCACAGCTTAATAAGGCATGATCTCGTTCCCACACCTTACTATGTCATGGCCATGCATTAGGATCTTGTTCCCACACCTTGCTAAGTTGCATTTTTTTCATTTATACGGGATGTCACCAGCAGTGCTCCGTAGGAACGTAACTGCTGCACAATTTAAGGTGGAACAGAAAATTCAACTAAGAAGCTGCTGGCAAAAAAGTCAACTTCAGCTTCGTACATTCACCATCATTTTGCTGTCTTTTCTGTAAACTGTGTTTTAGCTCAGTCGTTTTGGTTTCTGTTGTCATCTAAATTCAGTTCCAACTAGCGTTTTTTTTTAGTTGGCTGAGCTGGTTTTAGTGCTGAACTAATTTTTATTTTAATCCTATGCACCAAATGTTCCCAAAAATCATCAAAAATTATCTTCAAATATAAAGTTTTGTTTTTTTTTTAGTTCAATAGTACTTTTTTCATGTGTAGCGCACTATTCTTTTTATACCAGTATGTCTGTCATGCACTCTTAAAAGGGATGGTTCATCAAGGGTTCTTTAGTAAAGAAAATGGTTCTATAAAGAACCATGAACACTCAAAGATGATTAAAAGGTTTCTTTGCATCATGAAATGCTTCCTCAGCTTGGTGGAGAATGTGCTGTAGATGGTTGTATACAGAACCTTTTTAAAAAGGGTTCAATATAGCACCCAAAAGGGTTCTTCCATTGTTACAAGCTTGACATCATAACAATCAAAAACCATTTTGAGTGCTATATAGAACCCTTTTCAAAAAGGTTCTATTTAGAACCATCAATAGCACATTCTTAAGAACCCTTTCATGATGCAAAGAACCCTTTAGTCATGATGGTCAGATGGTTATCTGTGTACCATGGATTTTGTATTTTACTTGGAAGGGTAAAAAGAAAATTTATAAAAAAATTAATATACAGGCTTACACTACTAACATGCTGTTGTTAAGTGGCTGTATTACTGTTACCTTTATTCAGTGTTAAGGCCTTAAATTAGCTGAAGAAAGCAGACTGACATGTTTAGGACTCAAAAATTAGGACTATTGACTTGGGACTCGACTTGAGAATTGCCTGTACTGATTCGGGACTTGAATCGCGACTTGAGTATCTTTACGTAGGACTTGACTCAGGACTAGAGCGTCAAGACTTGAGACTTGTTACTTGCAACTTAGTGACTTGTTCCCTCTGTAAGATAAAAGAGTAGGGTTTGGAGATGTCTGTCTCTGGTTTTTAGTTGCTTTTTTGAGTGACCTTCCTGCCTTATTCATTTAATAAAGAGCATTTTCTGAGCTTCTCTTGACTCTTCTTCTTCATTTGCGTTTGGTGTCAATATGGAGTTTCTAATTCCTGTTCTAATTTTGGCAGCGTTTTGGAGAATACAAAACTCTGAGCTTTGGCTCGCATCCAGTCCAGAAATCCAGTGCTGTTTGTTTCTCTGGAGGAAGACCTGGAGAATCCCCCCCACACACCACAGAGCTGGAAGAGGCCTTTTCTGCCTGCTCCACTAAACGGTTTGCTAAAAATGGCAGTGCATGCAGTTTGACCACTGCGGCCAATTCTTTGACCTTTGTCCTGCGGTAGGTCCACAACTGAGCCACCTCACCCTCCGGCACTTTTAATTCAACGCAAGAAACCACAGCTGGGACGCGTTATTTTCCCCACCCGTATTCCGACAAGCCCCGCCTTCTTTGCTCGGGTTATCTAGTAGTATGGCTGAACCAGAGCCATGTAGAGTGGCTGAACGTGCTTGAGTATGCATAACTAGCCAATCCTGACGCAAGACGCCAAACACTATCTCCAAACCTAGCAAAGGAGGCGGGGCTTGTCGGAAATCAGGTGCGAAAACAACACCACTCCTGCTGCCAGATGGTTCTTGTTTCTTGGGCGCGTAAAGTCCAGTCAGAAGAACAGCAAAACACCGAGTCTGGCATGTCGACGTCCCAAAGAGCACATGTCCTTGGACTGATGCTGGTGCAGTCGTAAAGGGGATTTTGCGCCCACTGATGCCTTCTGCAGTATAAATTTTTGTTTTTAAGACAAAAAAGGAAAACTTCTTTGTTCTTCTTCACAGTTTGCAGTCAGCTGGTGTGCAGGATGGAGTTCGCAGTCAGTCGAGCTCTTTTCTTTGCTCAGCTGACTTTGTTAGCGCTTTGCTCGTCACTGCAAACGGAGGCCGACGCGCAGCTTCAGGACAACGATGAGAATGGTGAGCTCACTGTTAAGGGGGGATTCCCTCCTGCACTTCAGGGGAGAACGCAGTACTGAGAAAGTGCATGGGGGAAGTTTTGATTGCATGATTTGTGCTGCGTGGACGCAGCGGGGCTTTCGTACATCACTGACATCACTGAGTGGTCTCAGGTAGAATTAATGCAGAGTCTATATTTGGGCTCGTATTTGTGAAAAACTGTTCATGCACACACGGTTCAGACAACAGTGAGGTCAGAGATCAGAAGATTCCCTCAGTTTCATTCAGTTGCACTGCGGTCTGACGCACTATGTCACGATTTGACAGAAGTGCAAGAAGTTTGAACACCCCCCCACCAAATCACGTTTTGTTGATTTTCTAAGTAAAAATAAGTTTTACTGATTTAATGGATTAAATGTGGAATTTTTCCACAAGTTTTAGTGCACAATTCTGTGTATTTAACATAGTGGGGAAAAAAACATGCCATATTTTGCCCCAAAAAAAATGTGTTAAATTAAGCATGTGTACAGGGTGTCCCAAAAAAATTGACATCATTTGAGATGTGAATATCTACATAACTACATGTCCTAGGCAAAATTAAATAGGCTTCATGTTGAACAATACAAGATATATTTATCAAAATTCAAACAAGAAATTCAAAGGGATATAGATTTAATAACCGATTTCACAAAGCTTCACAAATGTAATATCTTCCGATACTGGTGGTCGTCCAGATCTCTTTGCCCTGTACAGACAGCCTTCCTCTTTGGATTTTTGTGCCATGTCCAAATCTGCTTTCCAGTTGGTGCATTTTTATTCAATTTTCTTGAAAATGCGCGCTGCACCCTCTTGTTTGACTGTGTTCGAGCATATTCTAACACAAATGCCTTTTCATTTCTAGTGAACACCATTCTTCAACCACATTAAAAATTAAACTTGGTTAGTTTTCACACATTGTGTTAAAATTTGAGATAATTTGAGGGAGAATTGGCTATGTTATTAGACTACGAAATGATGTATCATATGTATAAATATATATATGATATATTTATATATATCATGTAAGCATTTTTTTGCTCAGAAAACATATTACAATAAATACAAACAACAGCAATATAATAAGTGGTGTTTTTTCTTATGTCAGTGTGTTCATTTAACCATTACCAAACCTCTCCTTGTGGCAGCCTGACATTAATTGCAGTTATACTCTTCCTGTTTTGGCTTATCACTGCTTCATGATATCACATCAGGTGGGTTGGTGATGGACTATCTGCAACCAAACTTTGTTCTGCAAACTAGCGCACAAGTTATTATCTCCTTTTTCAAAATACAGAATTCTCGATGCCGTTTACTGTATGTGTGTTTATTTACATCTGTTCTAATGATATATTGTGTTTTTACTTGCAAAAGACACTTATTGCTAAGATAAATGGTTTTAAGACAGTACTGTGATTATCCCCCTCTGTCTGTATCTTTTCTCCCCCTTTTCTCTCCTTTCTCCTACTCTTTATGTCTCCTCTGTCTCACTTTCGCTCTCTATCTGATTGGTCTCTCCATCTAACTAACTTTTATCTCTGTTTTCCACTTTCTCCTACTCTCTGCCCCTCCCGTCTCTCTCGTCTCCCTCTGTTTCCCTCTATCTGTTCTCTCTCTTTCTCTCTGTCTTTATGTCTCTTTTTCTTCCCTTTATTCTTCTCTCTCTGTCCCCTTTATTATTTCTCTGTTTGTTATCTGTGTCTCTCTCTCCGTGTTCTTTCTTTTTCTTTCTTTCTTTCTTTCTTTCTTTCTTTCTTTCTTTCTGTCTCTCTCACTCTCTCTCTCTCTCTTTCTCTCTCTTTATCCCTGTTCTCTCTTTTTCTGCCGTTCCCCTTCTACATTTCTCTTTCTCTCTCTGTTCTCTCTTCCCCCTCTAATTCTTTTTATCTCCTTTTCTCGCCTTTCTTCTTCTTTCTCCCCTTCCCCTTTTACATTTCTCTCTCTCTCCTGTTTTTCTTTTTCTTTCTTTCTTTCTTTCGTTCTTTCTTTCTTTCTTTCTTTCTTTCTTTCTTTCTCTTTATCCCTGTTCTTTCTCTTTATCCCTGTTCTTTCTCTTTTATCCCATTTCTTCTCCCTCCCTTTTTTCCTTTTGCCATTTCTCTCTCTCCCCTCAATATCTGTCTTTCTATCTCCTTTTATCCCCTTTCTCCTTCTCTGTTTCTCCCTTTCTCCCTTCTCTCTCTTTTTCTTTCTCTCTCTGCCCATTTCTCTCTCTATCTCCCGGGTTTTATTTCTCTCTCAAATACACTTTCTTTCTTTCTCTCTCTCTCTCTCTCTCTCTCTCTCTCTCGCCTTCTCTTTTCTGTCCTGTTGTTCTCTGAGCTTCTGCATGGTCTTCAGACAGACATTCCTCTGCATGTTGTGACAGTGTGCGTGCATAATGAGTCATTTGTGTGCAGTCGAGTCAGTAACTCATTAAGTCTCCATTCTAATGAGGACAGGAAGCCATTAAGGATCATCTTGCTGACTCACTAGCTCTGCTCTGCAGGTCTCTTCCTCCAGCTCTGTCTGTCACACACTCATACACTTGATTAATGCATTAAAAGAATATTACCCAAAAATATTTCTGTAGTCATAACGTTCCACAGCAGACAATGCAGTCTCCGTCATCTGATTTGGTGAGATTAAATATCTACACCAAACCAACCACATTACTGCCACACACTGTAATTGGTGAGTGTGAGAATCAGGAACAGCTGGTCTTGAACAGGATTACACGCTCATAAGCACTCAGACTCTTGCACACAATTGAATGTGTGAAAATACACAGCTTAAGCTGGTTGAATGAAATGGAGAAAGTCCTGTAGAGACATTGGATTTGGAGAGTTACAGCTTGTCTGGACCGAATGTGAGGGAAGGAAAATTTTGATTGAGTTTCACTCCCCTACTACATGTTTAGTTGTGGAGAACAACAAAAGTAAAGAATACAGACACACACACTGTGCACACACAGAGCGCTAACCCAGCCTGCATGTCCTGTGTCAGTGGAGAGAAATTAAGTGTTGAAACATGAGAGGAGATGTCACTGTGGATGAAAGCAGCTATCTGCTCTTCTCATTAAATACCCTTAGAGAGATTGAATGTGTGTGTGTGTGTTAGTGTAGGGCATGGCTACATGCTGATGACAGTATCAGATTTGTGTCCTGAAGCATCCATTAAGACAAAACAACTTTGCCGCAAAAAGTAATAAAGTTTTATGGTTTATTTACAGGAGTTTTATTCATGTACACTTTGTCTTTATTGATGATGATATTTGTAATAACACACAACCTTTCAAACAACAATTTTACAAAGTAAACAAAAATCAGTGTGTGTGGGTGTATATATAAATATATATATTTTCTGCATCATTTTCTGCACTTTTCTGCATCATTTGAGCTCAGCAGCTGTTCTTTACATTGTGAAAAAATTGTTTTCACACTGAATGAACTGTTCCATGGTTCAGTTTGATCCTGACCAAGACCACCTTTTTTGGTCAAGACCATGGTCCGAGACACCTTTCACTCCTGCTATTTTGGTACCTACCTTGTTTGGTCAAGGTAGGTGCAAAAGAACCCTAACTAGATGCTTGTTCAATTTTCTCGCAGAAAACAAATCAAACTTCATTATCCTACAACGCTGGCTTGAAAAATATTCTTCCCCTAATTGATTGGGTAGGTCTGTTTTCAGTCTCAGTAGAGGGAATAAATAAATCTCAATGAAAATAAAGGGCTTCAGCCCAGGTAAGCCTGTGAATTTAATCACACGTGAATTGAATTGTGTAATGTATGTAATGATGTGCAAATTTCACAATAAGATACATATTGTTATTTTTGCATCTCAATACGATACAAACTGATACAGAACTAGAAAAGAAATGGTAACATAACTTTCAGTAATTAGTAAACATTTCTAATATTTAAATACACAACTTGCAGAATACAAGAACTATTCAATTCAAAATACAGGTGTTTAGAAACAGGATCAGAATCAGAATTGTTCACTTGGAGAGTAAAGTAGAAGCTCTGTAAGACATTTCTCTTGGTGTAGAAGTGTTGGTGTGTTTTGTAGTATGGGCTTTTGTGTGTGGATCGGCAGATGTTTGCTAATGGTTTTTGTTTTATGCTCTGTCCAGTTCTCATTCTGACGCTTGGTGTTGTGTTGTGTTCTTCCTTTTAGTTATTGATCTCCTAGAAGCTTTGAATATCAGTCACTTTGTTCGAGGAATCACAAAGACCAAAGGTCGTGACCCCGAGGCATGGGCGTGGCGTTTTCGCTCCCGTACGCCTCACCTGACTCTGCCGCAGGACTTCTCTCATTACCTGCTGAGCTCCTCACAGGGTTCTCTGGGCTTGCATCTGGTCGGGCAGCAAGCCAGAGACTCTAAGGCCACTCTCATCTCCCTGAGCTCTGAGGCTGCCTTGGAGCTGGACAGCCAACCGCTGCTGCGCCTCAACTCCAGCACTCGAGACAACCAGCTGCGGCTGGAGTTCCGATTTCACGGGGGTTTGAAGCCTGAGGTGCTGACACTGCCGGGTGGAAACCCTTTCTCTGGTGGTGGCTGGGTGAGAATGGGGCTGAGCCTGGAGCCCAGGAGGCTGCTGCTGTTTGTGGAGTGCAAGGAGGCCACAGTACTGGATCTGGATCAAACAATCAACCTGGACCTTCCTTTTGACCTGCAGGTCACCTTCTCCAGCACCCCAGGAGACAAGGCCAGCAAATTCACTGTGAGTATTTTAACCCCTTGAGCTCTAAAGACCAGAGCACACAACACAATTCTTATACTGTTCTTGAATGTTCTAACCCTGTCCTAGAACATTCTGCCTATTCACTCTGTTCTAGAACCTTCTCCCATATTCACACTCCTCTAGAATGTTCTCACTATTCATACTATTCCTGAAAATTTCCTCATTCATACTGTTCTTGTGTGCCCCCCAACTCAAATCTGTCCCTGTTCATACTGTTCTAGAATCATCTTACCCATTTACACAATTCTGGAATGTTCTGCCCCGTATTCACTCTGCTATAGAATGTTCTCCCCCGTATTCACTCTGCTATAGAATGTTCTCCCCCGTATTCACTCTGCTATAGAATGTCCTCCCCCGTTTTCACTGTTCTAGATTGTCCTCTCTTAGTCTCACTGTTTTAGGATGACCCCCTATTCATACTATTCTAGAATCTCCTGTCCTATTCACAGTGTTCTAGAATTTATCATCCCATTTACACTGGTTCATTTGGCTTATCGGTACATTGTACAATAACTGCAAACATTAGAATATTGGTCTTTGTTGTGTTGTTTATGCTCTGGCCATTGTAATACATCTGTAGGCCCAGAGTTTTATTTCTCACTCTCATAACTGCATATCTTAAATATTAGTTTCATAGTAGTTTTTGATAATAAGCCACCAATAACTGAATAATAAGTCTATAGTTTAAATAGTTAAAACTCATTCCACATACATCTACATAAAAATACGTATAGTGACACTTGAGATGTATGTCATTGTTTACATAAGTTTGTCTTATCAGATCTCTTACATGTAGCATATAGAGTGTTTGTGTGGGTTAAAAGGAAATCTTTGCTCAGAGTGGAAACAGAGATATCTGATATGAGCCATTTCAAAATAACATCACAACAAACAAATCTAAATTACCACCTTAATCTGTAAGTGCTTATATGCTTCATGCCTAAATCCTCTGATAAACATCATTGTAGGGGGTGGCTTTTGGTAGAGAAGTGGTTTCACAAGTGTTGTGATTTTGTACAAATTACTGATATTGTTTTGTCTCAGAATAAAATTCTTTTCTGTGCCAAGTACAAGATGTGCAAGGATATAAAATATGTAAACTTGCAAAAGATGTACATATATGCATATATGAGCAGTGCACATATCCTGTAACATATGTAGGTCAGACACAGAAAATTTTAAAATACAAATGCAAAATTTGCATACAAAATTTTATTAGACTGTCCCACTTAAACTTAACAAAATTGTAGATAGTATTTCTATCTCCTGTGACAGTGTTTGTTATCTGGAGCATTGTGCCTGACTGGGATTTTAAAATAATGATTTAAGTGGACTGTGTCTGTGCTTCCAGTGTTTAAAAGCTCAGTGTATTTAGTGTATTTAGCGTAATATTGGCAGGGTATTAGTGATTTGATTTTTGTAGCTTTACAGTAGGGACTGTTTCAATGATTCCAGGGCTACTGGCAGACTGCAGAACTCTCCACCAGGGCTTATGAGAAGCGTCCATGGGTCTGCGACAGTGAAACAGGTAAAATAAATTCCTGGGTATGATGTTGAATGGTCACTTGGAAGCCAATACAAGTGAGTAATTTATTCTGCTTACTACAGAAACTAGGCCTACACAAAAAGTATTGCTGTGTCAGTACTGTATCTCTCTGGTATGACATGTTCTGCAGTTTCTTATTCTGTGGATCTGGGATGTTAGAGCAAGATGATGTCAGCAGAATGTCACACCCACGGTCTAATGCTTTGAGAGTTAGTGGGCCCAGAGTTCGCAAAAATCTGCCTTTGTGGTGTTTTTGAGTGCTTATGAAGTAGTAGAGAGTAGTTTTACTGGGTTATGGAGCATGTTTAAGTTATGATTAGGCTCGACTCTACTCTGAGGATGATCACTCTCCAAGATTTATGCTCACACCTAAGAGCCAGTGCATACACACAAAGACAATGAAATGCAGAGGAAAATAGAAAAGAGAAAAAGAAGAAACTCACTAGATATGACAAGGTACCACTTAGCAACACCAATACTGATCTTTAAACGTTGAATACTGATTTTTTCTTGAAAAACTACTTCAAAATGAGTTATTTCATAATTGAATTGCATCACTTAAGATGAGAATATAAAAGGGGGGATGTCCTTCTCAAGCATAAGGTCAAACAGTTACCCCACAAGAATAGGGATACCATTTTTGGCAAATTCTTTTAACCCATAACTGACTGTCAGTAGTTGGTGATTAATCGTTAATCAGCAAGATTAAAATCATCAAAATTAAAATAAAAAGACACATCCCATCAAAATATTAATTAAAAAAAAATCTAAAAACTGTCAGTAACATTTGAAACCATTGCGCTTGAAATATTTGATAGTAGAGTGTTGTGAGCTCACACATCAACTGAATTCTGTATTAATGCACAGAGAGATTAAAAATTGTTCCTTTTTATGGACAGTGTAATGTAGTGCTGGTAGGTGTGGCCAGGCATAAACCTGTACATGAAGTAAACTCCCCCAAACTACATTAAATATACCCTGGATAAGAACCCCGTTTTGCTTAAACTGCGGGGCTGAAAGTGTAGTATGTTCATTTTTATATGATCAAAAACCAAAATGTTGAGGAAATGACTGAAAAATGCAGTGATGTTTATGTGATGGGTAATTTTGCACACGCATGTGTAATTTCCTCACACAGCTGTGCATCACAACTGTCCGAGATTGTGAACAAAATAGTTGTCTGTGTTATTGCTTGTGAATGTTTTTTTTTTTCAAACTGGTACATCGTTGTAGTTGTGCTCTCAAAAATTGTTCCCCAAACAGCACTACTTTTAGCCTCATGCTTTATTTTTCTGTAGGCCTATCTAGCAGAACCAATTGCCTATTGCACCTTCAGGTGTACAGTTTACCTCAACAATGATAAACCCACTTATGTAGATAGGAATTTGTTTGTTGGAAATTATATAAAATTAAATGAACGATTTTTTTAACTGATTGGTCGAGCAGTTGTTAGTTTATTGGTTAATAGTTCATCTGTAAATTATTTACATACCTACATTGAATTCATTCGTTTTTTTCCCTCTAATATCCAAACCAGCATTTTCTACTGATAGCAGCCCAATACTGATAGCTGCTTTTAGATCAGTACCATCTTCATTAGCTACTCTGTCAATATCTTAACCTGACTTCTATCAGTGTGGGCCTTTGCTTCACTAAGAAGTCTTTCAGATTAATAACTAAATAATAAGCTGGGGTTTTAAGGAATTAACATTACTTATACTAATGTATTTTTAGTTTTTACAAGGTTAATTCCATCTGAAGGTGTAATTTTCAAAAGCAGGAGGTTAGCTGGAAATGACACGTACCCTATTAGTCTGGTTGCTATTACAGCTTGATTACTCTGTTGTTCTCTATTACTAAATTAATCTTCTGAGGTGTTTGCCAGGGCTGGTTTCTTCTTAAGAATGATGACTGAATGATGGAATGACTGGAACACTTTCTTACAGTTTGTTTGTCATTGTTTGTGTGTGTATGTGTGTGTTCCAGATCTCCTGCCTCTCCCCTCTTTTAGACAGGGAGCAGTAGCGCCCCCTGTTCCTCATAAACCTTCAGACTCTGAGCCGGGTTTGCTGCATGACCAGCCAGAGCGTGTAGCTGGGACAGGGCTGGGGCCTCCAGGGGCCCCATGGGGGAGAGTGGCCCCCAGTGATATGGCCCAGCATTATACCAGCCTAGAGGAGGCACTGCACAGTGTCAACACCATGCTGACCATGCTCAAAGCCCAGGTGGGTATTCAGGCCATTACTGCTGCTTTCTGTGTGTGTGCATGTGTCCTAGTGTGTCTAGAGTAGGAGTGCCCAAACTTGTTTTCTTGGGGGGCCTAAGTGCAATGTTTGTGGTGGGCCCAGGGCCAAAAAGCCAAAACAGTATACAAATAGGAAAGGTATGTATGTAGATATGTAGATATGTAGATATATAAAATATAAAAATATGTTTGTTCAGTCATTGGGGGAGGGGTGAGGGTGGCTAACTTTCTGGCCAGGGCTGCCCACAGTGTTTCCTGTGGGCCCAAGTTGGCCGATGAGGATATCTGATTTTGAAGCGCTAGTGAAAATGGAGCTTGCCTGTGAGTGACTGTGTGCTTGTCTTTGTGTACCTCTAGAATGAGGACCTGCGGGCTCGAGTGCAGTATCTGGAGTCATGTGAGTGTGTTAGGCGAACCTGCACGTGGGAGGGTCGTGAGAAGGAGGAAGGGTCCCGCTGGTTGATCAATGGCCACACCGTGTGTTCATGCACCTCAGGGAAAGTCCACTGTGCCGACTCAAATGGTGAGTGACACTTCTGTCCTTTAAGCATTTAACAAAGTCATCAGCTTAGTCATTATCTGTCACATCTTCATATCAGAATTTGCTGATTAATAGCAAAACAGACATAATATGCACGAACACCTGGAATATCCATCATCTTACAGCAGAAACACTCAGTGGTTATAGTGCATCTGCGGAAGTCCCCCTGTTCTGGGTTTTCACACCGAAAATCTCGTCTCAGTCCCTCCTTAACAATTTATTTTTGTTTCCTTACATACTTTAGCAGCTGTTTATATTTAGTATTTACTTGTTGGTTTCATCTCAGTGATTGCTGGTAATGTTCCGTGATACTCTTGTAATTGTTCTGAAGAGGGAGAAAGACTGTGTGGGTGGGTTGGTTGGTTGGGTGGGTTGGGTTGTGTGTGTGTGTGTGAGCACATACATGAATGTGGGATGAGAACATTTTTCATTTCTGTGTGTAGTTGCTAGTCATAAAACTTTGAAATGTATAGCCCTGTGGAATGTATAGAATCTATAGGACTGGGATCCTATAGATTACCCTCCATAGCAGAACATGGTGAATAGATTCTACACTACGATTGTCTGTTAGGGGTTTGAGCTCTTGCAATGGTCCTCTTGCAGATCCATGTGAGTCTGCCCCTTGTCAGAATGGGGGCGTGTGCAAGGCCATGACATCCGACCCCTGGTTCAGCTGTTCCTGTCCCCCTAGCACAGTGGGGAGATGGTGTGAGGCAAAAAGCTTTCAGGTACCTCAGCTTAGTTTAGTGACTAGAGTAGAAAACCCACACATGAAATTTTATACGAATGGATTCCAGTATGGACCTGTAAACTAGACACTATCAGACTTCAGAGCAAGTTAGATTTTGTAGGTCTCCACTAATTAGGATGTGTAGTAGGGGTGTAACAATACACAAATTTCACAGTATGGTAGATGTTCTGATGTGTTAGGGTTAGGTCGCTCTTACTGCGGAATCCAGGACTCTCTACAACTGAGTAGTGGTGCAAATCGGAAACATGCCTGTCTAGTTAATTTTTAGATTTCACCTGAAATGGAGCAGCAATTACATTCTCCCTTTAAGGTGGAACATAAAATTTGAGCAAGAAGCTGGTGAATAAAACCCTACACTTTTTCTCCTTGCGCCAGTAACTGATACATTTAAGTGATGTCTTCACAAATGAGTTTGCATATTTGAGGTATTGGCATTAGCACAGATTTTTGATCCTCACTTTGAGCAATGTCGGCACACTGTCACTATTCAATCTGTCGCTCTTTATTGTGTTTGAATGGGAAACCAAAGTGTTCCCACACGGTAGATGAATGTGAGGATTACTTAGCCTGTTAGCTTGTTTGCTCTCTCTGTTCAGCATTTTAAACAGTTGAGCTGATCAATTCATGGCTCATATAATCTCACAGCCCCCATATTTAAAGAAATGTTTAATAACAATAATAAATAATAAAAATATTACCATGTGTATTGTGACACCCCTAATGTGTAGTAGGGATGCACCAATACAGGAATTATGGGCTGTGGCCGATATTTGATTTTTTTCATGTACATATTTATGTCGATACATAATCATTCATAAAATGTAAAAATCGGGGTTACATGTACCTGGATTGGCATAATGGGGAAATATAACATTTATTTCTTTAGGTTTACAAATGCAGCAAAACGAATAAAATACAGATATTTTAGTGCATTACCCCAGTGTCACCTTAAAAATAAATACATCAAATATCGGTTTGAAATATCGGTTTAAACAATCCATACCAATAGGAATCCATTATCATTGTGCATCCCTAATGCATAATGCTGTATTTGGTGTTTTCCATGGTGAGTTCCATGTGTTCTCATCTGTAGGCCTGTCTCATGCCCCAAATTGAGGGTGCGTGTCCTGGAAAAATGAAATCTGTTCGCCGTTGGTTCTATGACTCCACTTCTGCGTCTTGTAAGCACTTCCTCTTTAGTGGGTGTGGAGGAAATGCCAATAATTTCCACAGCCGCCGTGCCTGTCAGGAGCATTGCATCCTGGGAGCTTGCTGTTATCGACAATATCAACGACCAAGCCCTTCTATTAGAGATGAAAAAAATGGAGATAGCCGTGCCAGAGATTCCCTTGGATATAACATGACTGAAATAGACATTGGCAACCAACCGAGGGGTGAGGAAATGTGGTTGTGGGCAGACCATGATCCAAAGAATGGGAGAATCCTTAAGAAGCGCATGTTGGATTACCCTGGTAACTTTTCAGATGGTGGTTACAACATGAGCTGGACTGGGTTGAATGATGACAGCGAGAGGGGGGACTGTTCTGCGGGGTTTGGTCAGCGGGGGGCAGCGTTTAAGCCATATGTTTGTGAGTATGTATCTGTGGCCCAGTGCCAGCGCATGGTTCGGAGTGGTACTGCAGAGCAGCTGGAGGTTGTGAGCTTCTCGCCAGGTCAACGGTGTGGAGAATCGAACTTTGCCCCAGTCTGTGGCTGCTGGTTTAACGGGCGACTCTATCGCCCAGGCGAGGCCTTTCAGCTGGCCTGCGAGGCTTGCGTGTGTACTTACTTGGGCGTAGTGGAGTGCACCTGCCAGCAGCTCACTCAGCGCAAAGAGGTGAGAGACATGAGCCAGTCTGAGAGAGAGGAGTACCACAAGGCCATCCAGAAAATCTACCATAAATCAGGTATATTGCAGTGTACCTGAATTGTTTTTCCTCTCTTTCTTTCTTTAAATGCATTTGTTTTTACTTTATTCAGTGGTTCACAACTCGTACCCCTGCATATTTGACTGTTTTCCCTGGTCTGACTGGTTATTTTGCATGTCAGTCAAATGGCCATTTCCTCTCAAAGTAAGCTGTTTCAGGTCATGTTAAGGGGTGGAACACACTCTGGCTAGCACACATGAGCCATCTAATCACTTAATTAAGGTTCTCATGAGTTGAAGTGGATGTGGTAGACCAGGGAAAGTGCTAAAATATGCGTTACAGGGGTACTCTAGGACCAGGGTTACAAGCCACTGATCTAATGATGCGTTGAACAGTCTTTGTACACTTATGAATTCACAAGTTCACCCAAAGCAAGCTGCCCTTGAGAACAGCTGACAAAGCTGTGGTAAACAGGCAAATTCCCTGTTTCCTGAGTTTAATTATCACCAGCTAGCGCATCACCTGATATCAAGTGAACACCCAAGACCAAGCCAGCATTGATCCCAGCAGATATATTTATCGTTTAAATGATAGCTCTACCTCTTGACTCAAACACAACTGGTTATGATCTTGTGTCTTTATGACTTAATGAGATCCATCTGATTGCACCATAATTGTATGTGTTGTGTCTCTGTTGTGTGATCAGACATGTGGGAGGGCTTTGTCAGACAGCAGGCGGAGTTCCTCCCACAGGCCAATGACAATGTCTACTTCCTGCCTTGGCATCGTTATTTCCTGTGGATGGTGGAGCGTGAACTTCGGACTGTTTCATCGTGCAGCATTTCCATTCCATATCTGGAGTGGACCGTGGACGCGGGTGCACAGGACACCTCCTCTGCTTGGCAGGCTAACATGTTTGGAGGGGATGGGGAACCTAGCAGTGAATGTGTAAAACTCCACCCTTTCCAGCAAGCAGAAAAACCCTGGGTGCCTTGCCTTCGGCGCCACTTTAACGCCTCCATCTCCCTGCCTGACGCTGTGACCCTCCAGATTCTACTAGCTGAGCCAGACTTCCTGTCCTTCTCCCAGCAGCTGCAGGTGGCTGGTGCCCTGTTCCAGCGCTGGGTGGGGGGTCACATGGCCTCTCCACTTTGCGTCTATGACCCAGTGTTCTTGTCCCACTGTGCCTTCTTGGACCGCCTGTGGGCCGAGTGGCAGGAGAGACACCCTGAGCAGGCTTCCTTCTTCCCTCCAGAGCGACTCTACATTAAGATGGAGCCATTTGGTGTATCGCCAGAAGACGTGATGAGATCACGGCAGCAACTCTGCACCGATTATGTTCCCATAACCCTTGGAGCCCCTTGTAATGCCACTTACAAGCAGTGGAGGATGCAAACAGGTGACCGGAATGGCTTGAATCGACCATGTGGCATGAGCTCTATAGAGGATGGTCAAGGGCTGGCACTAGAATCTGAATGTGAGTTCAATAAACAAGGTTTCGATGCACAAGGATATGATCGCAGTGGCTTTGACTGGATGGGATGGGACCGTGATGGGTTTGGTAGGGACGGCTTTAATCGGGATCACTTTGACAGGGATGGTTATGACATCTATGGTCACAACCGATACGGCTTTAACCGAGCCAATATGGCCGCATTTGGCATGAAAGGGGATGGGACTATGATATCTTCTATGACTAAAGAGCTTGTGAACCAGCTTTTTCCAGACGGCTTCAACAGATATGGCTTCAGTCCTTATGGCCTGGATAGAGCAGGACTTGACGCATTTGGTTTCAGAGTCGACGGCTACGATAAAGACCAGTGTAATTTCTTCCTTCACGGGCCACACTATCTTCGTTTCTACTTTTATGCCCAGCTACAAATGAGTGTGGCTGAGGTGCAGTCTCTGTCCACCATTAAGCGCATCTGCCCTCCAGTCAGCCTTCTGCCCCCTCTTTGGGCCAATCGGCAGTGGCTTGGGCTAGGCTCAGAGGAGGGACGTTATGTGATTGGTCTGCTGGAGCAGCAGTGGGAGGAGCAAAGGCCATTTGACAAGGATTACAACCCCCATGACTCTTCAGTTAGGGCGACAGGCCTCTGGCTGCCAATTACACCTGACCTCAGGTAAGAGACTCTTCATGTAGAAGTACAAAGAATAGGAAATTACATTGAAGTTAAAAAGTCACTGATTCTGTTGGCTTTCATCTACCTCTGTGTTCGTCTGTCCATTATCTTTCTATCATTTCAATCTCCGCAGGTTTTGTTTTGAGTTGCCATGGTTTTCTGGGTGTCCTGTGGGCGTAGCTCCAGTAGAGTGCCCCGATTTGTGCCAAGATTCTCTTTGCCCAGGGCAACCAGACGCCCAATGCCATGTCCACACGTGTGGCTCCTGTTTCACTGAGTGGATACACAAAGACACAGGCGAGGCTGTGATGTGCCAGGAGTGGTGACAGTCTTACCAGTAACAAAGACTAAAGCAATGTGGCAGCCCAGCTGACCCTTTCAGTGTTAGGCAGAATTCTTCTGCCATAGAATTTAATAATGTGCACAGATTCGAGGAAGCAAAAAAAATGTTATGCTGAAATTCTCAGCGGTTGTAGTTTTGGAATCATTTACTTAAACCCTAAGTTGAATTACCATAGTTAAAGCAATGGTTCAGTGTACATTTATATATTTTTCTATTTGCCACAGAGCTTGGGTGACCAGCCAAGACATTTTGCTTTTTTAGTTTAGCACAAGCTACAAGGCTAACATTGCTATCAAATACTGGAAAACAATAGTCAGTAGTCACCCAAATCTTTACTGTAAAGACTTCTCTCCACCTGAAAACTTCTCTCCACCTGCTCAAACCACTGTCTTGTCTTTATTAAGGTTGCACAGAATGGTTGTCATGGTTTAGGATACATTATGACTTACTGTGAACCAGTGTTGGCTCTACTTAATAAGCAACATAAACAGCTGCTTAGGGGCCTAACCACATCTGGATTATTACTATACAATTATGTTATCTAAGTGAGGGCAAAAAAGCACCTGGTTAATCAAGAAAAACACATGCATCTGTAACTTATTAGAACCTCAAATGAGCATTGAATCATCAGCATTAAACAGTTAGCCAGTTAAAATGTGTATAATTTAGATAGCTTGTGGTAGTTTTTATTAAGTTACATTAGGGGCAGTAGTTTTTTTGCCCATAGTTTTACAGTATATCAACTTGCAATATGGGTGGGGCCCCCAAAAATCCTGCTTAAGACCCCTTAAAAGGCTTGAGCCAGTCCTACTCAGAACTATAAAAATAAACAGAACTTCACCATGTAGCCAAATGCTCTGGGCAGCTGCTTTAGACAACAGGTGTTGTGCTGAAATCTGATTTCCAGTTGCATGCAAGCGTGTCACGCAGGTATATGGATGTTACATTACATTAAATTTACATTTTCTTATTGCTTTTTGTAAATAACTTATATTTTCTAGTTCAAAATCGATGGTTTTAAATAGAAAGAGGATATAGGAATGGTGGCGCAGTGTTCAGCTACATAGTAAACAATTTGTTTATTTTTGTAGTTTAGTGTTACTCATAATCTGTCATAAACCACAGTTCATATCATAAACTGCAGTTTAGGCAGATTGAGAAGTTTGGGGGATTTATTTACAGAAAATATTTCAGTGACTGTTAACTTCTGGTGTTTGTTAGCAGCATTAGCCTCATAGCTCCAGCGCTAAAATAAGACGCAAAAGCTGGACACCAAATATGTCCTAGCTGATGGACTATATCTGGAGTGTGTGGAAATTTGATTATTCGCTTTAATATTACAAGAACAATATCATGTAACCATGTTTGTACTTGTTATTTATAAAAGCACTGCTCAAAATGAAGATTTGGTTTTGTTGTCGCTGTCTTTCTGGTTTTGTGTACTTTTTTACAGCTGTACATGTGATTGTACTTTATTTATGTTGAGGGTTTAATATAAATATTTTTGCCATACAGTGTAAATGAGGATGGTTACTGTCAGATTGACTGTGTGATGTTGTTGCAGTCTGTGTGCGTCACCATTGATTGTGTTTGAAGATATATTTTTATGGCAATTAAGCAACAAAAATCATTCAAACAGGAAGAAGCCTGATTTATGCGCATGTAAATCTGCTGTTGTTTAATGGCTGCTCCCTCTTCCTCCCTTTTGGAACATTTCCAGTCTAGAGACATAAAGTCCTCCCTCACTTCCCTTAGCTACTTCCACTTCTAGAAATCCTGTGGTGCAGGGCTGCAGTTGTCATTTGTAATGGTGCAGCTTTTTTCAGTTTATGAGGATGCCTTTCATATTGCATGTTAGTGAAGGGAAATGAGTGAGGGTTCATTTTGAACTGGAGTCTGACCCTTCTGTCCCTCTGCCTTGCTTCTTCCTCCTCTAATTGTTTCTGCATGTCTTTCCAGAGGCATTTTTCGGCTCTTTGCTTTGTATTTATGTGTGTGATTGACCTCTTGGGTAGAGAAATACAGAACCTAGCAGCCTCTGGTTTCTAGCAGAAAATCATTTCAAACTAACTGTGTTATCGTTTGTTCTTTTCTTTCTTCTCCTTTCTAGATTTCTTTTTATTTGTTTATGCTGTAATGGCCTGTAACCTTTTAAGAATGATTTGTTCTTTAGGATTTTTGATTGACAGGTTGCCTGATGTGGCCTGAAGGATATGGTATTTTACAGACTGTAGCTTCAAGTAATTACTAGTAGTCAGTTATTCCACCTAGTAACACTTATAGCATAGTGCTGTTATTAGTCATGCACGTAGTGTAGATTCTGTGGAAACTGATAGAAATGTTTCTGGTTTCTGTCATTCTGAAACACAATATCACACATATGCCAAAGAGTCTTTCCCATGTAGTGATAAGGTGAAAGTGAGAAGCCTGTTTCTGTACATTGCACCAGTGATCCTCAAACAATAAATGTCATTGTCACGTAGTCATATTGAGAAGCCTGGGCAGAAACTTTTACTGTGTATTGTACTTACACTGCCTGTCAAAGGTTTGGGTACACCTTGCCTTCTAATTTTTTTTTCCTGTTTTATTTGAAAAATAAAAAAAATCTTTTAAATGTGTGATTTTGTTTTATCAGAATAAACCTGGTTAGTCTTTAATATGTTAAACTGACCAAGAAAACAGGCTGCAAAAAACGGTCTTAGCAAGTGAGATTGTCTTAAATCTAGTTGATATATTGAATATTTCGTATTTAGAGATTGTTGTGAGAATATTTGTAATATGTAACTTATTTGTAGACATAGTTTACGTGCTTTAAATTACTTTATCTACAGAAATTGTCTTATTCTTTTTCTTTTGGAAGATAATTTTATTTGTCTCAAGAAGTAATACACCTCTACTAATTTCAGGAAATAATGCTTTAATCAAACAAAATGAACTGGCAATAGAATAAGACAATTTCTCTGGATACAACTGCTTAAAACAAGTAAAAATGAACTAGGAATAAGTTTAATAATCTTACAATACTCTCATAACAATCTCATAATGGGAATATCAAATCAAGTCACTTTATTTGCCATTACAGCCAATATTAGTTGGTAAATGACCCAACATAACTGTGTTGTGCAATCGTCTTGATAATTGCCTCTATAGAAAGTGAGTGCAATAAAGGATAACAGTGCACTTACTCACATAGTTTTGTTTTAGCTTTTATTTCTGAACTCTGAATTAGTGCTAGTAAAGTGCCTTGTTATGTGTTTTCCTTCACGCATCGCACATTAGATTATTCTGACTTAAATGATCATTGTAATTAACCCCATAAAAGGCCAAGGCCCACCGGCAGGCCCAAAGTTTTATTACACACTTCTGTAACCAAAAAGAGCTCAATCAGTTGCGCTGAAGTCCCTGTAGAAACTAAATAATAAGCCTTAGTATGTAATAAGCCTGGGATTTTAAGGGGTTAATAAACAAAATACAGTATCCTCTATCTGATCCACTAACTTCACCCTCCTTTAACTCCATAATCTCCCAGACACTGTTGTACTTTCCCTGATTTCAGACGTTCAGCATGCTGTATTCAACCACTATGTGTGTGTGTGTCTTCTGTCTGACAGAGTGCAGTTATGAGGGCAGGATCTACAGAAGTCATGATGTCTTCAGCCCACACCCCTGCTCAAAGTGTGTGTGTGAGGTATGAACTAAAACAAACTTTGAGAATTTTGTTTATTTGTATTTCTGATTATTTTCATGTAATTAATTTGATTTTATTGAAGGGTTTAATCAAGCCTGACCCCAAAATTAGGTCATGAGCAGGGCTTCCACAAACCATAATGTGGACGGGCCACACAGAAGAACAGCAAAAAAAAAAGCTAAAAACAGAAGGAAAATATGATATGAGACATGTATGGTGGATCTGTAGATCTGTCCAAAGGAGCCACATGTTCAGTAGAGAATCAACAAGAGAGCAAATCTGTTTAGGAATTCTGTCCTCCAAGTTGTCTTCTGCTAACATATAGCACAGCTCTAAAATACAGCCAGTACAACAGGATGCATGCAAACCCTCCTGTGTTAATCAGTGTAGATTTTATACCAGCTGCACATGAAGTTTAATTTCACTTTAGATATTTTTGCTGTTTTCTATAGAAACATGGACAAAATAATGGGTTTAGTGGGGCATGATGATCGGGTGGTGGGGCATTTCCCTGCTTAATGACCCCTTGACACAGGGCCTGGTATTAATGCTTTAATCTTCATTACTTTCTCTCTCATTCGTCCTCCTCTGTGTATTTATCTCTCTTTGTTCTCTCTGTCTCTAATTGTCTCTCCTCTGTCTCTCCATCTCTCTCTCTCTCTCTATTACTCTCATTCTCCTTTCTCCCTTTCTCCCTATCTCTCTCTCTCTCTTTCTCTCTCCCTCTCTCTCTCCCTCTCTCTCTCATTCTCTTTTCTCCCTTTCTCCCCATTCTCATTCCTCTCTGTCTTTCTCTCATTTTCCTTTTAGCCTGTCTCTCCCTGTCTCTGTCTCACTATTTCTTTCTCTCATTCGCTCTTTTTTCTTTGGCTCTCTGGTCATCCTTCTCTTTCTCTGTCTCTCACTCTCTCTCATTCTTTTTCTCTCTCTCGTTGTCTCTCCTCACTCCTCTCTCTATCTCTCTCTCTCTCATTCTCTGTCCCCTGTCTCCCACTCTTGTTGTTAATCCCTTAAACTGCAGGGACTCATCTGTGAGTCCACACTTAATTTCCTCATCTTTATGTTAGTTTCATAATAGTTCTGCAACAATTTATAGTTTTTGAATGTTATGCCTTAAGATTAACTGAATGATAAGCCTGCACCTTATTATGTAACGTTTTGCTTTTAGAATGGTAAGGTGGGGTGCACGGAGGTTCGCTGTGCTGCTCTATCCTGCAAAACGTATATTCCTGAAGGTGCATGCTGCCCTGTCTGTCAGCCAGGTACACACAGAAAACACACATACACATGCGCATGCAGGCCTTGTACTTGCACATTTAAACCATGTGTGAACTTTGTGTTGTGAGGATATGATGGGTGGCCCAATGCTTGGTGAGGTCACTGATGTTACTGTGTGTTCCTTGTGCTGCTCTGTAGGCTGTGAGTATGAAGGTGAGCCCTATGCTGATGGAGAAGTGTTTGCGTCCAGAACAAACCCCTGCCTCAACTGCTCATGCTCCGTGAGTCTTTTCTCTGATTGACTGAGTGTGCGTATGTGCGTCTGTGTCAGTACATTTTGCAGTGTTCTTCTATATGTGTGCTACGTGCTTATTAAGCTGAGTTAGTAACAGGAATCCTCAAATAATTAATCATGTATTTAAAGAAAAATCTGTTTTAACTTAAAAAAGCTACCAGGTTGCCTTAAAGCTTTGAGTTAATTCAACTTCTAAAAGCAAGTTAACAGAACAAGAATGTTTTGTTGACTTACTATTTGAAGTTCAATAAACTTAAAAAACGAAGGAGGTCCAGTAACTAACTTTTTGGAGTTAAAACACCAGTGTAGTGACTGGAGATGCACCGATAATGAATAATGAATTTTTTATAGCTGATTTCGATTTCAGTTTCTTTCCAGCCAAATTTATTTATTTATTTATTTATTTTCCCCTGAGTTTGAAGTGCCTGGAGCTCACACTGTGTGACCTAAATTCACACATGAAACATAGAGCACATTTCCAATTTCTTGGAAAAAAAAAAATGGCTGATTGCCGATTCTGATTTTGGCCAGTTCCAATAATGCATCCCTAGTAGAGACCATTAAAGTGATAGTTTTGCAAAAAATGTTTGATGTTTGAATTTTGCTTCTTTAGTTTTGCACAGGAGCTATTAGAGTAATCACACAAAGACATATTGAAAGCTTGTGCCCCACCAATTACCATAGTCCAAACTGAGTCCATCAAGTCATGCAAGTAATTTCTAATAGACTTGTTTATGTGGGTTCTATGAAATGGACAAAAGTATGTTGCATAGCTAAAAACTGTACTGTAAGTAATTGTAGCGTAGAGGGAGATGAAGAGACAGGAGCGCAAGTCCTTGTTTTTTATTGGAAGCCGTGACGAAAGAATCCACAGAGTAACAAAACAATAAGAATACTTACTTACAAAATACTACAACAAAAAGGAATCAAGACAAAAGAACATGAAGAGAACTAGAAAACAAACAGGAGATATCAGAAACAGGGCCTGAGAACACAAAACCCTAAGCAAACACAAAGCACACAATGAGGGTATAAAAATACATGGAACAAACCAGAAACACCTGGAACTAATGAGAGGGTGGGGCTACAGACTACAGACAGGTGAGACAGATGATAAGAGAGCAGGAATGGGGAGGAGACAAAGACCAGATCAACGAAAGTGCGTGGCCTACATAAACAAAAGCACATGCAACACGACTCTCAAGGGAAGATAAACAAAGGTAGACACAGAGACAAGGAAAGACAAAGCAGGGCAAGACAGGATGTCAGAGTAATAGCTTGTGTTTTGGCTTTAATTTGGGGGGAAATTGTGTAAATTTGTTTTCTTGCTGAACTATTGCTTTAAGAAATACCATTGCAGACGTAACGTGTAAGAAGTGTGGGACTTTTTTTTTGTGTACATGTTTGTGTGTGTTTTGCAGAATGGTTTGGTGAGATGTAACCCTACCCGCTGCCCCCCCACTCTGTGTGCCAATTCTTACAAAAAGGCCGGGGAGTGCTGCCCAACTTGCTCAGGTACATGCTCAGACACACTCACACAGACCCTCCAGCAGCACCCACAGCACCCACAGCGCTGCGCTCTAGATATGTGCTTTGATGTAATCTCTGAGGTAAGGGCACAATAGGCTTGATGAGCAACAGTGTGCAAAGATTCAACCACATACTTGTCTTTATTCGTACAGAATCACTGCCTTCTTCTTTCAGTGATAACCCAAAACCTCTAACCTACGCCAAGACATATGCAGATAAAAAATCATGGGCATGTATATGCACAAAAATGTCAGTCTTTTGTCTTTTGCTGTCTTTTGAGCACCATTTTTCCTGTTATAAATAGGAGCCACCGTTCATAAATAATGACGATACCCTTGTCTGCTCTCTCTAGCATGTGAACTGGATGGCCAACCCCACAGTGACTCCTTCAGTACCACTGATGGATGCCAGACGTGCACTTGCCGGGTATGTGGCTCCTCTTAAACATGCTCTTTAAAGTAGGCTTGGCCAGTATTCAGTGTTATTAAATATTATGACATCTAAGCAGCACCATACATGTGAATTATCATCATTATACATAACATTACATGTTTTAAGTTTCATTAACTTACTATTTGAAGTTCAATAAACTTAAAAAACGAAGGAGGTCCAGTAACTAACTTTTTGGAGTTAAAACACCAGTGTAGTGACTGGAGATGCACCAATAATAAATAATGAATTTTTATAGCTGATTTCGATTTCAGTTTCTTTCCAGCCAAATTTGCCAATTGCTTTTTTTTTCTGAGTTTGAAGTGCCTGGAGCTCATACTGTGTGACCTAAATTCACACATGAAACATGGGAGCACGTTTCTAGTACTTTCTATTAGCCAGTACTTTTCTTTTAGTAGCAACAGAAATATCCTTTACTCTTTAATGTGCTAAACTGTTACTTTAAATTCAAAAATGAAAAATGAGTTGCCTATTTAAATAACATGAATCAAATAAATTGCCACATCAAAAATAAGAGGGAACTGGCTTTTTATGTGGCTCATCTTAAACATGCTCTTTAAACTAGGCTTGGGCCAGTATTCCGTGTTATCAAATATAATGACATCTAAGCAGCACCATACATGTGAACTATCATCATGATACATAAATGATATACAGTGAACCTTGTACAAATGTACAGTGATTTCGCCAGTGGGGATTTTGCGCTATCCTTGAGTTCTCAGGGAACATAAGTTCTGTAAGTCATTTTTATTTCATAGCTGAATGATGTGTGACTGTGATCCCTGTAAGGGCAGCATTATTGTGTGTAATTTTATCATGTATTATTTTATCATGAAACCCTGATGAAGCCCATCTCTACGGGTGACAAATTAAGAGAGAAATCTGAGTGAATGAGTGGAGAAACATGACCAAACAGGTGTACTGCATGATACAGTTAAACAGTTATAAAATCCCAGCATGGCAGTTAAACAAAATGCTGAGCAGGCCTAGTTGACCTTGATGTTGGATTGAGATGGCAAGAAGAAATAATCTAAGTGCCTTTAAAAGAGGGTCCAGTATTGGGGCAAGGATGGCAGGAGCTTTAGTCACAGACTGCTTAGCTTGCTAGTGTTTCATTAGGAACAGTGGCTTAAGTGACATCTGCATTTAGATGTATGGGAAAGATGTCAGTAAATAGGGTTGGAGATTGTGGTCAAATGTGCGCACATTTTTATTTTTTATTGCTCTTCACCGCCATCATCAAAACACCAACTGAAGGAATGTCTTTTGGAAGTATGATGTCCTATTCCTCTACCACAGGTCCAGATGCTTGTAGATTCAAGGTGTATTGAACCTGTTCTGTTGGCTTGTGATGGCCCAACACCTTACTGATAACCTTCATGTTGTTTTTTTTTAATTTGTGTGTGTAATGTATGTATGTAATGTATGTAATTCTGTGTGTTGTGCTGTTTTTCTCACCAGAATGGCGATGTATCGTGCGTTGACAAACAGCAGTGTCCTGTGTCATGTCATGATGGAGTGAGGCCTCCGTTTGGCTCTTGTTGCAAGGACTGCTCTCGGTGTGAATATCAAGGGGAGATCATTATGGAAGGAGTCTCCTTCACTGACAGACACGACCCTTGCAAACACTGCGTCTGCAGTGTAAGACTGCAATTTTTTTATTGTCAGGCTGTGTGAATGTTTTGTCTGTCCTGCTGAACAGTGTTTCTCAGTCTGGGTTGTGGAGTATCCCTGCCTGTTTTCCCACACCCCATCCAGTGGCCCCCAGAGTAGTTATGATGCCCACGTTCAGAATAGTTAAATGCTTTATGAAGTAATATTGGAGCTTTCAGTGTGCAATCGGATTTCCAACACTGTGGAAAAGAAACACCATGCTGCCTTTATCATTGGATGTAATGTGAGCAAGTTTCTGAACAAGCACACGAGCACATTCAGAATGGAATTTGGATTAATCAGATTAATTGGATTGGTTTAATCAGAATAAATCCAAGCCGGCTGAAGTGTAAAGTATGGTCCTATTTTTGTTCTAAAAAGTATTTTATGACACAAAAAAATCAATTTTTGTTAGATCATGTTCTTTACATATAAAAATAAATGTGACTATAACACACAACAACAGTCCCATTATTGACAGATAAATGTAGATTAAAAAGCAAAAATAGCTGTTTTTTTGGGTGGGGCTCAGCATTAAAGGCATGAAAAGCCCCTCTTGATGTTGGGCTGTATTAGAAACACAAGAATTTGCAGGGCAGGGGTACTCCATGAACAGATGCTGGCCAGAATTGGAAAGTACAACTTCGAAAACCATGCAGTTTGAAGTGAAGGCCTCAGATTCACCTCTAGTGATTAACTTTGGCAGGGTAATAACTAGAGACTGCTTCTCAGGGCCTGAGCTATATGTGGTGGTATTGGGCTGGTGAAAAGGTTTTCACACACAGCACTTCAACAAAAAGAAAGAGAACCTGTGATGGAGCCTTGAGGCACTCACAGTAGCAGTTGTATGTATAGTACTAATGACTGTAATTTTTCATCACTGAAAAGGCCCACATTTGTGTGTGTGTATGCGTGGGAGTGGGCAAGAGAGAGTGGATCAGTCATGCAGAGAGGGCAGTGTCTCTAATGAGTTGTCCTAGAATAGAAAAGAAAAAAGCAATGAACTGTTTGACCCCTCCACCCCCCACACAAAACGCACATGCAAACACAAAATTGTTTTCAATTCTAGAACACTGAACCTTGTTTTATTGCCAAGCTGACTGAACAAAAACAAAGACACAGAGAGTAAAGCTTTCTCTGCACTGCCCCATCTACCCCTGTCTAGTGTTTGAAATTCTCTGTGTCTGCATGTATGTGTAGGAGGGGAATGTGGCGTGCAGCACAGCGGCTTGCACTGCGCTTGACTGCACTTTACTTGAAACTGTTGGGGGAGAATGTTGTCCCAGGTGTCGAAGTAAGTTTGTGTGTGTGTGTGTTTTTGCTTGTATGTTTCTGTATTTAACATAACGCAATTTTACAGATGTGGTTTTCTTTCTGCTTGAGCTAACGTAATGTTTCTGTTACATGAAGGTTGCATCCATCAGGGTAATCGCCACCAGCACAACTCTCGCTGGCACCACCCAGATGACTCCTGTAGTGTCTGTACATGCTTAGTGAGTTTACAGCAGAGCTGTCTTGTCCACTATGTTCATTTTTTTTTATTATTTGAAAAAGCCTTTTGTCCTTTACATTGTTTATAATTGTTTATGAAGCATGGACCACAAGAAACGACCTGAAATTATATATATATATATATATATATAGTGACACAGAGCCAATGTGATTTTGATTGCTTATAACTCCAGTGCAGTAGTAAAGAAGCTAACTTCAGACACCAGTCGATCACCCTGGGTAAGCAGGGAAAAAACTCAACCCGCTGTCTCTCTCTCTCTGTCTCTCTCTTATAGGAGGGGCATGTTCAGTGTGACAGAGAGGAGTGTAACCCTCCATGTAGGAACCCTCCCTCTCCTCTCCCAGGAGCCTGCTGTCCTGTCTGTGACGGTCAGTGAGTTTCCACCAATCAAAGACCAAGAGCTGAAAAGCTGATTGGATTCTTACATTTCAATAGATGTTAACAGCACTGTTGCACTTGTCATGTATACATGTGTGTGTTCTTTTATAGGTTGTGGTGTTAATGGAGTAAATTTTGTAAATGGGGAGAGAGTTCCCAGTAGAGATGGATGTGAGCAGTGTGTGTGTGTGGTGAGTTAACACACAGTGCTCAGGAGTGAACACAGAACCCTGTCACTTCAAAATGACTAATTACTCTTCATAGAGGATTTACAGTTCAGACGTTCATTGTATCTGTGTGTGAATTCAAGTTGCATGTTTTGATGATTGTTTTTTTTTTAGATGAAAATAAGCTAATGCTTCCCTCTACAGGGAACATTTTTTCTGCAAATTTCCATATATAAATAATAAAATATAAAATTATGAATAAATATATGTTTTATGTATATATAAGATGTGTAATAACTTTTACACAGGCCTTATTATATGTTTTTTTGTTTTTTCCAGTGTGTTAAATTAAGTAAACAGTGAACAGTAATTGTGCATTAAGTGTGCAGAAGTATGTTTTCTGTGGAGAATATGTACTTCTTTTCACTTAGAAAAGTTTTGCATATGACTGTATGTATGTATGTGTGTTAGATCCATTTATGGATATCATTATGTTGTGGCTGTCAAAACTAAACCTTGTATCTCCAATCTTCAGTCACTTTATTATTACTATTTTTAAATAATTTGAAAGTGCTGCCCTTTATATTGTATGAACATTTATTATGGAGGATGAATGATGAAAATTACTTAAAATCTTGGTACATTTCTTTCATTAAAGGTTGATGTATTTTTACGTTCTCCTGTGAAGTTATCATTTTGGAGATATAAGGTTTTTTTCTGACAGCAACAATATGTAAGATTACACCTTGGTTTGGGGTAGGGTTAAACTGCATACACTGCCATTCAAAGGTTTGGAATTAATGTTTTCAATAATATATAAACAATTTGGTTGCAGATGTATACAGAATGACTGTAATACAGTAATCCCTTGTAACTGGTTTTTAATAAGAAATAGGACACTAAGAAACTGTAAATAAATATAATGTTAGGTTTAGAATGATGAACACAGCTGGAAAAAAGATAGCTTGACATAAAAATGTAAACATATAATTCCAGTAAATTATATATTTCATTTATATTTATACTTTCTTTTTAACAGATTTTTTTAAATATTAAAAGAAACAATTTTTAGCAAAAATTAATATTTAAATCCATACCGTGGAGGTTATTGTTGTATATACAGTAACCAAAATGAGTAATGATGTAGTGTATAGTATAGTAACAGTGTATTGCTTGTGTACAAGGAACTGAACGCAGCTACAGTTGATTAAAAAAAGGCATTTCACCTTCATATCAGATATGCTCTTATATGTGTGTGTGCATGTCTCAGAATGGAAACGTTCAGTGTGAGCCCCACCGTTGCCCTGCCACGACTTGTTCTCATCCTGTCAGAAGAGCAGGAGACTGTTGCCCACGGTAATTGACACTGTATTCTTCTGCAACAGTGATGAGAATCTAAGACAGCTCTTTCACACCCACTGACATTTATTTATGTGTGTGTATGTGTGTGCAGGTGTGAACAGTGTAATTACGAGTCTGAACAATATTTTCATGGACAAAGCTTCACCCCTGAACGGAACCCCTGCTTGAACTGCCAATGTTTAGTAAGTATGTCTTTTTACATGGAACGATCATGAAAGATTAACTTAACTATAAAAATGATTGTCATTAACAATTCAAGTATAAGCATGATGTGGCAAAAGTAGTTGCTGGCTAATTGTGATCAGGCAGTTATGTAATAATTGTGACGGACCTAGAGACTGACCTAGTGACCTTGTTACCACGTTATTTTTCCATGCTCCCCTTTTGGATGTTTGTATATCTGTATGTGTGCATGTGTTTGAATATCATTGCTGTCAGAACAGAAGTTTTTACCTCCATTTTTGTCTTTTTTTCATAATATTAAAATTCCAGCTGCTGTTTACAATGTTTCAAAATTTTATGATGAGCGGACCAATAAAAAAGGCCCAAAAAGGCTTAAAATAACCGTCCTAAGATCAACTTAAATTAAAAGTTAAGAACCATTTGTCTTTCTCATGTGAAGTTGCTTTTTTGGAGAGTTTTTGTTCCGACAGTAATAATATGTTTATGTGTAACCAGGCTGGTGAGGTGGTGTGTGAAAACGCAGTCTCATCATGCCCCCCTCTGCACTGCACACACCCAGCAAGACAACATGGCAAGTGCTGCCCCACATGTGACTGTGAGTAACCTACACATAGTTCTTACCCTTTTGTCTATAATAGTTTGTTCATAATTCCACAGAGCAGTATGAAACCCCAGAAGTGCTAGGAAACTCTGATCTGTGCTCTTACTGTGTGTGTGCAGTGTGTGAATATGAGAGAAGAGTGTATGCTGATGGGGAGGAGTTCAGCCCACTAGGAGACAGACCCTGTCTAAAGTGTACCTGTGAAGTAAGGCATATAAATGTATAATACATACAGTATATACAATACATACAAATTCACTGGAAATCAAGCCTGGAATGCAAAGGTGCCAGGTCTGGGATGTTTATCGAAAAAAGTACATAGCTTTATCTACCGATAACATGTTTCTTTAAATGACTGTTAATATATAATCGCCTACACTAGTTATATTGTGCTGAAATTTGACTATAAGAACTCTGGCAGTGTGAATCAGTGCTTAGCCAAGCAGCTAGCTCACTTTATTTCCTTTTATTTGTATTAACATCACATGATTATTGTCTACTTGTGCTAAAAATGGCCATATATGGAGAGTCTTAGCAAAAGCCTGTTACCAATATTCAGTTAATAGACACATCACTTTGTTCAGAATAGAATTGTAAAAGAGCTGCTGGATATTTGTAATTATCCCCATACATTTTAGAATTCTAATTAAACCCAAAATAGATTGTTTCCTTTAGTTGTAGACAGTAATGACAAAAAAAGAAGCACAGTTGTTTTCAGCACGTATTTACTGTACTATAAATATTTGTTGACTTATGCCATAACAGTTATTAATAGTATTTCTTATTTCTGTGTAATTATAATCATATTTATCAGTATTGAGGAATTTTGCAAAAATATTTATGGCATCATTCATATCATACTAAGAATTTCAGTGACACAATGAAATGAAAAAATAGCCATTGTAATAAGAAATAATAATGTGTTGAATATGTATCAAAAATACATGACCATATTGTTCTGTAAAAAAATGGTTTATTTTTATGTTTTATTGTTTACATATACAGCATTAGACATTGTGGTAATATGATAACTGTAACTGTGTGACACAATTTTTTTAACCTGATACATTTACAGTGTTGTATGTTGGTGCATGCTTCCTGATATTGGTCTCTCCTCAGACATGTCAGACATAATTTGCACCACTGCTGGAATGTCTTCAAAGACATATAAGAAGCAACCCATGTGCTGCGTGGGTTACATGACATTGCAACCACAACAGCTAACTGGGAATCTGGTACATTACATTCAGCATTCAAGCTTCAAGCCAGAAAAAAGCAGATATGCTGGTGTTTTTGGCCAAAAAACACGTGTTTCCCACCCATAATCAAAAAACCCAGCATCAAATTCTTTTAGAGTTTGCCAGCATTACCAAGCATTGTCATGACTTCACTTTCTAGCAATGACATAGTCTGTTTAGAGATCAGAATTCCATAGCCAAATCTCAGTAGAGCAAACTGAGGGCTGTCCTTTTCACAGCTAAAACAACAATTTTACGGGATGTTAATACCGTGGCTATCAGCTAATTTATCTCAGGGTGCTGTTTTTATTTTTCAAGGAGCCTAACTATAAGATGTAAGGCTCAAGAGAGCGCTACAATACCCATATCGCATTACATTTCATCGTTTCTAGTCATGCTATCTAAGTACTCTCCAAATACTTCTTTGTGTAGCAGTGGATTTGGCCAGAGGGAGCATCAAACTCTTTTGTCTTTTGCTGCTTGAGAACAGTTAAGAGTGTCCTGTTTTTCTTGGTATTGAGCTGAAATGTCACAGCAGCATTTAAGGTGGAGCAGAAACGTTTGCACAAGAAGCCAAATTTAGCCTTGTGTAGTTAGCTTTGTTACCTGCGCTGGAGTTTGATACAGTTGACTAGTTACTAGGTTAATCCAAAGCATTACTCAGCCAGGTTCTCCAAGTTGTAAATGGGGCTGGAGTTATGTGGTGTAGGAGTGTCTTATAAAATGACTATCAAGTGGTCAGTGTAAAGACCTCTACTCCTGCCTTCAGTTTTCCAAATTGGATTTCTCACACCCATAAAACATTTGTGCTGATTCCATTGCTAAAGGATTTTTTTTCATGTTCTACATATTTGCCAGGTTATTTGTACTAGTAATAACAGAAATAAAATGACTAATGCACCTTTAAACAAAACAGAATCAAAAAATAATTTGACTGTCCATCTCTAATATGTGTGTGTGTGTGTGTGGTAAAGCAAGGTAGTGTAAGATGTCATCAGGAGAGATGCCCCTCTGTGCAATGCGCAAACCCCATTAGGGACCCTCATGCCTGCTGCCCTTCCTGCAAAGGTAACACATAAATACACACTAACATTTAACTCTCCCTACACCAAACAGAAACACATCTACCACATGGATGTAGTATATTTTGTCATGTTGTAACTGCTTATTGTCTTTAATTTACATCCCTGGGCATGAATGAATCTGTGTGTTTGTATGTGTGTGTGTGGGTGTGTGTGTGTAGCATGTGTGTTGAATGATGTAGAGTATGAGGAGGGCTCTGTCTGGGACGCTGACGGTTCTCCCTGCAGCACCTGCTCTTGTGTGCGTGGGGCAGTGATGTGTCAAGCCAAAGTGTGTCCTTCTACACCTTGCCTCCACCCCAACACAGAACCTGGTAAGAGAGAGGTACTGAGAAGGAAAGACCGAGACACAGAGAGAGAGTAGAATGAGTCTAGAGCCATATTAGAGCTGGAGTAGATTTATCAGGGAATGTACTGTAACTTGGTCATATTATCATATGATCATATCATATCATTTTAAAGACACAATTCTTGTTTTCCCAGAATGTTTTGTAATCCTCTAAAGCGTCTTCTCCCTCTCAATCCACTCCCATACCTGAGCAAAAAGTCTTGCCTAGCTTGGAGACCCTCTCTGATACCATGCTTCACTCAGAAATACATCATTGTATGGAAGGGAAAATGCATTATGGTTATAGATTCACTTTGACAAAATCTGCTAATAGATATGGCTGTGCAGTGTGTTTTTATTCAGCTTGGTGCCTGTTATGTAATGCTGACATGCACGTCCAGGATATGATCTTTCAAGCCAGGCTATCTGTATTCAAAACCGGACCAGTGCCCAATCATATCTCTTGGAAATTATGTTTGATTTTTCTCGTATGTCATTTATGGAAGCTGGGAAACTGAAGGATTTATTATGGTTATTAGTTATTCTTTTAATTTAATTGATAAAAGCTGCAAGTAGCTTTTTATTAATTTTTATTAAGCTAATTATTTAATATATGTTATATATTAACATCTGTTTATTTCAGGGGAGTGCTGCGCCTCTTGTTATCACTGTTACTACCACCAGCGCATTTATGAAAATGGTCAATCATTCTCTGACCCAGATGATACCTGTCGGCGGTGCACCTGTCAGGTACATTCAGTTATAGAATTTAAGCTTCACATAATCAACACATAAAATCCTTGCTTTTTGCATGTGTTTAACTTGGTCTCTCAATCATCACAATCATCTTTGCACACATATGAGGGTATTTTAGAGTGTGTGTATGTGTATGTGTATGTAGGATGGCTCGGTACAGTGTGCTGTAGCTCAGTGTCCATCAGTCTCCTGCTCCAACCCTCACACCCCACCTGGACAATGCTGTCCCCAGTGTCCAGGTAAACACGCACCCTAGTGCATGATCATCTAGTCCACTCTTTGTCTTGCTCATGTATTTAAAGGCTTTTCTTCATTCTTCTACTCTCTGCTTCCAGACTGTGATTTTGAGAACCGTGTGTACGTTAATGGAGAGACGTTTCCTAGCCCAGAGAATCCGTGTGAAAACTGTGTGTGTACGGGGGGGCATGTGGACTGCCATCAGCAGTGTCCCAGACCGAGCTGCAATTATCCTGTCTCAGGAACGTGCTGCCAGAACAACTGCAATGGTACCACAGAGATACACACACACAAACACACCCTAAGGGCCCAGACACACCAAGGTGACAAGGAGAAACTAGTGCCTGAGGCATTACTAAGGGTGACTGATGATAGGCCTCCACACATACCAAATTCCCCTTCCAGTACCTATACTGATACATGATTCTCAAGTATCTGCAAATATCGAGTACTGATACCGATTTGGACATGCTATTTGGCTTGCCGTTGAAAATTCAGGCTACTCTTTGTGAGTGCCCTCTTAAGAGTGCCGTTCGTTTGCTTTATCGTTTTTCACTTATCACCTTGTGCGCTGATTCTCAGATGTCTCTAACAGCCAACCGCTGACGCCGATACAACATGCAATCAGACAAAACAGTGCCGATAGGAGCCGACTAGAGCCAGTGGTACAGGATACACCGCATAAACTAGAGGTAACGTTCAGCCACCGACGCTAAACATGGTCATCAGATGACCGACAGTCAGCTTGGTGTGTCAGGGCCCTAACATGTACATACATAAATTCACAGGAGTTAACACTGTCTGTTCCTTCCAGGTTGTAGTTATGCAGGTAAGGAATATGCAAATGGTATGAACTTTCCTCACCCAACAGACAAGTGCAGGGAATGCAGCTGCACTGTAAGTAACACAGAGAATTCTCATGGGTTCTGGGCTAAAAATGCTTTCTGCTGAAGAAAGATTGTATTACTTGGTCTGTGTCTTTTAAACTGTTGCTTGTGTTTCCTTTTTAATCTCTGTAGAACGGTAATGTGCAGTGTTTGAAGAAGAGATGTGCTCCTCTACAGTGCGGTGATCCCATTTTGATACAAGGACAGTGCTGTCCTCAGTGTCCAGGTCAAAAACCATTAAAACCTATTCCTTTTCTTCTCCTTTTCTTTCATCTTTCTTTCTTTCTTTTTTTTTCCTTAAAATTGATGATTGTTAATAAATGAGTATTTGAATTTTTAATTTATAATTTGTAAGAAGGATCTCATATTGAACCATGAAAGATTTCATATTTTTGTGTATTACAGCGCCCCCTGCTGATTGTACTTATGAGGGACCTACTTACAGACACATGCAGCACTTCCTCCATCCCACTGACAGCTGTCGGTCATGCTCCTGCATGGATGGGACAGTGAGTTGTCACCGCAAGCCCTGCCCCCTCGCCGTCTGTTCCCACCCCATCTTTGAGGAGTGCTGTCGCACGTGTGATGGTATGGTAGCTCATCAAGAATTTCCTAAAATGGCACTGCTGTTTCAAAGTTTGGAATCACTGTTTTCAATAATATCAAATCAATTTTATGGCAGCTATTTTATGGCAGCTATGGCAGCTACATGTATAACATGATTCCTATATGATGCCACTGTTCTGCAGTAGTTTTCAGCTTGTTTGTATAAAGCTTTAAAAATGAAGAAATTTTAGATGTACTGAAAACAAAGAACAGAGCTGTAGATAAGATATAAGAATTATAATACATGTCATATTTAAAAAAAAAGGTAGTGGTGAAATTCCAAGACAGATAACTTATCAAAAATTATAAATAGTTACAGTATTCTTTTTGGTGTTCAAAAAATAGTGAAATATTGAATAAAACATCTTGAAATACTTTCTACTGTTTAGCTTATAGTCTTTCAGTCTACACTGTACAAGTTATTATTGCATACATAACAACAATTATTAATATAAGAAGTGATATCAGACTGCCAGTTACCATGTTACTCTCCTTGTTCGTTTATGTCCTAACATGTTCTGTAAAGCTTCTTTAAGCTTTATATGATTTTCCCTCACCCCTAAAGTAACCAGTCAACATAACTGGAGTCTGAAATCTGCTTCTTTAGTTTTGTATGGAGCAATGAGGGTAATGTAGCTAACAAGTAATGGAATCTTATGTACACCAGTTAGTGTTACTGAATGTCTAAATCATCACACACTTACCTCAGACAATATAAAGTTGTTAAATAATCTCAGGTGGCCTACCTTTTTTATGGTTTCTGACAATGACATATTATTATGTATAAAACTGGATAAAAATACAGACAGAATTCTTGCCGTAAGTTGGCGGCTACTGCAGTATTTTGCACATTTAGTTAGATAACTGTAACAATGTCAGAAACCACATAAGCTTATTTCAAATATCTTAACATCTAGATACAGTTTGAGGTAAAAGTGTGATGTTCAGATTTTGGACCAAGCATGTCTTGGCTGATCAACTACATTTTGGGTAAGGGAAAATGGTGAAATTTAGATGTCTTGCTTAATTATCACTTTAAAGCTTTCTTAATACTCTGTAAAATATTTTCTGGTACTACTTTAGAATAAGACAGCCCTTTATTAAGTGTTTATGAATGGTTTAAAATTAATTTTTTAATGTTTATTAGTTAGGTAATAAACACTAAAAATTATGAATAAGCTGTTTTTACACATTAATAAAAAAAAGCAAAAGAGAGCAGTTGTATCTGATAAAGATGAATATGTGATGAAGCTGGCAGGTTAAATGTTGACTGATGGAGAAGACAAATTAAGATCAGTAAACATCAAAATCTGAGGTTAAATGAATGTGAGTTCACTATTAGGCAAACAACAGGTCACTGCTAAACCTTTTATTTCCTTGTTGTCACCACTTAATAAAGATTTTAAAGTCTTTATGACCTAATTATTTAATAACCATTAATAAGTTCATTTTAAACCATTCATGAATAGTGCTTTACAAGGGTAGCGTTATTTTAAGGTGGTACCCATTTTCTTTTATTAGAATAAAAGAGATTAGAACCAGCAGTAGTGTGACTGAATTTGTCTGCTGTTTGTCTGTTGTTTTTCAGGCTGTATGTATAATGGTGTGGAGCATAGTAATGGCGCAGTGTTTGCGGATGTATCGGAACCATGTGGAAGTTGTGTGTGTCGTGAGGGCTCCGTGACATGCGAGAGGAGACGATGTCCAGCCATCAACTGTCCATTTCCTGTGCAGGGACAGTGCTGTCAGAGCTGTGACGGTACGCTTCCTGAGTGTGTGTCCTGCTGGAGTGGAGTTCAGCTGTACCGTTTGTAAATTCTTTGCAGGAAGTATCTCTAATATCTATTCTACCTAAAGGTATGTGTGTGTTTGCATGTCTGTCCAGGTTGTAGGTACGCTGGTGTGGAATATTTAAATGGTCAGGAGTTTCCCAACCCTGCAGACCACTGTAATCACTGTGTGTGCACAAGTGGTCATGTGACCTGCAGTAAAAAGCCCTGCTATAACCCCGGCTGCACTCACCCAGCGACTCTATCTGACCACTGCTGCCCTGTGTGTGATGGTGAGAGACACTTCACTGCACTGTAGGCATGACACATTATGCTGTTTAGCAATCTGTTGACTGATTAGAATACAGGTTTGGCCATCAAAGTTGTGGAAGGGGAGTTTAACCTCTTTCTGCAGACCCCCTTACCGGCCATTCCACCAGTTGAATGGCAGTTGACTTGAACATGGGTGCAAATTTTGGCAAATTCTTTTGACTGATAACTGACCATTATTGGTCAGTGATTAAAGTAACATTAGATGTAGATGTAGATGTACTGTTGGTACATTACTTACATTAAGTAGATGTACTGTTAATATGTTCCTTCCATTACGCAAAACCTAACCTTACCCAAACCCTGACCCTGGCCCTAATCCTAACCCTTATATGTTTTTGACATGTTACTGAGAGTCCATTGAGTGTCTGTTTCGTCTAAAAAGGACCACTCAAAATAAAGTGTCACCTCATTCTGTTATCAGATTAACTAGGACACTATTGGCTCTTTATATGTAAAATGTAATGTTAGACTGCTAGTGAGCAATGAGGGATAAAATGGGAGGGGTGAGCACCCCCGGCTATGAAAACCGCTGTTCACGCCTTTTCAGAAAGATGGCAATGCCGAGATAAGCTTACAAGGTATCAAAACATTGTGCAACACTGCCACATTCAAAAACAGCATCTAAACACAATACAGAAAGGGGAGGGGTGAGACACCCTACTGTGACAACAATTCACACCTTTTCATAAAGACAGCAATCCCAAGATAAGCTTACAAGATATCAAAACACTGTGTAAAACTGCCACGCCCCCCACTTTTACCCCTTGTATAAATGTTGACTTGCTCACCCACTAAGATGAAAATCCAGTTTGCTTCTGGTTTTGCAAATCATATAGATTTTAGTTCCAATATATTCCATCAATGTTATTGAAGAGAAAAAGCATAGTTCAACTGAGGGACTCCTAAAACAGATGGAAATTACATTTTATGGCTACTGTGAAAAGAGGTTTAAAGCAAAAATTGGCATCACCCACTTGTGCATTTCCTATTTTCCCATGCTCACAAGTGAAGGTGTGTCTGTTTCTGTAGAAGTCTTTGTAACATTTTCATTTTCCAAACAGCTGGTCTTGCTACACATTTAGTGAACCTGTTTATTGTTTTACTTCTGCATTATTGGATGGATTATTGTTTTTGTTTAACTGTTCTCATGCCTACTGCACCAGCATACTGCAGACCATATATCAGTCCTCACAGGATGCTAAAGCGAGGATGTCAAGTGTCATTTTACAATCATTTATTATCATCAAATCTGATACACCGACATCTCTATGGTGGTGCAGCAGTTTGTTTAGGAAACATCAGGTGATTTTGAGATTTACAGAAGTGCTTAATAAATCTGATGTTACTTTTACTTCAAGGTTGTTTCTATAATGGCGTGATGCTGCTTAATGGACAGACAATACCAGACCGCAATGAGCACTGCTCAGAGTGCACTTGCAGGGTGAGCTGTGTGTATGTGTGAGGGAATATATGTTTGCCTGAATGCAGTGTATGCGAACTGTTCACAGCAGTGTGTGTTTAACAGGCAGGCTCAGTTCATTGTGTAAGAAGAGTGTGTGCTGCTCCTGAATGTCCCCATCCTGTCAGCGGACCATGCGGTTGCCCTGTCTGTAAAGGTGTGGAACACATGTTGTGTACAACTGTTACTATTTAATTAATTATGCAATTATGTAATTACTTTTAAATGTTAACAGACTTACAGCACACAAACAGAGACTAACACACATGCTACTGTAAATAAACATAGATCCCACACAGAAATGAAGGAAGAAAGCACTGGAAGCACAAAGGAAGACACAACTGTCCGATACTCTGTGTAGACACTCCACTGAAACTGTTTTTGTGTGTAGATTGTCTTTTCCAGGGTGAGGGTTATGCTGATGGAGAGATTTTTCAATCACCTAACACAGACTGTGAGGAGTGCAGATGTACTGTAAGCACATACACCCTCACCCAAACAGTCTCATAGTCATGTTCCTCACTCTCATAACTACTGAACAATAAGTCTTAAAATTAATAACGGAGAAAGTATTCAGTTAATATGAGATTTGCCTTGTGTGTATATAAATTACAGCTTACTCCATTTCTGTGTGCAAATGTGTGTGTGTCAGAAAGGTGAAGTGAGATGTTCACGCAGGCCCTGCCCACAAGTGACATGTCCCAACCCTGCAGAGGACCAGTGTGGATGTGGAGCATGTAATGACTGCAGGTTCCACGGGCGAAGGTGTGACAATGGAGAACGGTTTCCTGATCCGCAAGACCACTGCCAGCGCTGCTCCTGCCAGGTACAAACACGCCTCATCCTCCTCTTCACTTAGGAGAGTGTACTACATTTGATTAGAGCAGCATTGCTGTTCTCAATAGCACAAAAGAACAAGATCAGCCTGTCATGAAAATACTGGAGATCAAATTCTGGTCATTCTAAAACCTACATGCAAGCAGGATGTGGCAAGCAAACTTTCTGGTTCCAAAAAATCTTAGCAAAAGTGTTTTTTATGCTATAGCAGCGGCAGACTGACTGACAAACCACAACTTTCTGTGACTGACAAAAGACAGCTGGGCCACTGAAGAACATGTCAGATTCTTGGTTAGCAAAAATACTGCAACGGACATTTAGTAAATTTCATATTTGGGATATGGCAAAAATACAATATTTGAAGACATTTTCATGATACACAGTACGTATTGAGATATTTTGTTCTTCTGAAGTTTGAGAAATACAGGATCACAGTGTTTGAGGACATTTTAGATGGGTGATTCGGTGCAGAATTGACGAGGCTGCATGAAAAGCCAGATGTAGACACACTTAAGTTAAGACCAACCTATTTGAGGTTCAGTCTCTCCAATATGGAATTGGTCTAGCCTGCATGAATACATACTTGGGAAAATATTCACCAAAATCACTGAGATTTGTATCTGGATGGGAAATATATCAGATGACTGCTGAGTTATTGAAAAACAGTAGGTAGGACATGGCCGGTCTGGATGGAAATACAGAGTAGCATATGTAAAAGATGAAATTACCCCTAGGACCTCTTGAAAAATTAATCACGATCAAATAGGGCTTTGACTAGATTTCCAGTATTTCTGCCTTATACGTATTTAATGTGGATAAAACAGGCAAATCATAGAATGGTTACCTACATTGCGAATCACTATGTCTTACAGTGAAGTGTTGGTGCTGATAATTGTTTTCTGTGTGCGTAGAATGGTGGTGTGTCCTGTGCACCAGTGTCTTGTCCTGTGGTGTCCTGCAATAGGCCGGTGAGGCCTGCAGGGGAGTGCTGTCCAGCGTGTAGAGATGTGTGTGAGTATCTCGGACAGGAATATGAGAGCGGCTCCACTTTCACCCCACCCACTGACCGCTGCTTATCCTGCACATGCCTGGTGAGTAAACATAAGAATACATTTGCATTCAACTGTAGAAGTAAATACAGTTTTGTGTAAAACTCAGAGACCACCACTAAGTATTTAATTTCCAGTCAAAATGGCCGTTAAGCACAATTTATTCATTTTTATTCATTTTTCAGTGTTTAGTGTGTCAACCCTTTGCCTTTATTACAACTCCCATTCTTTTTGAGAGACTTCCTTTCAGTTTTTCTAATGATTCTGCAAAAAAATGTTTCCAGTATTAAAAGAATAATTAGGATATTTGTATAGCCTAAACCAGCGTATGGGGGGGGGTAGTGAATTAAAATTGGGTAGCCATCTAGCATAGCATAAGTTGCTAACTGCTAGGTAGCCTAAGTTTGGGCTTAGTGTGAGCTGTCCTAACAACCAAGGGTAAATAAGTTAATTTTGTATTGTTGATGGTTGTTAATATTTTCAGCTGTAGGGAGGTGACCACAGCCTTTTCACATCTTTTCATTTTGAATTTTTTCACATCTTTTTATGTCTTTGTTTTCTGCACCAATTTATGGAGAGTGGTATTAATAAGACTATCGATAAGTGTTGGTATTGATAAGCAGGACTGATAAAATCCTACGATACCCGTCCGTTGCTCTGAGAACACCAGCAGCTTCTTTGTTTGCCAATTTTTTTTTTTTGTATATTTTCTTTCTCCGTAACAGCTTCTTGTGAGTTACACATCCCTTCAGACTCATAGTGTTGAGTTGTCTCCTCACAGTGGAAGGATGGACAGAAGCACCTGTGGATTTTTTCACACCTGAAGCAAGAGTGGAGCCTGATTTTCTCCTCTCTCTCAAAGATGAAAGATTTAAGTTCTGTTTATCTGATAGTGACAGTTTTGGTGGTCTACCAGGTCTTGCACAGTTGTTAGGAGCAATTATTTTATATCTAGTCCTCTCAGAAATACCTCCTGAAAAATGAATAACTTGTACATAACGGCTAGTTTGACTGGTCTCTGACATTTGCACAGTTCTCTCTTAACGTAAATTGGTTTATGTCTAGTTATAATTTGTGTGTGTGTTTTGGCAGAATGGAAAGGTCTCGTGTCAGAGGAAGCACTGTGCTCAGCAGTGTTCCCACCCAGCACGTACTACAGACTGTTGTCCAGTGTGTGATGCGTGCTTGTATGAAGGAGTTGAGAACACACACAGGCAGACTTTCAACTCACGGTCTGATCCATGTCAGCGCTGTGTGTGTGTGAGTGGTACTGTGACATGCACTCCGGTCGCTTGCCCTGTGACCTCCTGCCATAATCCAGTTACCCTACCAGGACAATGCTGCCCCCAGTGCAGATGTAAGCACTGTGTGTGTGCGTGTGTGTGTGTGTATGTTTTAATACATGCATCTCTGTCACAGCGTGAGATCTATTAAACATAAGGCAAAATAATCACTACAATAACAAAGAAAAGTTTGTGTTTGTGACAAACATCAGTTTAAATGTTGTGCTAAAATAAGAATTGATATAAACAAACCCTAATGTGCCCTTTGACCCCTCAGCATGTGTGCAGAATGGCATAGAGTACAAAGAGGGGCAGAGGTGGAATTCCCCCAGTGACCCCTGCACTCAGTGTACATGCATGGTGAGACACACAAACACACTCCATCTACAGTATGTAAAGTAATAATGCCTTCTCACACCGAGCATGACCAATATGTGTAATTTATTCATATGCCAATAAATTAATTGGATGATGTCTATTACTGATGATATTTTGCACACCAAACATGTTTTTTGGAAGGCAAAATCATGACATTCTCCCTCAGTTTGATGTTCAGAAACAAACTAGCGCAATATGTAAGTAGAACTTGTAACAAATGTCAGAAGGATTAGTTAGCTTTGTCATGGCTTGTGCTAGCATCGCAAAATCAGCTCAGACATAGCTATGAACATCTGAGCTGTGTGAAAGCACTCATGAAGTTTCAGCTCCTGAATGAGGAGGTGAAACTCTCAGTGCTTCTTTAACTGGTGATGCCTTATTTTGAATGGTCCTTTTTAAATAAAACCCTCAATAGACTCTCAGTAACATGTCAAAAACATATGAGGGTTAGGATTAGGTTTTGGTCTGAGGTTAAGATTAGGGTTAGGATTAGGGCCAGGGTTAGGGTTAGGTTTTGTGTAAGGTTGGGTAAGGATAGGTTTTGCGTAATGGAAATACCTTATTAACAATACATTTACTTAATGTAAGTAATGTATCAACAGAATATCTACAAGATATTTACTTCAGTGTATTCAGATGCTTCACTACTGCTACTTCACTGATATGTTGTTGATGTGTTACTGATAATCTGTTAAGAGATTATTAATCATCTACAAGGGGCCACTCCAGATAAAGTGTTACCCTTTAACTTCTTCAAAATGAAAGTAGCCCACCCAGTGTCACTGTTTGCCGTTTGTATGTAACAGCCTTTACACACAGGTGAAGGTGGTAATTCAACTGCACTAAATTTAAATATTAGAACTGTTTATAATTGATTATAATAATATTTAGTAAGCACTCGGACTATTTATGTATTTATGTGTGTATTAGGCTGCTCAGGTGAGCTGTGCTGGTCTTAGCTGTGCACCTCTGAGCTGCATGCACCAGGTCACTGACTCAAACTCCTGTTGCCCACGGTGTCGAGGTATGTACTACAGTAAGCCAATACAATAGCAAACCATCTGTTCAGGTAAAAGACTTGTAATACTGCTTTATCCAACTGCATTACCAACACTCTGTCCCTGTGTCTCAGGCTGCATGTATGATGGTGTAGAGCGTGCTGAGGGCAGTACATGGTTTGCCTCAGATGAACCCTGTATGTCCTGCATGTGTGTGGACGGAGTGACCACCTGCTCAGAGATCCAGTGTCTCTCCCCCTGCCAAAACCAGATCAGTGTACCAGGAGAGTGCTGTCCACTCTGTGCAGGTTAGAGCTTAAAACATGTCTCTGAACCCAGTGGTACCCTTTTTTTTTATTTTGGCTGTAGATGACATATCATTTCCCGTTTATTTGTCAGACTTGGATTTTGGTTGGATTCAGATATCACACTTAGTTTCCTCACAATTTTTGCAGATTTTGGCCTGCATTCACTTCTTCTTTAGTCTTTCTCCATACTTTATTCTTCCTCCTTACTTTTTTGCATTAAATAATTTTTAATCTGGCTCTCCATCTGTGTTATTGGCACGAATGTCCATGAAGCCAATGCATGTGTATTATAATAGACGTGAGTAAAACAGCAGGTTCAGGTCAGGTTTGTACAGAATTATGTCAGGCTACACTCAGGTTCAGATTGCTGCCTTGGGTCTTATCAGGTGAGGTTGGTCTCAGGCAGAATGTTTGGCAACATTTCATTTAAAGGCTACCTACATAAGTACTTCATAACACATGCATACACATTGAATAATGTATTTATAAAGCAATACTTGAATATTTATAAACAGCTAATGCCAATGCAATGTCATTTACTACTCACAACATCTTAGCTCTTCTTGTGATAACTGGCATACACTGTTTATATTTAAGCAGTGTTTTAAAAATATGTTATCTAATGTTATTGCCTGGTTTATGAAGTCTCTGTTGAAGTGGCCTTCAAGTAAAGTGTTACCGAATGTTCTGTGTTAGCACAAATACCAGAAGACATAACGCTGCACTTGGTTGTGAATTACATTACCACGTGGCATGTGCTCTGAGGCTGATTAGCCACTGTACAGTTTACAGTCAGGTCATTTTGATCTCGGGTGTTTTTCATTTTCACATGTTTTATCTAGACTGCATCTATGAAGGCCGTGTCTATGGACCAGGAGAAAACTTTCATCCATCTAATGACCCATGTCAGATCTGCACCTGTGAGGTACACCTGACACATATGCCCATGTCTTCAGTTTGGTGCATTTATGCATTTAAGATTTATGATTGCATTTAACATGTTGTTGCAGCTGGAACAAACAAAACCTTGTATCTCTCCATTGTTACAAATTTTTTACAGAATGTAAAAATGCCAGCTGCCATTTTCACTGGGGTAAAATTGATGAATGGAGGAATAGAAATAGTACAAATTAAAGGAAAAATTAATTTGGTCCATAATTCATTTGTGCCATTCTGTTCTATGCAAACTTCTTCTTTAAAGCTACCAGTTTTATTTTAGTTTAGTTTAGATTTTATTTAGTTTAGTGTTACGATGTACGCTGTGATAGTAGGTATTTGATAAGCGAAGAATAAAGTGAACACAGCAGTAGACTAAGCTCGGCTCCAGCTTTCCTCAAAGGGGGGCCAAATGGAGTAGAACTCTTTCTATAGTTTTTCTTTAGTTTTCATGTTTTTTATTGTTATTACAGTTAACAAGCGCATTTTTTCTCTGCAAGTTTTAGTTTTAGTAATGCTTTTAGTTAACAATACTAACCCTAGCTGTACTATGTAAGTGCCCTGTCTGTGTGTTAATGTGCATAAATGTCTGTATAACTTAATAGTTTTTCAGTAATGTTAACGGCTGTTTTGTGTGTGTGTGTGTGTGTGTGTGTGTGTGTTTTGCAGGTGATGCCTGATGGACAGCAGCACTTGCGCTGCTACCGAAAGCAGTGCCCCAGCCTGGTGGACTGCCCCAAACACAACATCCTGTTCAGAGGGCCGGACTCCTGCTGCCCAGTTTGTGCTCGTCAGTATCAGTCTGATCAGAATGGACAGAGAGAGAGAGATTACTGTGTGCAGTTTATCGTAACAATTAAATTTGTAGAGTTCGTAATTATTAGCCCATAATTATTTAACCTAAATCTTTATAGGTTCTCCATGGCATATATACCTTAGAACATCTTCATACATTTTGTTGAATTATTTCTCATTTGTAACTCATTAAAACAAGCAAAGAAATCCTTCTTTTAAGAGTTCTTCTAAGCACGCAGCCATCAGTTTTCCAGTGACACAGGTTTTACCTTTGTGATGGAATGAATGCTTTAATTTAGAAATGTTCAGGGGTGTGTCTTTGTTGTTTTATCAGAGCCTCTCAGTAATTGCACAGAGACACTGATTGGAAATGAAGTCTTGGCCACAGATGACCCCTGCTTCACCTGCCAGTGCAAGGTAGACTGTATACATACAGACACTTACTTATCCATGAAACTGTGTTGAGAATTACTGAAGTGATGACCTTTCTATGTGTGTGTGTGTGTGTGTGTGTGTGTGTATGTATGTGTGTGTGTATGTGTGTGTGTGTGTGTGTGTGTGTGTGTAGGATCTAACATGGACGTGTATTCATCAAGCCTGCCACCATCTCAGCTGCCCCCCAGATAAACAGTATACACCCCCTGACTCCTGCTGCCCCATCTGCGATGGTAGAGTTTGTGTGTGTGTGTGTGTGTGTGTGTGTGTTTTACTCTTATTTGGTTTTGTGAATGTTTATATATATATATAGTCAGTACCTATGCATGTGTGTCTTTCAGTGTGTGTGCTGCAGGGGGAGAGGGGACAAGTGTCCAATGGTGAGAGCTGGACAGACAGTGAAGACGATTGTATCACCTGCTCCTGCAATGTGAGTGACACACGCACATACTCTCCATCATACACGTGCTTAAAACGGTATGAATATCACCACTGCGTTTTGCACTGTGTTGAGATTATTATTAAATTTATTGGCTTGAACAAAGTATTTTCAGTTTAACTCTTGATGATGATAAAATGTACATCTATGACTGCAGCACACCAGTGCCAATGTCTTCTTTTCCATTACTGTTGAAACTACAATGTAAAAGTGGTATCTGTATACGTTTGTTTTAGCTGGGTCACATAGAGTGTAATATAGAGGAGTGTGCTTCAGTCGTTTGCCAGGATGGACTGGTTAAAGTGAAAGAAAAAGGAAAGTGCTGTGATGAGTGCCAAGGTACTGCTGCTACACTGTGTGCATGTGTGTATGTGTTTTTGGTTATTTGTGCCTGTTTTTGTTTGCTTTGTATCATGAAGGAAACGTGTGTAAAGTTTTGTATTTGTGTGTGTGTGTTTGCGTGTATGTGTTTCAGACTCAAATGTGCAGTGCGTGTATGAAGGTCAGACGTATGACTCTAATGAGCACTGGGTGGTGGATGAGTGCACGTCCTGCATGTGTGTGTCTGGAGACGTGCACTGTCAGACTAAGAGATGTCCTGCAGTGTCCTGCGCCTCTGTGAGTTACAGAGATACACACTCACTGCTCTGTGTGTGTTTGTGTATTTTTGTGTACATTGTGTACATTGTGTACGTTGTGTGTGTGTGTGTGTGTGTGTGTGTGTGTGTGTGTTTGTGTGTGTGTGTGCAGGATGAAACTCCTTCCCTGATTCCAGGCATGTGCTGTCCTCACTGTATCCCCCGTCCTGCTACCTGTATTGTGTTTGGAGACCCTCACTACCGCACATTTGATGGAAAGATGGTGAACTTCCAGGGGGCGTGTACTTACGTCCTGGCTCAGGACTGTGAGAGCGGAGACTTCAGGTGTGTGTCTATTGTAATGCAGTCACATTATTTGCAGGAGTGCATGAGGAACAGATTGATTTAGAATAGTCTAGGTATGTAAAAATGCATCAATACAAATATGAATGAAGATGAAGGTTTCATCTGCGTCACTTTTAGAATGTTAGAATCAGTCAGTCAATATTGATTAAAGTATATGCTCATTTTTTTAGGCCAAAACAGATTTTTTGAGCTATTTTCAAATGTGAAAATCATATCTCATGATATGTTGAATCGTTTTGTAAAGAGTTGTTGTGAAGAGATTTACATGCCTTCAATAGACCTTACTGTCACACGTAATTACTAATATTCATTGCTGTCGGAATAAAACCTTTTATTTCTATGTAGTTTTTTTTGGTTTTTTTTTTACATATTTTGAAAGTACCGGCTGTCTTTTACACTGTACCAACATTCCAAAATGAACTGACCAACAGAAACAGTCCAAAATGTACAATAAAATCTAAAATAATAAAAACAAGACCCAGTACAGTTGTTTTTAACATCCATTACAAAATAAATATCTCTTCAAAAATTTCATATATTTCAGTTACCATACAAACTTTGCCAGGAAATGGCCTTAAAATTAGTCTTTTGTATTTTCCTTTTTTTGTGACGCATACCACTCCACCATACTGCATATTTATTAGGACTTTGTTTACAACCCCCGCATCTAACATAAAAGCCTCGTTCTTATTTCTTACCTTCAGGTATGGCACAACTTGTAGAATGGTACTTGTAGAACTCTACATGTTGGCTTAGTGTGATGAAAAATAATTCAGAATGCAAAATTGAAGCTGAATCTGAACATCCTCGCAGCCTTTTAACTACTTTGCATGGAGCTGTTTGGGGTCAATAGGCTGCTATTTGTGTTAGCTAGTTAACTCAATTTGTGTGTTTTTATGTGCAGCATTCATGTGACTAATGATGACCGCGGGCGTAAGGGTGTGTCCTGGACTAAAGAGGTCACTGTGTTTATTGGTGATGTTGTGGTGCAGCTGCTGCAGGACTGGGTTGTGAAGGTGGTCAATATTCTCCAGTAAAATTACTCTTTATAAAACATACATTCTCAGTGTAAACATAAATATGTGTCATTTACTGATTTATTCGCTAATTATGTGTTAGTCATACTGCTCAGTAACATATAATTAGTTAAAATATATTATTATTTTTCGATTATGTTAAGGTCTTTCCAGTTGATCATTTTGGAAGGAATAGAGCTTAGTTTTCAGATGTTTTCCTTTTTATGTACTTCTTCACTGCAGGTTGATTATCAGACCGTCTCTCTGCCGTTTCTGAAAGAACCGTATGTGTACTTAGAGCGGAAAACCAACACCATTCTCCTGAACACTAACATTGGCATGAAGGTACACTCTTATTATGTCTGCTTGAAGTCTCATTCTGTTTTGTTGCATTTCTCTCTGTGGCACTTTCAGGTTGTAAAAGTGAAAAACGTCACTAATCACTGCTCTGAAACTGTTTCCAGGTGTTGTGGAACGGACGCTCTCATCTAGAAGTGAGTGTTCCAGGAACCTACAAGAAAAACATGTGTGGCCTGTGTGGCAACTTTGACAACTACCCTCAGGATGACATGAGGCTACGCAATGGACAAATCAGCTCCTCGGAGGCAGACTTTGGAAACAGCTGGAAGGTAAATAAATAGAGAACAAACTCTATGGAAGGAAATAATAGGAAAAATTAGTCATGAATTACATTAGTGAATTAGAAATGCGTATTAGTTTTAAGGACCGCATATCATAGAAAAACTAATTTTTCTTGCTGATTTTGAATAAAAGAGTTTGATGTACTTTGTACATCCACATTCCACATAGCAATTGTATGGACACTGCACAAACAGCCTGTAGATTTTCATATTATCACCCATTCTGCCTACAACAGTTTAGCTTCTCATTAAAACTTACACAAGGTGACACTCAGTAAAGCAGCCCGTTTATTTCTAAGGGATCAAGAGAGGTTGAAATATGGTCATGTAAAAATAAATTACTCGCACATTATAAATATGAGAAATTAAAAAACTAAAATATAAGAAAAAAGTAGACTATTAAGTCTTTGATCATTAAAATAGGACTGAATATTTAGAACATAGCAACCACATATGCTTGATATTTATATAAGCAAAAACAACAATCCTTCACAGGTGGGCAGTGGAAACCACTCCAGCGGTCAGTGTTCTGACGGGCGGAACATTGACCCATGTAAGGAGGCTGGCTATTCTGCCCGTAAGTCAGCTAATAGTCGTTGTGCGGTGCTGAAGTCTGCAGCCTTCCAGCGCTGCCATAAGGTGGTGCCACCTGAGATGTTCTTTGCCTCGTGTGTGTATGACCTGTGTGCCTGCGGCTCCAACACAGACGAGTGTCTTTGTGACGCTCTGGAGGCATACGCTTCTGAGTGCCGCGAGGCTGGAGTCGTCCTGCACTGGAGATCACCTTCACTCTGTGGTGAGTTCAACACACACACACACATCTTTGTTGCATTTTCAGATTCAGTGTTTTTTATATACTTCTTCTCTGCACAAATTAGAGTTTATGCACTGCCTGTTAAAGGTTTGGGGTCACTTTGCACCGAACAGCTAATTATTAATAGCTTTGTGTATATTTTGCATAACAGTGTCTTTCTTGCTATGAGGAGCAGGTTCTGCTTTAATAATGATTTGAGTATTTTAATTTCTAAACTGTTGTTAAAAAGCATATATTGTTTATGGAGATCTTTTATTACCCACCCCCCACACACACACACACACAAATACAGAAGTGTAGCAGCTTACGGTTATTCTTTGTCAACCCACAGACGTAGTATTTCATTTTTATGTGCCAACCAAGACTAAGGTACCACAACTGAAACATAAAATCTGTTTTCATTATATTGCAAGTGGCAATCCTCGGGGTCCAAGCATGATGCCCCTAATGGAGCCCATGTATAGGCCTTTTAACAGATAGAACATAAATGATGGGCAGAGTACTTAGAATGGCCTGTACTTATAATAGATGTGGGGTCTTACACTTTCAGAAATAAACATATGAAATTGTCACTCAGGCAGTACCCCTCTTGTCACGGGGGTGGTTCCCTCAAAGATACATCTCAGTATCTTTAGTCAGGGAACATAATTGTACCATAATCCATTGAAATGATATTTTCTTAGTTGTATTGACTTCGCACACCCTGTCTCATTTACAGGCTTTTTATTTTACTGGTCTGTTTTAAAACATTAGATTATGAAAAGATACAAATATGTACTTTTCTCCTGGGAAAAACTTGTTTAAAGTTCACAACTGGACCTAAAAACCACTGTTGTACCTTTGAGGGAACATTTACATTCTTTGTACCTTGATGATTGAAAAATGTACCTGCACAGAACCTTTATTTCTAACTCTGTAAAAGAAGATGACAAATTTTGTACACACCTTTTGACCTTAATTTGGTAAGCAGTATATTTTTAATAAATCAAAATACCTAGAAAATAGTATAATATTTGAACATGACTTGTAGTTGTTTAACTCAAGATGTTCCACAGCAATTAGAGTATTTCAGTCTCAGTACGCACAAGAATTTCATGACACTAAAATTTTCTTCAAGCAGTGATGCTGCCGGACCCCACTAGAAGGGGATTGGTTTCTGAACTTATCACCTTTTCAATGCTCATGAACTGTTATGCTTTCTAGTTAATCTAATAGCAAAGTTACGAGGCAAAAAGATATTTTACTATATTAATAAAAAATATTCAAGTTAGTTTCCATTCTAGTGGTGGCAGATGGAAGCTACACACCTGAAAGGTTTGATCTGATCCATAAAGCAGGCTCATCTGTGGCGGTTTACGTTTTATTCTTCCTGTTGCCTTTCTTCTTTTCTCTCCTATGTTTGCTCTTCTGCAGCGGTGGGCTGTCCTCTGGACCGTGGGTTTGTGTTTGATGAATGTGGACCACCATGTCCTAAAACCTGCTTCAATAAAGATGTGCCACTGGGTGTGATTGAAGCTCACTGCTTTAAGCCGTGCGTGCCAGGCTGCCAGTGCCCAGCTGGACTGGTGGAGCACGATGCTCACTGCATCGCCCCAGAGAAATGCCCCAAAATCATCTATAGCAATCCATGAGCACCTCAAATCCATACAAGCTGCATTACAAGCTTACCTGAAACACACTGCATTTAGGACTGCACAAGGACAACACACAAGACTGGTCCAGGACATTGGACTGGTCCCACTTTTCTGTATTTAACATTATAAAACAGGAGCCTCTTTCTTTGTCTTCCACATGCACTGCATTGAGTCTGATCATGGTGCTATTAAAGATTACAGTATAAATCACATGACTGATCACTGTGGTAAACTGTATTTAATTGTGCAAAAAAAATAATAGAAATTAGCTTTTTTATATTTATCAAAGAACAGAAACAACCAATGCTTTTTCATTTCCATAAGTTTTATAAGGGACACTGTTATTGAATGGGCATTTTTTACTAATGCACTGGTAATTTTTTTAAACAGCCACTGTATTTATATCACTGTCCTCTGTTCTGGTTTCACTGTGCATAACATTTATATTAAATCTTCTTATATCTCATCTTTGAGTCACTGTTTTCTTTATTTTTAAGCATATTGTTTTTATTATTCCTAAAATTGTGCTTTATAAAAAATAAACGTGAATGTCTTCAACTATGATTGGTGAGTTAACAGTGGCTCACATTTGCTGTTGATAATATTAATAATATTTGACTTTATCTTGATGTTCATCTGTCCTTGTTATCAATATTGATGGGATACTGGTAACACCTTCTCCCCACATCTGCAATCTTGGAGTTCTCTTTGAAACCACACTCTCTGTTAAAACAGCATTTTTCCCTCTTCTGAATATTGCTTGTCTCTGACCATTCCTCAGCCAAGCCACTGTAGAAACACTTGTGCATGCACTAGTGTCATCACAGTCAGACTACTGCAATGCTCTTCTATCTGGCCTCCCTGTCAAAGGCTTCACTAGGTTACAATGTGTTCAAAATGCAGCTGCTAGGATCGTCACCTTTTCAAAGAAGAATGATCATATCATCCCTGTCCTTCAGAGTCTTCATTGATTACATTCCTTGTTCAGTACAAGGTTCTCCTTATTACATATGCAGCTCTGCATGGTCTGGCTTCTCAGTATCTGTTGTCTACATGTCCCATCCTCCACCTTAAGATCACAAAATTTAGGCCTTCATGTTCCAAGGTTTTTTTGGAACATTGACTTCTATGGATGGTCAATCATTTAGCGTAGAAGCTCCCAAATTATAGAATACTCTCCCCAAGTCGAGTCGGGATGCCACCCCTCGATCTTCATTTAAATCTTTGTTAAAGACTTACTTGTTTTCTCTATGTTATCACAGGTCTGTTTATACTTGAATGTAATATTTGTGTTGTCCTTTTGCTGTTTATTGTTAAATGGACTCATGTTCTTTGATTGTAAAGCATCCTTGAGCATGGGAAAGGTGCTTTATAAATAAAAGTGATGATGATGAAGATGATGATGAATCCTACCTCATTGCTTTACTTTTTATCAATTCAATTATTATTGTTATTGTATTTCTCATGTAAGTGGGTGTAATTGATTAATTGATGCAGTTTTTGACTGTAGTTTCCCATCAGTCATAATTCTAACAAAAATAAAACTTTATATTTTCACTATCTTATCCAAAACATTAATTGAAGGCATACAGATTGTGGCCTGGTGCTGTCCACAGTATAAATTCCCCAACATACAGAACTTTAAACCCTAAAGGCCTGTATGTGGCCTGCAGTTCAATTCCTCTCCCCCAGACTTCATAACTTACATTTTAGTTTCAGAGCAGTCTTGAGTCTTAAGATTAATAAGTGAATAACGCACCTAGAGTTCAATATGGAAGGAGCTTTAAGGTGACGCAGGTAGAGTACAGCACTCAGCCCAGGTGTGTTCTGGGAAAAGAGAAAGTGCTACACTAACATCTGCAACCTGACCCTCATAGTTGCCCTAGTAACAGACGCTGCATTGTTGTGGTCATCCATCATTCATCAAGATGAGTCCTTTTGCTGAACAGGTGAGACCTTTTCTACATTAGTGTTCAAAGAGCAGTTTAAAAAAGGTTGCATTAAATGTAGACAGCTGTTACTCATATTCACATGTTCTTGATTGCCGTGCTTACAGATGGAGGACTGTGTGCATCTGGTGTGTGAGTCTCTGGGTGTTCGTGAGGATGATGAGATGAATGTAGAGAAGGTATGTGTGCTCTATCAGAAAGTGTTCCTCATCCCCGCCAACCTGGACGACACTCAGAGAGCCATCACACAGGTGAGCGAGGAAAAGGGTTGAGTCGTGAGCTGTAAAAGACGAAAAGGGTACCGACTTGTTGATCTGTATTTTTAACTCCTTATGATTTGGGTCTTTGTACTATTGTGGTGGCAAATGGTTTCCCACAACTTTGAAGACATTAAAATGAGCTTAAAGTTAGAATAAAAAACAGAAAGTTGGTGTCTGTTCATTCTTTGTCCTGTTCATAAATTAATCAACAAAAAAAACTACAAAAGTTCTCTGAATATTTTAGTGATTTTTAGTCATGCATGACAGACAGCACGGCACAGCAGTAACTTCACAGATGATGAAGTATGTTTTTCAGTTTAAATTGTAAAAATGCATTAAAAGTTTGTCTATTCTATGTTAAAATTATTTTAAATGCTGTCATTGTCCAAATGGTAGCTTTACAGGAGAGGGAAAAAACTTTTTTTCTTAATTTTTCAATGTAAGCCATTGTGAAGATTTTTTTATTACAAGTAATTTTGGAGCATTTCTATTAGTCCGTTCATCATGAAGTTCTCACACAATACAAAGAACAGCCACCGTGTTCAAATGAGGCAGAAAACTAAAAATCGACAAAAATGAAGATACACGTTTTTCTTTGGACAGCAACAATATGTAGATGTAATTGTGTTTTGATCACACAGTCATATGTAAAAGTTTGAACACACCCAGCCAAATTACATATTTTATTGATTTTTTAAGTAGAAATAAGTTAACACATCCTCTGCAGAGAACACACTTTAGTACGGCATAGTGCACAATTTCTATTTTAAAATATTGGAAAAAATTAAGTATAAAATGTGTGATAACTTTTGCACAGGCTATATTTTATGTTTTATGTTCCAATATGTTAAATTCAGGAAATGAATAGTAACTATGTGCATCATAATAATGTAATAATGACGTGCAGAAGTGTGTTCTCTGCAGAGGATGTGTGAACTTAATTTCGCTTAGAAAATCTATAAAATATGTAATTTGAGCAGGGACACCCAAACTTTTGTGTATAATTATAAATCTTGTCCTGAGATCTTTGTCAGTGGTGTTAAACTTCAGTGGTATTCAAACTTTTTCCTCCTGAGGCCCCCTTACCAGTTTTTTGAGAACCTCAACTGAAAAAACTTGTCAATATACATTTTACTGCAGTGTATGTATAAAGAAAATCAGATCAAATCATCCCATTTGTCTAGGACCTTTATTGTCTATTATTAACCGGCTATAAAAATAAAATAAAATAGCCACATATATTAAAAAAAACAAATCAGATCAAATCAAACTGTGATGAAATTTGAGATTTCATCATGCATCAAATCATTATCATAATCATTATCAAATCAACCGGTTATGAAGTCAGAGATTGTTACACAAATAACTTCATGTTAGTGTATTTTGTCTTCAGGTTAGTGCACAGAATGCAGGATTGCCCTGTTCAGGAAGAATGGTCCTTCATGTTCTGCTGCTGATGGAGAGGGAGCGAGAAAGCAGGGAGAAGGTACATGTCATTTTTTCCAGTTAAAAATCATTCATTTCATAATTCATTTAATACAAGCTGTGTTTGGTGACCCAACACCTTTGATCTTTTTCACCTAAATGAGTGATTTATATAACAGCCTTTATCTGTTAACTCTCCCAGCGGTGTCAGAAGCTGACTTGTTGAATTTGTTTACTGTTACCGTGAATAAATGCTGATTAAATGTATTTGTGTAGCTGTACTGGGAACTGCAGATATTGAAGTCAGGCAGAAACAGCACTTCAGCTGGAATGAAGTCACAGCTGCTGCTCCAGAACTCTGGCTGCAAACAGCAGACGGTGAGTCAAGTAGAAGCCACAAGCTATTAGTTATTTTTGAACTTTAAATGGAGTTGAAGTTTCGGAGGAGGGCCACACCTGAAGATCCTCCTCCTTCCAGTCTTCGTCTCCTTCTAATGACTTCCTATAAATGTCCATCTCTATCTTCCATTTCCTGTGAGTTTCCTCTCTGTTTCTCAGTCCTACCACTGGCCATCAGTCTTCTCTCAGTCCTACCACTGTTCTCCAGTCTTCTCTCAGTCCTACCACTGTTCACCAATATCCTCTCAGACCTACCATTGTTCACCAGTCTTCTCTCAGACCTACCACTGTTCACCAGTCTTCTCTCAAACCTACCACTGTTCACCAGTCTTCTCTCAAACCTACCACTGTTCACCAGTCTTCTCTCAAACCTACCACTGTTCACCAGTCTTCTCTTAGACCTACCACTGTTCATCAGTCTTCTCTCAGACCTACCACTGTTCACCAGTCTTCTCTCAGACCTACCACTGTTCACCAGTCTTCTCTTAGACCTACCACTGTTCATTGGTCTTCTCTCAGACATACCACTGTTCATTGGTCTTCTCTCAGTCCTACCACTGTTCATTGGTCTTCTCTCAGACCTACCACTGTTCACCAGTCTTCTCTCAGACCTACCACTGTTCACCAGTCTTCTCTTAGACCTACCACTGTTCATTAGTCTTCTCTCAGACATACCACTGTTCATTGGTCTTCTCTCAGTCCTACCACTGTTCACCAGTCTTCTCTCAGACCTACCACTGTTCACCAGTCTTCTCTCAGACCTACCACTGTTCATTGGTCTTCTCTCAGACATACCACTGTTCATTGGTCTTCTCTCAGTCCTACCACTGTTCATTGGTCTTCTCTCAGACCTACCACTGTTCACCAGTCTTCTCTCAGACCTACCACTGTTCATTGGTCTTCTCTCAGACATACCACTGTTCATTGGTCTTCTCTCAGTCCTACCACTGTTCATTGGTCTTCTCTCAGACCTACCACTGTTCACCAGTCTTCTCTCAGACCTACCACTGTTCACCAGTCTTCTCTTAGACCTACCACTGTTCATTGGTCTTCTCTCAGACATACCACTGTTCATTGGTCTTCTCTCAGTCCTACCACTGTTCATTGGTCTTCTCTCAGACCTACCACTGTTCACCAGTCTTCTCTCAGACCTACCACTGTTCACCAGTCTTCTCTTAGACCTACCACTGTTCATTAGTCTTCTCTCAGACATACCACTGTTCATTGGTCTTCTCTCAGTCCTACCACTGTTCACCAGTCTTCTCTCAGACCTACCACTGTTCACCAGTCTTCTCTCAGACCTACCACTGTTCATCAGTCTTCTCTCAGACCTACTACTGTTCTCCAGTCTTCTCTCAGACCTACCACTGTTCACCAGTCTTCTCTCAGACCTACCACTGTTCACCAGTCTTCTCTCAGACCTACCACTGTTCACCAGTCTTCTCTCAGACCTACCACTGTTCATCAGTCTTCTCTCAGTCCTACCACTGTTCACCAGTCTTCTCTCAGACCTACCACTGTTCATCAGTCTTCTCTCAGTCCTACCACTGTTCACCAGTCTTCTCTCAGTCCTACCACTGTTCACCAGTCTTCTCTCAGACCTACCACTGTTCACCAGTCTTCTCTCAGACCTACCACTGTCCATCAGTCTTCTCTCAGACCTACCACTGTTCACCAGTCTTCTCTCAGTCCTACCACTGTTCACCAGTCTTCTCTCAGACCTACCACTGTTCATTAGTCTTCTCTCAGACATACCACTGTCCATCAGTCTTCTCTCAGACCTACCACTGTTCACCAGTCTTCTCTCAGTTCTACCACTGTCCATCAGTCTTCTCTCAGTCCTACCACTGTCCATCAGTCTTCTCTCAGACCTACCACTGTTCACCGGT